ACCTAGACCATCAATTAGGACCGAATTCTGAGCTGCTAACTTAACTGGATGATATCTTCTACTCAGGTGGTTAGCGCTTAACTATCCAGCATTCTAGCTGCGTCTTCCCAGGATGGAAGAGCATCGTCGACTAGTAGTCAATGCTACCATAATGCCACACCAATCATACTGGCAGCTTTAACAGTTTCCCTAAGCATATAGAGCGCGACAATGCGTATGTGTTGTATGATTGTTTTTACTCAGCTTTTCTCTAACCTTGCACTGGCCTAATATCCTTCCCCTCCATCACCCAATGCATAGCTTACAGCTTTTCAAACAAACAGCTGGTTTACCAGCTCGCGCACCGTGGGTCTTTTTATATTGGCTATTTAGCTCCCCCCGCTGCACCATACGTATTGGACCCCCCTTACTGGGTGAATGTATAAGAATCATCATCGTTGTTGCTACCAATCACATAGCGGCAGTCGTCTTTCTTGTGTTGATCGGCCTCCGTCGGCACGGTCGCTATTCCTTTTGCAACAACGGCCCTCCAATTTGATTATTCATTCACGCCCCATGCTTCCCCTTATATGCTTAGACGCACTCGGGTATCACAGCTCTCGCAATGACTTGTCTTTTTATGGACGTTCATCGGCAAATAAGTTCAACGAGCGAAGACAACTTCTCCGGAGGTCGAAGACCGCTATCTAGATGTCAACAAATGCCGCTGCTTTTGATGCTACTGTCGATGTTGCTTTCTTGATACCTGAATTGCTATTCTATACGATAATATCCTATCTAGTAGCCAGAACGCGCGAGCGGTCCGCACCGAAGTCATCCTACGACAACCGCATAACCAGCAAATTCTGTTTCGTCAACAACAGCAGCAGCAGCGCCATGTGCTGACCGTGCACATAAGTAATCGTCCCTATACAGAGCACCACAGCGATACCCTGTCGTTATCCAAAACCAGCACAGTCTAGCTCGTTGGCCATCTTATACCCGTATTAACTACGACGATGGCACAGTTCGACACGAACAATAACCGATGCCACCAATAGAAATTTATTGAGGCCGTAATTTTTAGTTAATAAACAAATATCTGATGACTGACGCGTCCGCTCCGATGCAGCTGGTCTCCTACAGCTAACTAACATACGCTATCGGGGCGAGAAGCAAGGCTGTCAATCCGTCCAGGTTTATCGAATTGTCATGTGTTTCTATGTGTAAGTGGCTGTGCGAACGTCCGCAGGTATGTGGGCGTCAGCACCATCGCCAACAATTTGTAAGTGCGCAGCGTCGCTCCCTCGACGAAGACATAACATCACAGCGGATAGCGACAACAATTCTGTATCATGGTAAATAATCAACACCTATACCAACTTGGCACCAAAGACGATATTTACAATGCGAAACAAATAGCGAGAGAACTACGCCTAGCTCAGTAACTGCACAGAATTGAAGAGAAAAGGGAAAGAGAGAGAGGAAAGAAGATAGGTAGACAGGTAGGCAGGCAGGCAGGCAAGGAGGGACAGGAGAAAAGTTGTCGGGAAAGAAAATCGTTAGGTAAAACAGATAGGAACAAAGTAGCCGGACTCAGGTCCAGCAACGAAGCCTATTTCCGTTAAATTTCTAATATGCACTAGCAATACGAAAACACCTCGACTTGAGAAAGAGGAAAAGCATCTTTGGGGTGGCGTTTATGCCAAGCGTCCCGCAGCGAATTGACCCTATTTCGAACTACATCGTTCAGCAGATAGACAGCTAAGAATTTATTTGAAACGCAATAAGGAAAAGAGCGTTTAAGGATAGATTTGGCCTTTTTTAGTAGGCTAGAAATGTTTTTTTTCTGGTTCGTTCTTAATTCTCGCCAATAATAGCCGAAGCAACACACATATAGCCAACAAGATGTTTGTCCAAACGACTGTTTTGAGAATTCGCAGGAGACTCTGTCTAAACGTAAGGAATAGCAGAACAAATAAATTTACAGTTTAATAAAATCAAATGCGCAAACTGTTCCAGGTCCGAAAGATAAATCCGAGCATAGCACAATATACATTTAAGCGAAAAGAACAAAATTCAGAAAAACAAATACGTATTTAAATTTGAAATATGTACACAGTAAAAACGTTTCCGTAAAACAAATAGCTATCCTGAAAAAACACCGAGTTGGAGACCCTTGCCAGGCTTTCAATAGTTTCCTTGTTATCCTTGGACAGAACGAAAAAGCCTATTTTTTTTACAATAACATAGGTCAAACCAGCTGTAAAAATGTACATAAGATACAGATTTTCAACCGTATACCAGCAGTAGGATTGTAGATAGATACAGCATACACTTGCGATGCATGATTCGTTGAAAGCGAGTTTCGGAGCTGAGAACGGAGCGAGGTAACGCTATCGTAGCAAATGAAGCTGAAAACACCGATATCATAACTCAATAATACAAATGTTTCGTTTCGGTACTTAAGCCGTTAAGCACTTCATCGGATGGCTGACTGTCAGCACGGCACTAACACACGTGTCCACTGTGAGATTCGAACCGATAGCATCACATACTCCTGACGTTTACTAGGCAAGCACGTTACCCACTACGCCATCACATGGACAAGGATCAAAGCCTTTCAGAGGAAATACGCTATTTATGATGCGTAAGACAAAAAAAAAGCTTAAGAATCGCAAACAACATAACGAAAATTGCAGACAGGATTGGAGGAGGAAGATAGGAAACAATTTTATTGAAATATCTTACTGAGGGACTAATATGATAGAAAGTTTTAATATACTCTGCTTTGATGTGGTGGAGCTATACAGATCGCGTTCATAATAATAGCAGTAGCAAAACGAGGAGCCAGCCGTTTGTGCCTAAACGAAAATAAAGCAATAGAGCAGGTAACGTTAAACCGTGGAACACTAGATGCTAAAACTTTTTGTCCCTTTTCCTTTTTTAGTCCTTCACGTACACTTCCCTTAGCGTAAAAGCGCTGAAATTTGGACATGAGAAGAACCGAAAGTAAAAATACATGCAATTTATGAAGCAGTTGAGTGGGAAACGGAGATAACACAGTATGAATGAATATACATGCACTTGACCGTATAATAACGTTATAAATCATAATGCCCTGAGTAATGATACCAGCTATATGTATGATATCGGCGATACAATAAGGATTCTCTAAAGTTAATGGTATATATATATATATATATATATATATATATATAGTAAACGGCGATCCTCAATATAAATCAATTTCGTATTGAAATTGATATGTACGTTATCATGCATATAAATCTGGAGTACTGCACCATGCAGAATTCATAGGGCTAACCTTGGTTTCGTGAATTCAAACAAATGCAAAATCTACACGGACATCAAAGTATTTATCAAAGGCAATAGAAAGTCTCTAAGGGGCTTTATGTTTCTCAAGGTTACGTCATTTTAATGTAGGTGAAACGTTACATATTCCTCATCTCTTGGAACGATATCGCCTTGCTACACTTTGTTTAGGTCCTGTGTTTCGGCTCAACCTTAGAGCAGCGGGATTCATCACGGCTGGACAGGCAAGGCTTTGGCGGGTCACCCGGTGAACGGCGGTGCGCGACGACGCTCATGAGACATGTTGTCTCTGAGAGAGATTACTCTGACGCATATCAGCACTACGATCGTTAGTACAGTTGTTTTCGCGAACTACGCAGACAAGACTACGGGACTGCCGAAAGTTACACGCGATCAGCTATCGGATAACGTGCATCAGATCTATGACGGAACGGTTTAGACAACTATCAATGTGCCTACAGCTAACGCTTAACTGTGTTCTGGTAGACACATCCGGCGATAAATGGGCGGACCAGAAGGGTAAATGGATGATTACGCTTAACGATACCTGGACAGTAACGGACCACGGTAACCGATATTTAGCCGTAAAAAAATCTGTTTTAGTTCATCTCATCAGCGTCGTCGAATTACACTGGTATCAAACACATAACTCTACAAACAACTTCAAGTAATTACTAGAGGTCAATTCGATTGCAATTGTCGAAACTATGGAAAAATCGGATGTCTGATTGTATCTGGAATTTCTGGTTGACACGATTGAATCACACACTCTTAACCGAACTGAGCTAGAGAAACGTATTGTAGATAAAGACGAGAAATCGTTTATGTATTTTTACGTTATTTGAGAATTCCAACCCCGCAATTACTTTCATCAGTCAATGTATGGCCACTATGTATTAAATAAATTTGTTACACAAAAGGGTTACGAAGAGCCAAGAGTTCACCTAATTCCTACCATTAAACTGATAGAGCTCATGTGTCCAAAACTGAAAAAATCTCACAAAAATAACTTCGTATTTTGAGCTGCACAGTACGCTTTGAACAACCAATAGTGCCTCATAGTTAATTCAACCTCTACGTTCGGTTTTATTTGTTTTGCCTTTGACTCATCATCCCTTCACGATTTAGATCAACTAGATAGTTGATCTAAATCGTGAAGTACCAGAATTCAGTCTTCAAGGTAGCATACTTAGGTAAGCAATAATAACAGTATTAACGTTATACTGGACTAACAGTCAATATGGTTAGTCAACGACCTGCAAGCAATTTGCCGATCAACAGGAGAATCATTTAATCCCAAATATGTGCCTATTTTAGTTATTTTTCAAGGAACCCGCTTTTACTGACCCAAAATTACACTACAGAGAGAAAAAATGTATGTGTTATTTAACTGACATTCTAGAAATTACTTCTAGTATTCGTATACTACAAAAACACGGCACATGATAGGGTATCTTCAATGATACGTATAACATGTGCTTCTTAGGAGAGCCCTTCACCTGCTGTGTCCCCTCAGATCGAATTTAACAAAAAAAAAATTGTTCTATCCCTCAGCTGGATAGACTGTGTGTTAACAACTTGCAGGGTCTAATCAACTGAATCTGAGGGGAAGCCAAGTTTAATTTGGCAATAATTTCCAAGCAAATTATACATAGGCACATATCTCCACCTATAATGCCACTTACCCTAATCCAACTGGAAATCTTCATTGAAGTAGACTCATCACATCAGCGATTTCGATATGAACACAACTATAATATGTTGTCCTCTTATTTTGCATCCGTCAAGTTAGTGCGTTTTGTTCAGCAAGAAGCAAACAGTGGTACTTAGTAAATGGGACTCTTGTCTTTGTGTTTTTCCGATATCTCGTTGTCAGCTTTCTCCGGTTCCTCAGAGGCACTCACTGTAGGGCACTTTGTTTCGTTCAGTCGAGGGTATTTCAAATAAGCTTCAGTGGCAGACTGGACTGCTCTATGGTATATGGTCCTTCAGCTCAAACAGGCCGCGGCCAGCGGCACCGCCTAGAAACAAAATTTAACTGTTTGGCATGTGCTAGACATGCACAGATGCGCTCCATCTAAACATGACAGGTAGTATTTACTACTACAGGCGGCTAAGACGACTCTCGATACATTTAGACCGTTTATCCTTGCACGACACAGAGCGCAATCCTAACAGTATTCGAACAGGCCAGTAATCAAGTTAGGACCTAGTTGTAGCGTGCACAAGAAGCTAGACAGGTGTACACCGAAACTCCACATTGAAAGCTGCAGCTTTCCGGAAACTGCTCAAGAACACGTAGCATGAGGGGTATCTACAAGCGGGCTGATCCTGTGAACGGTACGGAAACCGCATAGCCTCCACCGGCGATGCCCGAACAGAATTCTGCGGATAGAAACGACGACCACAAATATCGATATCGATTACTCCCTTCAAAGTTTGTTCTGATCGTCTGTAACCGTCGTGACAATCGTCATCGCAGTAGTCCTGGTGGTCGGGCTTGCATTGAATGTGTGGGTGTGTGTTAGCTTGATCTGTCTATCTATGTAGAACGCGTCCGTTCGGCCATCTGTCCTTATCAGCGCGATGGTCTCCGACGATGTAACCCGTTGGCCAATTCGTTGGCTGACTGACTTGGCTATCGTCTGACCGCTTATTGTATTTGCTTAGAGTGCTTCTGCTGCTCATTCGCGCGGGTCCACCGGGTTCCGGAGGAGGAGGCGGCAACCGCAGCTACCGGGCGATGCTCGTCGCTACGGACCACTAGAACGACTATTGGTGCTGATACCGTATAGAAGATAGTCACACGTTGAGAGAAAGGTAGGGAGCGCGTCTCCGGAATAGGGAAAGGGCAGCAACGAGGATAGAAAGAAGAAACAGCAATAACGGCATCATTATTATGACCACTGGTAGGAAGTGCGAAGACGGTACCGCAGGAGAAATTACACAACAGAAGTGGGATCCCGACTTTGCATCATATGTAGTACACTTGAACGACAGACAGACACACTCACCATCCCGGAAGAAAAGCGGAAGGCAATACGTGCATTTACGTTGAAAATGGTCACTAACTTATCGCCGACGCAAGCAACAACGTAACACCAAGCAGCAGCAGCAGCATAGGCAGACGTACATACTCGCTCTTGGAGCGTGCGCAGCTGAACGTGGCAGGCATACGCGTACACCCACAAAGACACATCCAATTCCACTAGAAAGAGATAAGTGAGCGGGCTACAATGTGATGGAATCACCCAAAACTACTGGCATAGTAGTATCTGTTGAAATTGCTGTGTCCCTTCGGGACGATTGACAAAGTCTGAGGACGTTGCCGTTAGGCAGGGCCTGCATGTCCCGAAACGTTTTATGCTGTTGGAGACATGTTATGTCCCGCCAGGAACACTATATATATTTTATAAGGTTTCTTATTTTTTTTCTTTCAGGTATATACATATACGATTATTAGCAACAGACTAACTGCGTGGTCGAAAGACGGTCCGAGAACGTGTATTGTTGTCGTACGGATACATCGATCGATTATTTGTTCAACGACATTTCTTTTTCTAAATGTTCCTCGGTAAATTCTCGTAGTAATCTCAATGGTAACGCGTTTACCAGCAATGCTTAATAAATGATTCGTTAATAGCCAGGGTTCGCAAGTAGTAAGTTTTTGTTCATAGAACCATTCAACTTATAGAAACTCGGCCATCTGTACTTTAATGTCGACTAATCAAACTTACGTATGTCGTTCTCTGGTTTATGACAATACACGATACTAACGAAGACACACTTCGGTGCTACCAGCACGTGTTTGAATATATCTGAGACTTTGCAAAGAACCAGCTAAATGAAAACAATAAGAAAATGCCTAAAGAGGACCCTGAATTTCACTTGTTCATTTATCGAACCCTGACCGAGCTAATTACCCTAGAATCGGGAAATTCCAATAGAGTGCATAGAAGTTTTACGAAACAATACTCTCAACGGCCTAAAATTGATGTCAAGCGTTTACGTTTACGTGTTCGAAAAGCGTCACCTCAAAAATTTCCAGTCGAGCTATGAATTAATATTATTATACAATGAATTTTTTACAAAATCAGGGCGCACTCAAGGTCCGAGTACGAAAATCATAGATGAATTTTCGCTTAGATTTTCCTGCAGTTATGACAAAGTATGGTTATTAAGCTGGAAAGCATATGTTTGCCCTGTGAATAGGTCCAGCTCCACACCGTATTTACGTAAATGTACAAATTCAAAAAAAACTGTGCTTTTTCATGAAATGCTGTATGATTATTCAAAAAAAACGCGTTCGAACGAAGAGACTTAGAATAAATATAAGAAACATAAAATAAGAGGCTAGTTCGACTAATCACGAGGAGAAGGACATCTTTCTCGGCCCACCCAAAGGAAATTGCTCTATAGGCATCCGAGTTAGTGTCCAGGATATCGAATAAGAATTCTTGTTGCTGACATCCTGGCGCTAAGCGCCAGACCGTCGGAAGCACCTAATGTTGGATCAGCACCAATATCCTGCCAGTAGAGCTAATTTTGTTGAGACAAACTAGTAGCAGTAGGCCGCCAATGGAAAACATGTCGACAAACAGGACTTCGAGCAACTGCCTGCCTTATACATTTGAGACACAGACGTTCAGAGCTATTTCTCCATTCTTGCGTCCACTGTCTGCGCCTATGCACCTATTCGCTGTTCATCTGTACCTTAAATGCCAGCGTCGACAACGCAGTTACGATTATGCCCTCGCTTATTATTACCTACTTTCAGCTGCCCGTTCGGGAGTCGTTTCCCTCAAAGCATCTTGCTGCATAGCGCGAAGTAGTCCCATTACGCGTTGGTGTGCATACTAACACGACCCGTACGATTCAGCCCTGCTAATCCATTATGGTCCGCCGGCGTTCCGGTCAACTCTTCCACTTCTTGATTGGCTGGCTAACTAATTGATTCATTCTCGTGGTCCTGTTTGCATGGACGTCAGTGAATCTCTAAGCTCATCCATCTACCAGTTATACTATCCATTTGCATCCGTGCAGCAATGCCGGAGGCTAGCGCCATCTATTATGATAGTAATAGACAAATACTATTAGCAGCAAGTATGATCTATGATCCCAACTAATCATCCTGGTATGATAAGCTAAGATGCCGACGTTCATTTGATCAGGGCAGAAAAACAAAGAAAATAACAGATGTCAGCCAGATAGTTAACCGACCGGTTATTCTATCCAATACGAACCTACGACGATTTAGCTAAGCACAGCAGTTTTGGAGAAAGCTGTGGGTGGAAGCTGTCGCTGAAGCGCCTTTGTTGTTGGAAGGCCAATACCTCAGACTAGCGTACTTGTCAATTAGAATAGATAGATGAGTGTACATATAATGTAGGCTCGGTCATTTCTTGAAGACTACATAAGGTCAGGTGCTCGATAGCAGTTTTCCATGTGCATTGCCAAGGCCGAAAAGAGATGTTACGAAATTGAATTGAATCTTACAATATCTGTAGAGCTGAGTTATATGTAAAGGTAATAAATCCTCTGCTTCTTCGCAAAAACACCGCATTCCTCATTATTTTTCACGCAGGCTGCTTCTTCTCCAACGAAACTCTACTCGTTTTCATAAAAAGCAAAAAAAAAAAAACATCAAATTAATTCGTAAATTACGCTGAACTGTGCGATTTAGACCGGTTACATCTCAACGGGTCTAAAAAAAAGTTGTCTATTTACAAAACAATGAAGCGCTGTTTAATCATAAACAACAACAAATTCATCCTACTTAAAGGATTAGACTCTAAAGGGACTGAGTGATTTTTTTTGATTGACTAGGGATGAACGATTCTGAACTCAAAAATCTGTGCATCACCTTTTAAATCTTCCTGATCGGTACATCCCTAGAAAACAATGTTCTGATGCCCACAATCACCAAGTCTTTTATTACCCAGAATTGATTCTCAACTGTTTCTTGAAATACTACTGACGAAAAAAAGTTCTAGAAAATAGATATTTCAAGTTCTATTTCTGGAGCCGCATTGGCGTTATGTCAGACGATGGCTGACTTCCACAGAGGAAAAATGAACGTATGCTAACACCTCTGCTATCACTGAGACCTCAAAATATTTATATTCGGTGCGCGAACCCATTTCCGTTAAGTACCCCAGCAGAAAAAAGTTTTCCGAACTTGTTCATCGTTCCGAATCCGTCAAGCTGAAAGCTGCAGATTCTATACTAGTGGTAACGCTAATCATCGCTACTTCGTCGATACATCTTTGCGCAGAAGTGTTTCTTATCTGGACAGCCTAAAATATTAACGATGCTTTTGACCGACTGCTGTAACGCACCGTCTACGGTGATCCAATTGGTCGTAAGTGCAGCAAGTTCTACCAGACCATTTCTCTTTCTTCGTCTTTTCTGTCTGAAGGGATCGTCTAGCCGGGCATTGTGAAGTCGCACCATGGAGGCATCAGCAGATGAGAGTCGCACGGCTGCGGCCGGTCGCCTTAACTATGTTATGAAGCACACGTCAATACCAGGCTGTCAGGGGGAAGAACGGTAGTACGCTAAGGATGTTCCGGATAGCAGTAGCTCGGCATACGAAAAAATTAAGTGGAATTGCTCGTAAGTTATTAAGTGGAAGAAAAGCACGCCAAGAAAACTAGCAATGTAACTAGGCTTGTTTGACCTCCCTATATCTTAGAGAAGCAAGCGATAAAATGAGGGTGTCAACAATGTCCGAGTATTAGACATAGATGCTTAAAAAGGATACTTCCGGATCAGTTATGAGTGAAGTTCAGTTAATAGACACTTAAACCATTAAGAATTGTATCTATGCGTGTTATATGCTTTCGTTGTACCATTGAAATCAATCTTAAAAGACAATTGTTAATCACTATAACAGATCGATCGAAACTGCATTCGCCGAGAGAACTTCCTGCAGACGAATATTTATTTGTGACAACGAAGAACTTTATCTATCAAGTATCCATACGATAGGTTACAGTTACCAGCTGCGCTACATCGTGCCAGCAAGATTTGCAAGTTCCTAATCTTCCAAACATGCGTTTCCAGAATGTGATTTGGCCCCTATTTGTATTGGTATGGAGTACGATCTTAGAACCGTTTTCGTGGGCTGTCCTCGACAAGCTTGTAGAAAATGTGTTGGAAAGAAGGGCAGCCACAGGTGGATACTTTACAAACAGTAAGAGCTAAAGACTTTTTTTTCTGGTGTTCATTTGGTCAAACGCGCCACCAGTTTAAAAAAGAAAAACCTAAGACTACTCAAGGTTTTCGTTCCTGTCAAATTAATAATATAAGTTGCCCACTAGCGAGAGCTGTTTCAACACATGCTATGTATGATTATTTAAATTTTGATTCATTCGAAACGCACGTATTATAAAGATCTTAATATTCTGCTCAGAAGAAGTAAATCTGTGGCTCTCATCCGTATACAATACACTCAGTTGTCGCTTCACATAATGATTAAGTTACTGTACCCAACCAGCTTAGTCGTAATATAAAACCCAGAGGCGAAGGGGTCTGTCCCAAACGACAGCTGACCATAACGGGTGGGTTTTAATTGCCATGCAGAAATCCATGATCTCTACAGGTAGTACCAGACGTAAAACTCAAAGCATGTCTGATCTGACATCTGTCATAGCATGTTTCATGCCTTATTATATATAGCTACCAGATTTACTAACAAACGCTACAATAGAAGGTTATTTTAACAATTGAACGGAAAATAAATGCTATTATCAAACATTGTTATGTACTGTAAATCACGTTTATACGCGTGGGGCATTCCAAGAAACGGCGCAAATCATCGACTGACCATTTTACACGATCTTGATCAGGGCGACCTTTCAGTTCAGAACTACAGTTCAGAAGTCATAGAAGGCAATTGAAATTCCCCTGAAACCTATTAATAAAAATATTGCAGACAACGCTATTGTGAAACAAGCACGCTAGATGTGTTTGTTTTACATACATATGTTACTTCATGTAATTAAGTCAATTATTTTTCTGCAAAGGCAAAGAAATTTTACCGAAATAGAGTAAGATGTAGCAAAACGATAATTTGCGTGCGTACATAGGTTTGAAGAAAATCAGTAAAAGTAGACCTATTTTTTGAAATCGGTGTTTTTTTTTTTTATTTACAGAGAGCATTAGGTACCACAATCTAAAAAAAAAACATAACGAGTTGTTAATTTAATTTTTACCTGTTTAATCATCACTATAAGTAAGCTGCGCTTACTGAAAGCAAAAACTTATTTAACTATTTTAACTTTTCTAGCTATAATCGATATCTTCGGTGACATTGCGTCGACAAATACTTAACCTCCCAATAAGCGTTGATTTAAAAAGCATCGTAATGGCATACATTATACAAGTTTGGCGGTATTGATGGTTGTCAGTTAAGTCAGGTGTGCTAACATAGTCTGTATACTCGCCTCCGTGATGTGTCGCGTGACCTCGAGTTTAGGCAACGAGGGATCGTTGGTGTTTTCGTCAGCTCTTCGACAAGTTATTGATGATCAGTTTTTCTGCGGGATCTACGTACAGTTCGATGACGCGTTAGAAAGATCCCTTACCACTATTTACGGCTACCGAATGGCCAAGCCAATTCTGGGCAGAATTGTCATCCGGATGATACAGGCTGCTACAATGGTGTTTCAGCGCAGCGGAAGCAGATATCTGAGTCAGATCAATTTTTACCTCAAAAAACTTCGACCACGAGCCGTGCCTAAAATTGGTATCAGCTAATGTGTGCTATGGTATGGGTGGGCTGATGCTGCCAGGTGAAACGGGGTGGGATTTCAATATCGTCTGGGGTAACTAGTATTTCTTATTTACCCTCCAATTTTCGTTTATCATGAACATCGATAAGCGGGCCATAAAATCGTTCTTCTTACAGATCCTATTATTACCTCATATTCTGCAAGGTGGGGCACAAAATAGGCTTATAGTGTGGCAAGTCTAGAGACGGGAATATACAAGCTAATCATTAGGAAGGAAAGTGAGTTTCCGGTTTAGAGGCGCTGTTTGAACTGCGAGTCTGCTTTTTCCACACCGTAAGCAAAACATTTTTGAATTCGTTCCGCGTATTTATAATAGCTGGACGACCACAGGCTAATATGTAGATCAAATGCAGGTTTAAACGATTTCCTTGACAACCCGCACATACCCAATGCAAAAAACTATTGCATTCTTGTACACTTGACAAATGATGATCCACATGGGTTCGTGGGCTTTGGAAAGCTATCGGGCGTGTGCCATGGCCAGATTGAACAGACGCATGCTATGAGCATGGTGATTCGACACCCGGATCAGCAGTGGCAATTGGATCTAACGTTCGTGCATGAGATCGGTCATCTTTTCGGAGCGGAACATGATGGTAAGAGTAACTATTTGGCGTACATTCAGTGCATCTCGGTGTTTTTGGTGGATGAAAATAGTTATTTTAGTTGGACCGTCCTTCAGCGCGTACGTTAGCTATAACTAAAAGCATATAGTAAATTGCCCCTCGTAAGTTACATTTTATATGGATTTATACACATAAAATATGGATTATTCCGTATTTACTATTTAGGCACATCTTTTATCGCTGCACTGTTCAAAATTTACATAGTGAATAACTGTTAATATTAGCACCTTTTGCCTCCCTAGGAAAAACATGGCTGAATCAGTCTTATGCTTCTCACTGAACGCAGTTGCCTACACTTTTGGTTAACACCATTGATTGGTAGTGAATATTAGAAGTATATTGCATTACCGGATGAACGTGTTTTTAAAATGACCTTCTATTTATATTTGAAGGAAGAGCAACATTCGTGTACTTACGTAGTTTTTTACGTGTCTTGCGGAATGGTGTGTAGGGATACCTGGATTAATTCCTGGAGACATACGATGCCCTCTATCGGAAAACGAGCCAGCCAATTACATCATGCATCCTCGGTCCCGTTATAGCTACCACGAAAATCAACGCAAGTTCAGCACCTGCTCCATCCGCAGCATCCAGCATCATCTGGCGTTAGTAGAACTATTACGATATATGTTCTCGTTTTAGTCCTTTCTGCAAACTATCGTCGACAGGCGTCGGCCTCATCATATATTCAATACTGCTACTATGGAAACACTGTAGAAGTAAATACAAATAATTAAAGCCGTATTTATTTAGCTCTTAATAAGGCCGGATGTCATTTCGGGTAGTAATGACCTTTGCGTGGACCTTTGTGGAGACGATTAAATCCCCATGAATCTTTTCTCATCTTACGAGTATCTATAATATAAGTACTATATAACCACTCAATGACGCCTTAAGTGTTTGATGCCGTCTTAGTCATAGTAAGCAGCTACAATGAAAAAAAACGCTACTACGTGTTCGCCGAAGCCTAAATGTGGATGTTTAACTCGTTGCGCATCACCATCATCGCAGGATTGTTTTTCAATCTGGAGCATACAAACGCTGCATGGACAGTTTTTCCTATGAGACCTGCGGAATCAAGCTGAACAAGGGTCCCTGCGCCCCTGAGGAAATTAGCCCAGAGTTTACGGTCGACAATTGCTGGCCGCTGTCCTACGCGACGTGAGTTTTTCGATACAGAATAATAAAAAGTAAAAAAAAAAAAACATACCTTCAACCTAGATCAGAGACGTGATTTAGAAGCGACTAAACACTACTGAAATCTATTAGATTCTCGGTCCGATCACTTCAACGACACGAATCACAATTCTGTTAGGCCTCCGAAAGAGTGGCCACAGTGTACCGTAACCGATGGCGCATGCTGCAATTTGACGTCGTGTAAATTCGCTAGGCACGGTACTGTCTGTCAGGCTGAAACGAAGTGCCACAGAGCTGCCACTTGTAACGGCATATCGGCAGTATGTCCTGAGCCTCGATGGAAACTTAATGGCACACGGTGCGGAGATGCTAGTTGCATGGGAGGTAAAGAGGATTGAATTTTTCTAGCGTATTAACAATAACAAGCAAAATCATGGTAACCAATATGGCCGATATTCAAATGACTCCATTCTTTACTACTGGCGTTGAATGATCCTCTAATAAATAATATGCATGCTGTTCTTTGGCTGCGGTTCCGTGAAACAATATTTAGCCACTATTGTTGACGGCCGATCGTTTAATTGCCCTGTTTTCCATATTGTGTGCCACTATTAGCGTCACCACAACATCTACGCTGTAGGATATTGCAGAATTTTTGCGCGTAATTACAATTACTCTTGTTAATCGTAGCCGTGACCTATACGGTCTCCATCTTCCCGTAATACCCCCCGCACCATCCATGATGAACGTAACTCTTGTAATGTTTCCACTAAGCACAATGATATCTTACTCTGGGTTTCGCACTTATCTTGTAGGTTTATGCGTAGGGAGTCTTTGCGTATCATTCGGCTTCCAGCCGTGTTTTCCCACCAGCAGTGTAATCGGCGAGATGTGCCATCCATATTGTTATGGTACCCCGACAACGCTGTTGTCTGTCTCTTCAAACAACTGCGTGCCTCTATGTGAACTCGACAAATCTGTACCCTGCACAACAATCATGACTCCAGGTTCGTATGTTCCAAAGTATAATCAAATAAAGTTTCCAACGATACTCCCGATAGAAATTACTTGCGCAGTTAGGCTTTCGTGAGCAAATTATGGCCAAAAAGATTCTAAGCGCGAAGCAGAATTGTCGTCGTGGTTTGGATGCGAGGTTCCCGGCTATGAATCCTCTCTTGTTGAATTTCTGTAGTGTGAGGTATAAGCTTATAGCGTAGAATGAACTAAGATGAGCTAAGGGCATTGCGGTTCTTCAAGTTCGAGTACGCTTGCTCCCCGTTTTAAAGAACGGTTTCATCCATCGTATAAAATAAAAGCCAAACAACATATGTGATGTTGAATGATGTCTAAGTGAAGCTAACATTTTACCAAACACTCTTGGAAACTGTAGAAACTTTACACAGTATATATGGCCCTGATGATCCGCATTCAGCTTGAGCGCTACGACGGTGGGTGGGATAAAGTACCCGATTCACAATCACGGTATGTCCAACTCGATCTCCAGCTGAGATTGCGTTTTTTTTTTTTTTTCTCTTTTCTCACGAGCGTCTGTAGCGTCCCGTTTGATCTGTAGCGTTGTAGATCCTATCGATAACATCTTCAAAGGGCTCTTTGGTCCGCCACGGACTCTAATGCTTAACGGGGTGGCAGGAGTTTCTTCAACTGCTTGCAAAAGCTATAGAAATAGGCAATATTTATAGAAATAAATATTGCGCACATTGAAATAGGGGAACTGGTTCTAATGTTTGTTTTTGCGTGGGCATTCCTGACAGGTTCCAGGTGTGGGAGACATGGTGTTGGCTGGTGTACCTTCAGCGGAGAATGCCATCGTCGGTTCGATGATAATCACGAATTGAACAGGCTAGCGACCCTTGCACCCCAAGTCCTCACGCTGACGTTTGTTTCATTTCATATCGCTGCTATATATTGGCTCATGACTCGCGTCAAATTAGGAAATGCAGCTCGCAGTCAGGCCAAAACACTTGAGCAGGACGTGAACTTGTTCATTGATTTCATCGAAGCTATATACCCAGTTGCCGACAATCCGACCAAGCAACGTTCAGACAGTAATGATGCATATGTACACATGGTTTCATAAACAAGTGTTAATTATTATTCTGTGTAATAGAGAATGACCGCGATGCCAAAACAATCGCCTTCCTGTGACCTTTCGTCGGAACACTTAGTAATGGTAGGTCTAATCGAGAATATTTCCAGGTTTATGCTAGACTAACCATTCCTTTCAAAGCGCTGCACAGGGTGCTGGTAGTCGTGGATTTGCTGACCAAATTGAATACACTCAGTAGAATATTGTAGGTATTCGATTGGTAGTAAGGCCCAGTGAGCTAACAAGACCCCCTCTCGTTTTTAGACTCTTGGCAACAAGTAACAGCGAAATATTCGCTTTTGTCTTTACAGAACTTTAGAGAAAACTTGAGCATTTCGCGACACTAAACGTATCAAGATGAACTAGCAGAGAAAAAAAAAACACCAATAGATTTTTAGCAAATTTTTATTAAATATTTGATTATTACCTTCAAGTTCATTTCTATTATGGTATTATCTTTGAGAGATGTGTACATTTATTCATATGCGACAGGCATAAATATATACAAGATTAGATGATAACGCTTTCGTGAATTGACAAACATTCGTATGGGTCCCGTCATAGCCCGCACCTATTCCTGGCAATAAATGGTAACATCTGCGTACGTACCACCCACTGTCCGACGAAATAGCTCGTCCCGCATAGAAGAACAGCCGTTGCTGATAACACATACTTGCTGGTTTTCCTTAAAGGGAACATTTCGAGAACTGCCGGCTTGAAAATCTAATTGTTTCTCGGGCCGCCTGAATTTAGTCGGTTCAAGCCTTAGCAAACGTATATCAACATAGTGCAATCGTGTGAGCGTTTTCCTAGATTATGGACAATCATTTGGACACTTCATCGGCCAACCGTTTCGAGCACAGATCTTGAGGCTTTCAGGAGCGGACAGGCCACTAGAGTTGTTCTAGGTGTTGTTTCGCGATACGCCTTCCTAACGCGTGCGCGAGTTGCCCAATCTATTGACAAACTGACACTTTTTTGAGCATTTTCTGTTTAAACGCCTAAATTGATTTGGGAACACTCGTCATTGTTCGAGCACACACTCGGATACAGCTTCGTAGAAAGGGAGGGATCCAGTTCCACAAGGTCCAAACGGCACACAAGAACCGACGTTGTCGCAACTACTTCAGCGTCTACGGCTCGAGCAGATTTATGCTATTGAAATGATATTGCCACCCAGCGTACGTGGCCTTGCACAATAATAGACGGATACTGCTGTTGTTACTAGAAGAGAGCTTCGATTACGTAGGAGTACGCTGCAGCCGCTGATAAACGGGAGTATAACTGAGAGTGGAGGCGGGTTTGGAAAGTGGAAACAATCGTATCGCTAGCGGACGGCGAGTGTAATGACGGGTTGGACGAAGGCCGGACGCGGAGATTCTAGTTAAGCGCTAGTTCTTAGCAAACAATTAGAAGAATTACTGGGTCAAGCGAACCAAAAAAAGCAAATGTAAACTAGGTCGTCGAAGAGATTAGCGAGCCTCACCAAATGTCGTAAGAATATATAGTTCCGGTATAGTTATCTTAGCTGCAAATATGGCCGTCTACTTTGTTCATTAAATGTTACACAGCAGGCTTAGCTGACTGGTTATCCATTTTGCCTAATACCGTTAGCAATGTAATAAATACAAGTACGTGTCGACTCCAAATAAACTGTTTTCGATATATGTCCTGCACAAATATGTTTATCGGTCTATATTTGTTTGTAGCGCAAAGTTAGTATTTAGAAATTGCACCCTTCATTCAATGGTTCAACTTATGGTCGCCCATCGAACTGTAAACAATCAGTACTCAGTAACTACGTATGAATTCTATTAACTCTAACGTCTATAATAAACAATCTGTTATAGACTAATTTCATGAAAAGAAATTTTCGGCATGGGTTTCGTTGCTCGATTTATTGTGTTTACTTGTGCAGTGATTTACTGGACGTTTAGAACAAGAGTTGCGAACGCAAGGCCAACATGTAGGTCTAGACAAGTGGACGGTGAAATAGCAACAGAAATGAAGGACCTGTTATTATCGCAGTAACCTGTCGGCTGTTGCGTGTTATTTTATTATATAATAATACAGGCCCAGCGCGGCGCCTTGATCATTTCAGAGATCGCTTCACAGAGACATATCGTATTATAACCGTTACGATTTTCAACAGCAGTAGGAATTCATGGAAGTGTTGTAGCGCGAGGCCTTGGGTGGCATGCTTAGGTTCTATAATCAAGGAATCAGCAGATCGTTCCATCAACAATCTGTAGATGTTTATTGGGCATAGGTACAGAATTGGATGATGGCACCGTCGATACGGGACTACCTTGTAATGACAGTTTGAAGGATGCTGTTAAGACACGTTTTGTTTTCCTTACAGGGCTACATTTATGAACGTCCCTATACAAGCCTGTGCTTCGCACAAAGTCTAAACCTCATACATAGCTCCAAAATCCGAACAAGTTCATTCAGTCTCTATATGCTACAAGCAATCTACCTAAAAATGATTATCGTGGTACTACAAAACCATCATCAACAAACATTGCGCATTGAATTATTTTCACCTCTTGAGGGAACTAAATGTCTAACGGAACTCATATTGCGCTTTACGAACAAATGACAATGTTGGCGAAAGCTTCACATCAATAGTCGCCTATATAGGACCACCACCATAAAACGATTGGACTCTAGCTTATTTGGGCCATTACAAATGATGTCGGAATAGTCTCAAAAACACGATGCACCGGTAAGTTGTACGCGAGTCAATATCAACTATATATAATTTAGTACACAGGGCACCATGTATTACATGTGCAGCATTGTGATGGAGAGTTGTAATTTTTTTTGAATACAATGACATTACTGTCCTGAAGTATCTCCTAAGTAACCGATTTCCACGTCCGATCTAATATACACTTGTTAGGTTTTTTAGTACATAATGTCCTCCCAATCGCACATAAATTTAAGGAGAAAGGTGGCCTCGCAAAGCGTATTTGTAGAGGCTGGTGGAAGTGATGGGCACGATCGAGGTCTGGCAAGCGGCAAAAGTTGTCGAAACGAACTGCGCGCACCTAGCAGTACCGAACAAAAATATAGTTCAATAGTTAAGTGTTTTGTATAGGATAGCATAAACAATAATAGAACAGTTGTAATCTTCGAACTCTGATGATGTTCTCCTGATGGCTTTATCGCTACTTGCTTTTCATACTTCAATTGACTCCTTTCTCTCAAGCTTCGTGTCAGTGATTTTCGAAAATCCAGTTAGTAAAAAAGCGCCATTCGTTCCATAACTGATATATCAAGAAAACCAGGGTTCTGGCAGTATTAGTAAAGTGGCATTTAAATCCGGCGATTGTGATCATGAGAATTTTTTTTGCCAAAAACGAAGTTGTCTATACTAAGAGTTAGCTCTTAAAACACTAATAGCGTGATATTTACCAAATGCAAAGCCCGTCGTGAGGATCGCTACCGCCAGCAGGAGACATCCTAGAGCGCCCCACGCCGAATATGGAGCGCCAACAGTAATCATTGTCCAAAAATTACGCCTAGGTTACTTCAAGCCTTCTTTTTTAGGTTCGCTATCGTTGACAACTTGCCTGCTTAAAAAACCACCAATAAAACATTGAGATGTTACACAGCGAACTCGCCAGAAACACTGACCGGCCACTTCGTATACTGCAGCTAGCTAAACGTAACTCACGCGCTGCGCGTTTCCGACGGAGTGTTGTTACTGTGTACTGGAACTGATAGGAGTAACAGAATTCAGAACGCGAAGCAAAATTGAACCCTAAATATTTGTTGGTCGGCAAACGCTCTCGCACACGCGTGTCGAGAAGGGCAAGGCCACGGAAAGGAGGTCGAAATTTGTAGTTTGTTGAAAGCCGGCACAGTGTTATATAACTGGAACTGTCTATCATGCTTCGAGTTGATCTTAGGATAGTAACTTGCATAATTTTTTAAGAAGTAATCTGTGAAGAATGAGCGCTAAACGGTAGCGATTCATAATGCTATTTGCATGTAAACTAGACGGTAACTATAAGCAGCGGTCAAGTGTGCTGTGAATAAAAGGTTCGCGCAGAAATAGGCCGGACGGCACATGCTACTGGCAAAAACATTTATAGATAACGTATGTACTGGGGTGGCACAATTCTCAATGCAAATGGTCCATGCCTGTGCACACTGCGCGCAGCAATTCATTCAGAGAATGTAGACTGATTAACTTACACAGATTGCGGTATTTCATAGCAGTTTACTCACTGGGCTATAAAATATACGAGGGTCCAGGTTCTAAGGCTTGAGTGCTCGAGCTGTGTAACATCCGCTAATCTCTGCAGGGAGGGGACGGAAGACCTACAAATTGTGTACCATGCACATGTAATCAATTTGCACACGCTCCACGATAACGTTTTCAATGTTTGTGCATACCAACGTAGTCAGCGGAATTTAATGCAGGAAGGATTTTCTATTTTTATCGAGCGTCTGACGTTTGTATACAGAAGAGTGCACAGTTTCGAACACTTCCATTGGCGAGCGCATGGTGCTGCTAATACGACAAAAACAAGACGATCGCGCGCCACACTCACCTGTCACTGCTGTACAGGGCGATTGCAAAAACACAAGCGCGTCAAAAATGCTAAACGTCACGATGCCTATCGGGAGCGATGTTAAGCATAACCGTAACAGCCAATGCAACTCCCGCAACGACAGTCACGTCAAGCTGCAGTACTTGAGCCTTGAGACGATTAATGTGACAAAAGATGTCTCGACTTTGTCGAGAAATCATGATGAAAAGGACGAGGTACTTAATATTTTGACCATATAATTAGAAGAAAAAAATGGTAATTTTGTGTTGCATTTTATTACATAGGGTAACTCTAATCGCGGTAACCAACGGCATATTTCTCTTCAATATAATACGTTAATAGCCACTTCATTGACGTAATAACATGTACTCTGAAATTCAGCAACCTCTAGATACTATGGGTTTGCAGCACCTTTCTCATAATAACACTCCCTGCTTCTATTTTCATTTGCGTACTTCAATATAATAATCGTGCCAATAACAGCGTCTACCGACTTAATCGTGCATTGAGTTAATGTAACGAAACAGAGCACGTAAGGAGAAATTACTGAAGTATACAACGCTGTTACATGAGCGTAGCGTGGTCAAAGGTAAAAAAACAAATCGGGATTATGTATATATATATTCATTCTGCGTTATTTTCGTTAATTAGCGGAGCATCCTTTGTTCATAATCGACAGAATTCATATTGCAGGTGGTTCTTTTTGATGCATCGAGCATCTGGAGTACTGTGCCGGCTCCCCAACAAGCCTTGCTGTCCTCATTGCAGGTTCCCGTTGAGCAGCTGCCAAAGAGGTCGTCCCCGCTACCTTCACTCCACGGGGATGAAGTACGTACGCGCTTTTACCCTTAATATTGTCTATACTAATCATAATTCTGTCGTACTGTATGAACGCTAATTATCCATGATGTTTAAATGCTGTAGAAATAATGCCATGTGCTCCTGATGGAGGATTTCAACGAATTGTCAACCGTACAGTGTACCACAGCTCAAACGACCTGGAATACCTAGAAATATCTAATTCCGCACCTTGATTCAGGTGACGGAACCCAATCTATCGCGGATAGGATCAATGGTGCCCGACGGGTCAGGGTATTTAGGTACCGCGGCCAAATGGCAACTTTGGAACGTTTGGGATTTCTGTGTGCTTAGGTGTCTGCGACAATGCGGCCCCTTTCGAACTGAATTCAAAAGTAAAATCGACGAAACTAACTAGGAAAACAGACGTGGATGGACGAAAGGGAGGTTGAATATAAAATGCCAATAACAAACACACATCTTTTGCCTTTATTAGATTTATTCGCGTACGAAGGTGGCGCTTGCAACTGACCCGTAAGGGAAAAATATGCAACGATGCAATCGATCGGAACAAGGATTACACTCGAAAAATAATGAATATGTTTGGCCTGTAGAAGTAGTAGAGCAGGATATCTACCTCACGCTCTGCGTAACTCTTACGGAAGTAGAATTCCGGAAGACTAAGGCAGCACGAACGTGGTCCACTAGCAGTTTTATAGTATATAATTCTATACTCTTAAGCTGTAGATGCGGAATTATCTGTCGAAATATGTCACGAATATAAGCATAACAAAAACGCCAATGAAAAGACCACTAATGGCTATTTATGGCTCTTCAAAGTACAGGCTCTATGTATATACTTAACAAAGAAAATTGTTGTAAAGATATGTTGTAAAATGGAGGAGGATGTAAACGGTAAGTTTGTTGAGTCATTAGATTTTTTCTAAAGTTTTATGAATTTTATTACATGTTTGAAATGATACTTCGTCAACTCATAGAAAATTTAACAAGTCAAGGAAAACGACAGGGTACGCAACAATAGACGAAGCCGGTGTGCAATGTAATGTATACGGAAGCCAATGCCGAACTAATAAAGTTTCCGACGCAGATTTTCACAAGTAGACTATTTAGTTTTTTTTTAAATAACTTTGCGAGCTGCATGCAAATTTCTCTAAGATTTATATGGGCTACTGCGGAACAATTTTGAAGCCAATGGGGTCTTTTGCATTGTAATTCGTGCTCAGCTTTGTAACGCTATGTATCCATCCGAGCAATAAGCCTTGTTCCATTTGCAAATTTTTACCACCCCAGATATAGGAATACTCCCTTAATTGGATAGCATGGTATTTCCGAACACATGCAAGCTCCACTAACATAGCTCCCAAGGCTGCTCGAAATTAAACCTATGAAAGCCAGAAGGCTAAAATTATATGCTCAAGTTACCGCAGCCTTCCGAACATCAAATACAAGTTCTGCCGGGTCGCAGAACATTTGTGCCTGTCCAGGTGTCTCCGGAGTAATGTCACAAAAGGATTCTTATTCGCGTCGTACTCTCCTTCTCATCTCTGAGGACTACTTCCCTCTCCTAGCTCCAATAGTTCTCTATCCAACCTCTTCCCCATTTGCAGGCGCTCTAAATATACGAATGTTTTCCTCATCCGATTCGATACAAGGGCGTTACAAAGCCTCGTCTGGAATCAGGTACTTCGCGCACATGTAAAAGCACTTAGACCCTTTGTCGATGACATAACGTTCTACTAACTTAGCAGAGATAGTGACGTAAAAGCAAACAAAACCAATTGGTGTCAATTTAAGCAATTTCTAGTGCAGAGTACAGGGTAAATTTTTATTTCGTCTAAAGCGGTGTGGCAGTGTATGTCTAATAGCAGTAAATGTGCACGTTGTAAAGCTATCGACCTCTGTTGTTCACCATTTGAGGCTTAATCTGATTTGTGTAGACTGACTGAAAGCTACTCAAGTGGTCGAATTTGATTGGCTTCTCTATACACGAATGACATTTTGTTCAAAAACAAGGCCATAGAGTTGATTGCACAATGAAGAATTTCCAGCGACGCCGCGTCTACCCGTACGGGCTTAGTGGTGGTGACCTAGATGGGAACCACATACATTCCGAAACGTATCAAGACGACCAAGAATCAATGAAGGATCGCGGCGATAAAGGCCTCTACTTAGAAGAGGCTTTTAATCGACCGCAACAACATCAACAAAAGCAAAATCAGCGAACAGAACAATGTACGTCGTGCAAAGGACTTAAATGGTACTTCCGGGCGTACGTGTACGGACTGCATGCACTGGTCTACGAATATTTATCGGTAACCATTTGTTAAACTCATATGCATACTAATTTTAAGTTTCCAAACATCTCGCGTTGTCATATCTACGAGTTTCTATAGTTACGTGCTTTCAATTTAACTGCCATATGTCATATAACGATATGCAAATACCTAATAAAAAAAAATGCTCACGCACAAAATATTGACTAGAAAAAAAATTGTTATCCACAACGTTGATTTTCTGCGACCTGTATCTCTTGTGTCTCGCAACATAGATAGGCTCAGTGTTTCAATCAAATGTTTAATCAGTGAATCTGAACAATTTGCGTCGAACCGTAGTAGGGTACATAAGAAATGATCTATCTGTTGCAGGACTTGACCTTTTCAGCTTATCATTTTTTTTTCTTAATTCAAGCGATTCTGCATTTAATAGCGTGATGCGTTCCTCAGCTAATTCTATACTATGTCGTAATTTTCAGCTTCTGCGCCATCGCGGCGGAAATGACCATTCCAGTGATACTGAAGAAAGTTTCTTGGCCTCCTTGCCATTTGAGGCCGGCTTTCCTCTGCGAATACTCACCTATATGACTGTACTTTGGGTGATTGAGTTTCTGTATTTGCGATTTCATATTTTTGTTATACCAATCCTGATTCGCGGTGTGGCATACCTCATTTTCGCACTCACCATTGACGCCCTCTGTTACTACATCTGTAGTGATCTAGCGCTTGGTAAGTTTAACGTAAGGTCACATCTACTGTTGTTTCGCTACCGCTATTGTTATCGCATGCTGCCTTTTACATACTGTGCTATCGTATATAAAAATTGCATCTCAATGGAATGTAGGTAAGATTATGCATCTATATATTCACTATATGCTATAAGGGTGACCGATTTTGCGTCCCCGAGAACGCATTCTATATATATGCTATCACATATCGCAGACGAAAGCTTACTTGCTTCTTTAACCGTTTTTAGTTCATATGAAAATCATATGTGGATTAATATCTAGGTACAATTTTTTTGCCCCGCTCAATTTGATGTAATAATATCGATTTACTCGATTCCTACTGTTGTTCTTCGTTTCTAGGTATTACAATAGAAGCCTGCCCTGTGTGGGTTGTCGGCCTGATCTTTATCGAAAAACTCCTCACGGAAACGCTACTTCGACGACTTCATTATTGTTCAGTTGGACAGGGACACATTAAAGTAGGGCACAGCTCTTACAGGCCGTATAATCACTGATAGGCTAATTTAACATTTTCGGCATTAACATATACTCACTTATCCCTTGCTTAAAGTTCAAGTAGCAACAATAATGTTATTCAAGTGGCAACAGCAGTCATACTGCAGCTTTATATGCATTTTGTCCTGAGGTTCCATTCTTTATGTCGTAGGTTCTAATATTTCTAGACAAGAATCCTTACGAGTCAGATCGAACGAATGTTAAAAGTACATCGTGTCGCTAAGCTAATTACCCATCAACCTGCGCAGAAGACATAAACCTCACGGCTTTCATAATAGCGACTAAAGACTCTTAAGCTCGTAGACATATAGCATTTCAGGCCAAGATTCAGCTAACCACAAGAAACCCCTACTCATTTACCAATAACCAAATTGACCTACGAAACAAAACCAACAGCTTCGAGTTTAATATGCGTATGTTGTTATTACCACATATATTCTTCTAGGATGACCTCGAGCTTTTTATCGAAGGCCTCATGACGCCACCACCACCAGGATGCTGCGGTGGAGCGCACCGTTGTCCTAGGCATCGCAGGTCCCTCAAACACGCAAACGGCCATTCCCAGTCGCACGATTACGGACGCCAGCTTCATCAATGCCATCGTGGCGAACTGGAACGAACTCATGATCCAACGATAGGCTACGCACACTCTACCGATGACATTGTTGAAGGTATCATGTCCTTAAGACCGGTGCGATGGCCATCTAGAAATGCAGCTAGCTTGAAGGAAATCACCGACCGTTTCCCTATTGAACCTAATGAAATTATGGGAGACTTTCCGCAAAATCAAAAAAAATCATCGGAGATTTTTCCACAAAATCAAGATATCATCGAAGAGCTACCAAATAAACTAGAAGAATCTTTTTAGTCAAACATGCATGAAAGAGCACCCTAGCTAGCAGAAAAAAACGTGCATTTAAAAACTCAGTAGGATCTGCACAAATGTTTTATGGTTCTCGCAACGAAGGCTACATAAACAGAATATGCTATACCTAACCGAAAAAAAATAGCTTCCTGTACTGCAACAATGGCAAAGGACTTAGAAATGTAGATGGATAGTAAGTCGAACTGGTAGGATCGAACAGCACGCTAATTCAGCGGAATAAAAACAATACCAGCCTTGATAATGAGCTTCACTGGTTTTATTGAGGAGATCAATAAAATGCATAAATATTTGTAAGTGATATCAAAACAGTTCCGATTAATTTCTGTTTCGAGATATATTATTTCTGTCAAACCGTTTCACATTTATCTGAAATAGGTTTCGATAAAAGAAGTGGAGCTAGCACTCTTTGAAAAACAGCTTAAACGTCATGAAAACTAATAAACCTACTGTTATGAAGAGAGATTACCACGGCTATGATAATGACACTCAATATAAAAAGAGCATTAATTTAAAAATGAGAGCTCGAGACATTTTGGTCTGAACGCAGGACTCTTATTATTATTTTTTTTTGTAAAAACCTTTCTGTGCTTTTACGCGGGCAAAAAAAATCAGGAATTTTAAAATATTTATCAAATTGCCCTGTTATGAATTTTGAGCTTCTTTTAAACTTAAATAATACTGAAAATATTTACTTTCTCAGAAAACATGAATCTTTCTTTAGATTTTTTTATACCTGGTTTTTATTGAATTGATTGACCATACATGCGCCTGAAGCCGACGGCCCACCGTTTAGAACACATAGTTACAGAACTCCTGACCCCACTATAATTACTTTACCCACCATAATTCTACTCACGAAGATCATAAATGGATCGAAGCTTCGGTTTCAAGTTGTTTTTCTGTTTGGGCTAAGGTTGTAACATGACCGAATTATGTTGCACCAAAAAATTTCTAATATAAAAAATCAGCTTAGGCAGAGCGTATGCTATCGTATTTCTCATAAAGAGGAACACCATATAAAACGATACCGTGCGACATAGCATAAGACTCTGTTTGATAAAGATCTTTAAGCCGACACTGCTGGAATTAGACCTTGTAGCACAATGTAAAAGCTCCACTAATACAAAATAAATATTCTATCTTTTCCTCATTCTCATACAGAAGGTATGAAGGTAAAGTGATCTTACTTTGTGGTATTAAAGTGCACGAAGACAAACTTAACTCTTGCCAAACCATATATTTAAAAAACAGTGTTACTGAGTGAATAAATCTATTCCATGTAATTGTCTAAACAAGTGACATTTTCGAGTTCCAAGTGTTTTTATCATGCACCGCAGTCGAGCCGGCACGTGCAATATCTTTACATTAACTTTGTATCCGCTGATGCGTTTGCATCCAGTAAACCTTACAAATTCAAAGAAATGTCTACTTAACTGGACGCTTTCGCGATAATCGTTCCAGCTTGTTTATTGTTGTTGGCTCTCGCATTCTGGAGCACACTTCTATATTATACGAAGACAAGTAGGCACGAACATAGCAAGTAGTACTATAAAGTTAAAAGTAAAACGTGAGTGTGATAGAACTAAATGTACGTATAACTGCAACATATCTCTACATAATGTTTTTAGCCAGTTTTTAATGATTCTATTGACACTTGCGTATGAGTGAACTTTTGCTGTGCAGGCGACGCTAAGACGTCAAATATCACAAAGGTGAATAACTGTAAAAGATTAGAAGAACATTAACGCAACAATCTTTCCGGAAAATGTTATAAGGAAGAAAGGTGAACTTGAAATAAAGCGAGGACAGAGATCGAGTGAAATCAGGTAGATCGTAAGGATGCGCAAGTGTAAGCAAGCGAGTACAATAAAGTCTGAGTAACAACAGGCCATGCCTTCCGGACATAGCTGTGGGTAATTCTCATATCTACCTAGAAAAGGCTCTGCCGTGTCATTGTCGGTGACATGAGTGCGACAGGCCACGCAAGCTCAAATCGAAATAGAAGATGTCATCTCTCCCTCATGTGGACTTATTGGTTGCTTAGTAATTTCGTCTAACAATTTTACATGGTTGCTATCTACGCTGTAGTTAGCAAAATAGATTCCTTGGGCTTATCGTACACTCTTAAGAGTGCTGTGAGGCACATTGATAAATTTCAACGGATAACCATTGCACTAGTTAAATTATATGATGCGTGCAATCATGTGTGAACTTTTGAATTAATTTTTTAAATTAATTAATTAACTTCAATTAAGTCAGGAGGGCAGAAGTTACAGATATGCAAAAACAAACTAAACACACGGAGTCGACGTATATGTTAACCGTTAGAAAAGATCCTCGTCAATATCCACCCTGCAACATCAAAGATTTTAGGATAAAAAAAGGTTATTTTAATGGTCTTAGATTGACAGCCTCGACGAAAACCCATAAGACATCGACAACCCTAAGTTGAAGAATGGTTTTACTACCTTAAAATCAGGATTTGCTCACCATTCGTTCAGTTCACATTATTACCAGAATATAGTGGCTGGCAACGCAATTGAACAAGCAGTCCTTGGATAGCGCACCTTTTGCTGAGAATTTGGCAATGTACTAATAAACATTTTAGATACAGGATGTGTTCGACGTTTGGTGTGTCGTCGCACACAGGAATAGCTCCCGCTCCTTATCGCAATAAACACAATGAATTTATTCAGATGCACATTCTGCAAACAAGTTTTTTCCCAAGTAGAATGCTTTGCACTCTGACATGCACAGACTGAGGTACAGAAGAGCGACGATTCTGACAACGAGCTCTCTGCAATTCATGTCGCGAACACTTCTTATTTCTGGAACAAGCTGCATCGATGTTTGGCTTTTTAGCACGTAATTTGCTCTGATTAGTTTTTATTGTAGTTAAGTCCTAGCATTACAAATGTTGTTTATGATGACATTGCGTCCGTTATGTCAACTCATAGATGAAAGGTACAGTGTCACTCAGTGCATTGAAAGGCCTGCACCCAATAGAAATTTGACGGCGAAGACATTTGGCTACTAATTTTGTTGCCAAGGCGATATCGCGTTCCCGTACATGTACGTTTTGTAAGTTTTACTCGAAAAACAATACTGCAACTTTTGTTTTCAGATGAAATGGCCTATGTCCTTCGAAGTATTTAGTCTATAAAAAGTTGTACCTCAATGTGTCCAGAACGGCTCTGTGCGTAGAGTTGTATGGATAATAATAATAATATAATTCTCGCATTTCATTGGTTAGGCGTATTTGACTCGGTCAAATTATTTTATTTGACCATGATTGTTTTTAAACTCAATTTTTTCGTTTCTCTAATCTACAAAATCAAGAACGAAAAGCGTTTAAGGAACACCGTCGTAAGCTTTATTTACATGTATGAACACAGTTTGAGGGGAAGTTGATGCCCCTGCTATCACAGGTGGTTGGCGGGAGTCAAATTAACATAGCTTCATCTCCCAAAAACATCCACCTGGACTGCTATATTTATTCTTTCTCCTTTTTCTTATTATTATTCTTATCATTATTAGTATTATTAATATTATTATCCGCTTTATCTTCGAATCTGTATTTCTTGCTTTTCGCATCGTTTTTTCTTTTCTCGTTATTTATCCCTTCATCATCACCACTACTACTAATTTTCACATATTTCACCATATTTCTTTTTGTTTTTGTTGCTGTTATTGTCTTCCAGTACCACGTTTTCTTTTGAGTCCTTTGTGGCCATCCAACCGCAAACAACCAACCTGCTGACAGGCAGTTTTTTTTCTTTGCTTTCCACACTACCTTCCGTCACAGACACATTCGCTCGCGTCAAATTCTCTCTTTCGCGCTTTAAATCTCGTCGTCTTTACTTTTATATCTAATTAAGATTGAACGCTTTACTGCGCTGTCCACAATGGGGCCTTTGATTATCCCCTTCTCAGTTCCCGCCACCCTCCCACCTCATGCGCGCTTATCGTCTCGTAGTATCAGCTGTCTACATTTCTACGTGTCAGATCACACTGCTACCGGGTTTCGCACGGCGGGATTTCGAAGGACGAGCGCTGTTTTCTCCCTATCAGCAATCGCATCATAATCACTTCTTAACTGTTATTTATAGCTTATTTATATCTATTTATAAGTCTCGCGTCATTTACTGGCCTCTCGTAGTTCATATATATATATATATATATATATATATATATATGTGTGTGTGTTCTCTTTATTCTTGCATTTTTCAAGCAAGGCCGCAGCAAAATCTCCCAAAAGTTTTTTACCTTCTCCCAAGCAGAAGCTCACACCCGACTTGTCAATTAGTTTACCTCTCATCGTGTGTGATTTTCCTTTGTGTGATTTTTTCCGTTGTTTGTAACTATGAATCATAATGTTTTGTTATGTTCTTCACTTTGTCGCTACGATCTTTGCCGCTTGTTTTCAACCTACAGCTTTCGTCTGCAATTATCTTGCAAATCACAAGCAAGCTGTGTTGTTCTGTCTTTGCTTTCATTTTTCCATGTATTTAGTGTATCCTACGCCAGTTTCGGTCTTGGCTAGGCGCATCCATGGTATATCGGCCTAAAACGTATTTCCTTTCGTGTCTCCACTAGAAGCTCGAGGTTTCCCTTAAAATTTCTTTTTATCGAAACGTCACAAGATTATAAAGTTAATGCTCCGCAAGTCCATGTATGTAGCTATTGTCACTGGACGTTATTTAGCACTTACGCATAGCCTTTTTTGACAGCTGTCACAATAAAAACGGATTGGTAGTTCAAGTCATGTCAGAAATACGTGTCTCCCAAGTACGACGTTAATTTTCCTGTAGCTTTCTTGTTTGCTTTTTCTTATAGTAAATGCCCCCTTAATCGTTGAAGCTGCTTAATTGTTTCCAGCGGTTGACTTACTTTTTTGTTCTTGTTGTTACGGTTCGAAATGTAATGTCTTACTCTTAGTCATAACCCAGTTGCTCACTGCTGCCCTAAGGGCATGTTGCGCCCTTCGCATTATCCCTATGTTTGTATTAGGTGTTACAATTTTCTCGATGCTTTCGTAGATGCTGTTGTTGTATCATTGGGCTGCCTTAGTCACGACCGGTTTTGTGGCTCGCAGGCATCACTTCTACATGGCGGCTGCTCCTTCTGCCACAAACGATAGATACTCCATTCATCGGCTCTTCAATATTTATAATTGCATACACCTCTATGCTACGTACATATACAGTTTTCTGTAAGAGGACAACCAAGGTACAGAAGCAAATAGAAATAACACCGTTAGAATTAATGTGAGTTCGACATGACCCAAAATCTGTCATAACATATGCACAGTGTAGTTGTAATAATATCAACTGCAAGTACGCGTCTTTAGAATAAATATCAGGACAGTTGGGCTGTACTAACGCCACTTACCGAGTTGGCGTAGACAACTCGGTACTATAAACCCCTTTTCAGTAGTTAAAACATCTATCAAAAAACTGCTTGATTAGAACAAAGGATACATGTAGCTTTATTTATAAGCTACATGTATCTTTCGTCTCTAAACTATGTTTTAATATGAATTTCCCAACTAGTGAAATTATTCCAGGATGACGCAGAATTCAGGGATTCAGAATTCCAGGAATTCAACGCAGATTCTGATGCCATAAATCGCCTTCAAAACAATTAAGTTTTTAAATGTTAAGGGCTTTGACCGCTAAAAATAATTTCTACCGCTGAACGATTTTGAGAATATCGGGGGAACCAGACAATTATCACAGAGCTCAAGCTATGACTTTGGTTACTGTACTTATACCGTATTCAGTTTTAGTTCCAAATATCTCTTTATATAAATAGTGATTGACCAGCCGTTTCATCAGTCGTTCCATTAAAGTCACATATGACATTGTACAATTTATTTATTTCGTCATTTAATTTCTTACGTTCCTCTTGTCTTTCACTTAGTCCAGTTTATTGTGAGATCCCGCCAGTGCGTATCTTCCGCATTATACTTTCACTTTATCAAATTGAGGCTTCCTTCCGTTCATTCAACAGTGCCAATAGTATCCGGCCTTGATTGCAAAGAAGCGCTCCAACTGTCACTAACGACATCATGGGACACCTATCGCTGCCTCTGATGTTGGCAAAACCAAGGTGTCCACCATGTACCCTTTTAATCCACTGACTCTTGATTCATAAGCTCTGACTCGTCGCCGCGCGCTTCGTGGCGTTGCCCTGCCGTATGCCGACGAAACAAACGTGTCACCCTATTAGTCACCCCTAGCCGGGTCCCGGAAGAAGGGACACGGCCACCTGAAAGTGTAGCTGTCGGTATACCCGACTCGCCCTCCGTGAAGTACGTATACCTGGTCCTAGAGTAGGGAGGCAAAAACGAGCGTGCATAAACGAATGACGATACAACGCTAGAGAGCAACGCTGTTAACAACATCGGATACAAGTGTCTCAAGGATATTTAGATACACGTATTGTTGTTGATTTCACACAATCGCTACCTTGAATAAGGCACAGCTTTACCCAACGGGTTTCTACTACAAAAACGTTACAAAAACTCTTAGACGTGCACGAGCTAACATAATGCAACAACAAAAATCTCAGTACTAGGTACTAGAAAATACTTGCTGATTTTCACCCAAATATTGGTGTTTTTCCCAGTTGCGACACGGCGTGTGACTACCTGACTTCCAACTTAGGAAAAACCATACAAAAGTCGTTGCGGTAATTAAATTACCTAAGACAATAGCAAACCAAAACAGTACCTGTCTTCTGGTGATCGTTGCAAGTATTCGCGCTCAATGAGCCCTTCAATACGTTTCTTGATCAGTGAAGGTGATGGTTGAAAGCGCGACTTCAGCTGGTCAGTCACTTCGGCAACAAGCACGGCGTGGTTCATAGTCTTACGAGCCTTCATTATACGTACGATTGCCGCCTCGATCTCATATTTGCGGTCGTCGTCGACTTTGCGTTGTGTCTCATTACGCTCAGGTTCACTTTCTCCTCGAGCAGTGACCGCTTGGATCTTCACTCGAAACAGCTTCGATACGAACTGGTCATTGACAGATAACTCATCCGTTGGAGCTGTTTGTATAGAAGACCGCCGGAAACAGACAAATTTAAAAACATCCTTTTAACTCGTTACACGAAATATGAGTTAATACTGGGATAATTGGGCCTCAAAAATAACTACGAATAAATGAGAGACAAGATAATGAGTAATCATAAGATGATACAAAAAAGTATTCGATTTGCACGACAACTCTTACACACACAGTTGTGTACCACAGTCTCAACTAACTACGTTTCATGTTTTCGGTAATGGAGTTTCATGTTATATATGCATATGCTAGAATGTACCTAAGTTCGAGAAAAATATTTCTAATTTTCGGCTAGAACCCATAAAATGTGCTACCTTTGATACCACACGCGGCAAAAAGAGAAAAATCAATTAAAACAAAGGATATATGTTCAAAAAATTGTGACGTACCGAATTCTTTGTTCTTTGGGTTTTTAAGAAGAATACGCTGTGTCGGCTTGCCTAGCGACAACGATTGCAAGCTTCTCACTAAATCCTTCTCAGCGATGTCTGTCTCCTGTTTGATCTCTTCAAAGGTGAAGTTGTCCTTTTTGTTAAACAGCATTAGAATGCACATCTGATACGTGCTAACCGACAGAATGTGCTTGCGGAAAGAGGTTCGCGCTGAAAACAAACGATCGTTCTCTCAAGTTGATAAGTACGTAAAACGTATTATTTCGAAGAAAGGATTCTTCTCATTTGTTCAGGTCTATGTGTTAGCAATACAGTGTATAACACATGTTATATGCGCTGTGCAATGCCCATCAGATAGCTCCTATATATTCCCTACATAAAGAGAACCAATGATGTGTCTATTACACTTTCGTCTACTTGTCTATACTTACCACCAGCGGCGACCTCTGGTGGACATTCGTCACCGTCCTCCTTTCGAAGGCCGTAGAAGGTCGCATTCAAGTCGGCGGAACCTAGTTGCGGCTGTAATGTGAGCTGGCGTCCATTATGCTTATTCAAATAGAATTTCTTAAACGCCTCGAACGCTTGCATGGCTGAGCAAGGGATGTTGCACTTCGAACTGAGGGTCTGCGTCGGCCAGAAACCAGTTGTAAGGACACGAACCCCGAGATCGACTCCGAGTAATGGAGCTGCCGTATCGGTAACGTGTCGTCGGAACTCCTCGTGCATGGTATTTGACAACGAGATGTCTTTGAACATGCCTTCAAGTTTTGAAGTAAATTGGCAACCGCACTCCGTCTTAAGCTTTGAGATCATATTTTTCTCCACATCATCCGATACACTTTTGTTGAGCAGCAAACGCTTGGCAAGATGCTGCTTGTAATAACGCTCGAACATATCCTTCTCCTGTAGATAGCGGAATAATACCATCGTTTTATCAAGAACAGTTTCAATGTCCTGTTCTGTCATGCCTTTGACACCTTTCTTGAGCTTATCGTCGATAAACAACGACAAGTACTCCGGTGACTTCTTATTGAGATTTAGGAAGCTTTCGAAGTCGCTGGCAATCATATGCTTAAATATGCGCTCATTGTTAAATGACTTGATGAGAAACAGGTCCATCTTGTCCTTGAGGTCGAGCAGGCTTTGAACGAAACTCAATGCATCACCTTTTGCATCGTCAGTGACCAATGCCCGGCCCTGTTCACGCAAATAGGCAGACACCCGCTCGACCAAACACTTTAGTCCTTCCGGTACTCGCGCAAAAAGGAGGTACATGCGATTGAGGTCTTCTACCTTCTGATTTTTGAGCATATGGACCACACCAGAGTTCTCCATCTCGAGGACCGTTTTCATGTGGACTGTGATCAGCTCGTGTTCGACCACCTTAACGATAGCCTCCTCCGTGCCTTCGTCGAGATAGTGTTTGGCGCGTTGGCTCTCTTCATTGATGCGCTGTTCGACCTTGGCAACGTATGAAGACGCACTGTTATCAGCTAGAAAGCGCTGGCTTTCGCTTCGATAGAATTCTGTACTCTGCTGTAAAAACGGCCGCTCAAAATCCTCTTCATAGACCGTGCGATTTTGAATGCCCAGAATAACCAGCATTTGGCAGGCGTTCTTAATAGCCGACCGATCGACAACCTCACCTCGACGTTCCTTCATGACCATCTGTAGCAGCGTCTCACGGAGTCTATCTCGGATACAACCGTACCGTACGACCTGATCTCGGAAAATTATTAGGCCAAGGTTGTATACATTTTCTTCATTGTACTGTGCCACGTAAACCTATGGAGTAATCAAAAAAAGAATTAAAAAATGGAGGAGAAAGATATATTGGTGAGCAAAAAATTAGGACGAAAAGTTGTTCGTAAATGGAGGTCGAAATATCAAAAGCATCACTATTGTTATTATCATATGTTGTTATTTTTCTAAGATGTTGTAAGAGTACTTACGCGGTCCATATACATGAGAATATCACGAATCATCATCATGCTGGTCTGGTGTTCGTTCCACGCATTGTTCAATGTTTGAAGGAAGTTATTGTTCAGCGAGTTGAGTACATCGACTCGTACTTTGTGAGTTAAGTGGTCGGTAACGACCTCCCGTAGACCAGCGTACAATTTTTGTCCGTGCTTATTGAGCACCATTGTGTACGCATTACGGTAAAGCTCTTCAAATGAGAGGCCGGAATTGTTCTTTTTCTGGATTTCCTGGATGGCATTCTTGAGGAGGTTCCATATTTCAGTCACGTACCTCTCATCCATCGCCATCTGGAGCAAAAAAAATACGCATTGAAATACTAGCGATGAAAATTTATTGCCATTACAACTACGGTAGAGTCAAGTACCATGATATGTGAAAAGATTAAACCTAGTAGATCATACAGCCAAATATTAGCTTATTGTTGTAAGTAACAACTAGGAATACGTTCATCTTAAAGATAGCACACAGTAGTCTACCGTAGGGTCTAATTCTGCAACATTTATGGACATAGCGAATAACTGTGAGAGTTTAATTTACTCTTAAAGCGCTAATGCAAATTCAAGATTTTGCGTGAAGCCATTGCTTAACACAGCCTTAAAAACCTCATCCGGAGCTACTGATTTTGTAGTGATTTTTGATGTAGTGTCTAAAAGTGTAGCATTTCTTCTTCATCAAGAAAACTAACTTCATAATTATTCAAAGCGACTCGCTCTCTAGATGCTGTTATTTACGAGTTACTGGCATGACAAACGTTTAATGAACAGTGTGGCGCTGTTTACCGAAAAATTAGTATTTGAGGTTGTATGAATGCCAAGATGAAATGTGAACGTAACTAAGCTTTTTAACCTGCTAACTAAAGAAATGAAAGCAATTGTGTTCAATATATCTTAACACGCATTGCTTTTTAAATAAATAGGCGCTTGTGCAATAAACGCTACCATTTGGCCTCCTTAATGCACGAAAGCAGGTAAAAATATATGTACTTCGTTTGTAAAATGGAAGTACAGGTCTAGCTTAATATGATGATAATGAATTACCAGTATATTGTAAATAATCTGTACCTCTACAAGATGCATCTTATTTAGAGTAAAATACCGACAGAAAAGCTACAGTGCAATATTAGTTGCTAGTCTCTTACGAAAACTTACACATACTGATATTGTCATGTTATCAACTACAATTTGAAAAAGAACTTAAAAGGGAATAAGAATGGCTGCTTCAGGTGGCAATAACGACATAAAGAATAAAGAAAGTTGACATTATCGACTAACACCTTATAATACAGAAAGCTAATTATATGTATCGCATTTATTGTATATATTCGACCAGAGCCTACACGGCATTGACACTAAACTAAATTTCATTTTTGAGAATCGCATCTTCGCTAAATATTTCTCGGAAGATCTACAAGGATTAGTAAAATGTTTTGTTTGTCAAATTGATGCAGATAAGTTAAACAGCTGCGCTTATATCCAACGTATTCCAGCAATATAAAGACAGCTTAGTATTTGCTTTGATAATAATGTTATTATAGCACATGTCGTTGATAATATTCTTAAGCAAACACTGTTAGAAAATAAGGCTGCCTTTTTACGTAAAATGTCGCATGATACGTTGAAGACTTACACAAATGAGACATTTGGCTGGAAAAACAATGAAGTAAAGCTTGAAATGTCTTTCACAAATAGAAATCAGGTTTCTATGACATACGGCTTTTTTCTTGAAAAACTTTTTAAATCTAGACAGTGCTCTAGAGCGTACGAGGCTGTCCTACAGTATCATTCCGTGTTATTTTGGAACATTCCCGTAAGTTGGCTTGCGTGACAGATATTAAGGGATGTATCATTCGATTCGCATGAGAGAAAAACACTTTCACCTGACGTAACTCGTGCTTGCTTCACAGACCATTTGATTTACTGTTACGAACCTATCAGGCGCGTAACGTCAGCAAACAGGACGATCTCACAGCTAATATCGGGGCACGATTAGGGTTACACGCGTCAATTGTTCGATTACTTGCAAAGCCTGAACACACCCACCATTCAGATTCCTCCGACGCACACAAGTCACACTCAAGAGTGACTCAAGGAGAGCCGATCGCGGTCACCAGCCACAAGAAAGCCACACCAAGAAAGATGCAGGCATTGCTAGCAAAGTGAGGTGGTAAACTGCTTTAGTTCAAAAGTACATGATATTCCGATTGATCAACACTTTCATCAGTGACACAGATGATAAAAAGTTACAGAGCACAATCTTAAAGTATACATTTAAATTATATTAAGAAAACATGAAGAATTCGTGTCTATTTAATTATTATTGCAGTAAACTAATTTGCACCGTAAATAAATTGCTTCGCGAAGCCTTAAAGCTCGATTATTAATTCAAATTAATTTGCAAAATAACCGAATAGGCAAAACAGTGAGGCCAAATACACAGTTTTGCGGGGTAAGCTTAGTTACGGATTGTTCTCACATTTCTAGTTTTCATTAAGAAGTTTTATCTAGCATAGCTAAATATAAAACACTCGTGAAATGTGAAAAATGTGAAATGTTGAGTTTTTTTTTACATCAACTTAATGATGTACTGAGATCCACATCTAAAATTAAAGTTAACCTCAAAGAAACCTGCTATCAGACTAAGTGGTATCCCTGTGCATGTGCAATTGTATGTTCTCGTATAAAGAAACAGACGGGTGTTTGACATTTTGATGAAGCAATCACAACTGCTGTTCTTCAGCCGATTGTGGTGCCTACCGTAAAAGGACAGAATCCAAAACAAGATCTGTACAGACGAAACCAGTTAAAACAGCAACAGAGTACATTGCTTCCTAAAATTATAGGGATTATTATTATACTGTTACAAGCGAATTAGACGGACTCAATTTTTGAACCAGTTGGACTATAATAATGATTTAACGTATTAAAGGTATTTTGCGGACGGCCATTTATCTACCCACCATTCGCATTTCCGCGTGTATTTTACCTATGGCTTCTCAAAGTAAAACGACCGTGGAATATTATTTTGGGACGTTTTTGGGTACAACAAGTTTTATAATCACATGGATTAAAATCAGAAGAATGAACAGTTTCAAAACGCACATTGGATACCTCTTCGCTCAATCCAGAAAGTAACTGAGGCATGGCAATCAGGTCTATGTTTCGATTTGTACGTTCAGTATGGAACGAAATGTAAGTGTGTCTGTGCCCGGGTTCAAACCTAGACCGCAACGTGACCCTAACACTAGCAGGCAAATACGTTATCCACTGAGCTATTACAGGGACATGACGATGAGGTGACCAGACTGCCGTGCCAATAGTTCATAAGTATCTTGAGAAACTTGAAGCAGCAGACTAAAGTTGCTGTCTTATTTTTGGCGAGCGACCGTTCTCTTGCCTGGTCCTTTTCTGGCTGGCTGTAGAAACTGAATCATACGACGTCCCTGACAACCGCATGCTCCATACAGGCTTTTTGTTAGTTGATGCTTCGTAAATCGCACGTAAAATAACCTCGCGCATTTCCAACTTTATGGGGGACCAACATTTTCTTTTGTCTTCACATTTCTAGTATTTAAGTTGGAATTCTGTAACTCGTAATATGTGAAATACTAGTTTTAGCCGACAGAGCCTTTAGACTCAAAACTCTGCTTTCTAGAAAATCCTATTGGATTACGGCAATGCGTTCCCATCCTTCGGGTTCTGACATCCAGTCATCTCCTCACTCGTCTTCAACACTCTGAACTCCGTTATTGAAACGTTTGCACCATTTACGTACTGCGCTCTTCTTCGATGAATTTTCGATGTCTTCGAGAAATAAAAATTTTACCACTGAACCTTGCTTGTCTAAAGTGAAGTATATTTTTTCTTCTAAACTTATCCTGGAATAAAGTAGATTAGTTTTTACCCATACACCACTTGCATTCCCTTTTCAAGAGCTACTCAGTTTAAAAGTTCGGTTCGCTTGTTACAATTATTATTATTATTATTATATTATTATTATTGTCATATCTCTTAACCACTAATTTGGTTTCTATAACCGACCACGAATCTGATTCTGTGCTTTTTCGCTTCGCTAGATGAATCTAGGATCCCTACGCATTTTCCAGTAACGATATATGCCGCTGTCAAAGAGGCTAGTAATATTATTAGAATGGATAACGTCGAACACATTTTTCGTGTTCTACGCACGGCACTTAAGCCATTAGGCATTACTTCGGACGACTGGGCCCCTCTAGCACGAAACAAAGTATATCTACGCTCGGATTCGAACTCAGATCATCTCACGTGTCTCTAAGTTTAGTAGGCAAATACGTTACCCACTGCGCTATACTACGAAAACAAAATGATAGCTTTCTTTTTCATCTTTCCGTTCGAAATACTTTTTTATTTTGATGCCTTTGTGTATCTAGCCGATACTCAAAGTTACAATTCACAATCAAAATTTAACCTTTTAAGCTCCATGTCAGTAGAACTGGCAACGACCCGCGTTGTGAATGAGTCAATATCAAGTTGAAAGGTATTTTCGATGATGTTAAACAATGATTTCAAGGTCGACCACCATTGTTTACTTTTATGGTATCACGAAAGTAAGCTACCATACATATAAGTTAGGATACTAGAGCGACAGTGTCAGGACAGTCTCTAAAATCATTCAACTTCTAGCATTTTCAATTGTGTCGTATTTGATTAGTTAGAGTATAGTGTTTACAAGCAATATGAAGGACAAGCTGGCGGAGCGTTTGTTCACTCATTGTTTGTAAAAGGCGACACTTTGCTCACTTGTGCTAGTGATCTATACTGAAACAAAAATTTTGTAGGTCTTCACGAGAGCATTAACAAACGGCTGTATTATAAACAGCTTGAAATCACATGTGTACAATGACCGTTCATGAACGAGGAAACACAATATATTATGAACTGTGTTTCACAATTGAAGACCAGTTGTAGTCCATCACGTGCTTTAGAGCTCTTAGCAAAGATTATACCAATGTAATATACACCATGTCAGATATTCAAGTAGAGTATACAGGTAAGCTCGGGCTCACATTATGAATAGCCCCTGAAATTTGAAGACTTTACAAAAACTATGCTCAGGACAAAAAAATAAGCGAAATTGAGCGTTATTGTCTGACAACGATTTCCGGTACTTTCAGTCATGGTCTATGAGATATTGCTGGCTATCAACGCTATCTATAAATACACATATACAATTCTAATATGGTTCATTAGACGAGCAATTCAGTTCTGAGAAATTACTCATTAAATACACAAATATTTTTTTAGATCCATAAAATACATTAAATTATCACATAAGGGACCGAAACACCATTTAATGAATCTACATATTCAGAAATAAGCGGCACTTTCGGAATCTGGACAAAATTCCGTCAAAACATGTCACGTTTGAGTTTAAAGCTTTGAAATGTTCTGCGAACTTGGAGCAAGTTGCTAGAAACGACAGTTTATTCTCTTGTTTCAAAGAATCCTATTTTGAATACGCACGTCGAAATGACAAGATAATATATGCTACTAACAAGAAAGAAAGCACGTGAACGGTAGATAAAAGACTATGCAAACAATTTTCACATAGCCGAGTTTCAAAAATACAAACGAAACACTTGTTTGTAAAAGCGTACAGAATCGACTGGTTGCTTACTCGCTCAAGAGGAAGACGATTCATTTTTTAGTTTTGAAACCCTCCTTTACCCCTATTTCATTTTTTGAGTCTACCATAGATTTGTCGTCTTCATGCTGTTATCGTACTGTCATCTTGCCACGAGCGTGATATTAGGGTACCCCAAAGTTTACCTGAACCTTCTGTCCGGAGAGATTCTGGGATTGGGACTTTTGGCCATTGAATGGGGAGTGAGAATGGGCCTCCCAATAGCGGCCGTACAATCAGTACAGCTATAGCTGAAGGACATTATCTACCCTAGCCAATTGAGCCTTGAGGTGCTGCTATATTACATGGCCTTCTCTCATGCTGTCGGTTACAGCACGCAAGCAATGCACAGGCTGTGTGAACGCTGCAGTTGTGCTACGCGCGCGGTTAGGATGGTCGCAGTGATCGTCCACACAGGTGCTCAGCACCTGCAAGGACGTATTTTTGACGATTATAAAAACGGGCCACATCTATCTCACCATCGCTGATGATCAATGTTAATCAGGATATTGACAACGTGACTGAATTTGCGCGATCACAACATCGACAACACCAGCCCTACTGGGAGCTTGAATAAAATCAAATTTCTGTAGAACACATGTGAGATCTAGCCACCTGAATAATCCAGGAAGAGTGTGGCAGGTTACCCAGTTTCTTTGTTCACCTGTTAATGTCTACCAGCCTTGATACCTGAGACGCTAATAACGTTGGAACGCCGAACCGACAAATTGCGGCCACGGCATTATTCACTAGAACGACAGCGGTAACAGTAACACGAGCGTAAACAATTATGATAACCTAAACAACAAAAATACAGAAATCAGTCAGCTGACGGGTCGAATGAATGATACACGAGGGACGTGTACGTTTAAGTTCATACTGCTGTTGTTCATAATGGCTAGTGGCGTCGAAAAAGCAAGTAGCCATTGTCATCATCATGACGGTGGTTATAATGCTAGCTGGCGGCTTCAGTGATGCGCGAGTTTAATGCTCGTTCCGTCAACTGCCAAGCATAAGTCAGTCAAGCCGTCTGTCGGCCGTAAGCGGTTTTCGGTAGCATTAATGTGTTGTTATTGTTATCTCTCATTTCTTGCATTGGACACGCTTCGCACTGGTTAATCGGTAGTTCCACAAGCACCATGAATTCATGCTAAACAAGAAATGCAGCAGCTTCAGTGCCATCATTCTAGCTGACTAGACTTCGAGATGGTTAACACGTAGCCAAGCACTCTGGTTTCTCTATTATAGCAATTGTACCGTATGGGACGCCGATGATCAAAACGATAGCGGAAGCAGCTGCAGCTGAGTGATTGAGCAGTAATGGGGATAATGGAAGGCGTCAATTAAGTGCCAACAGCGCCATATACACTAATGCCTACACAATACTAGCTCGAAATAAGTCTCTAGCAAACGAACGACTTAAACTTACAAGTTTTTCTACCGAAAAAAAGAGGAAAAAAAATTATCACAACAACCAATTCACACACGCAAACCCAACTCCCGATCAGATACGATACATGTCGTCGATTGGACGACATAGGCCAATCAAGTGTAATCGAAGGATAGCCAAAGATAATTACACTAAAATACATATACTTACAGGAAAGGCACGGATGCGCATCTTGTCCTTTTTGCCAGGCTTCAGGGCGCTCATCGCGGGGGCGGTACTGGGCGTAACAGGCTCGCGCCCACCGGCCACTTGCCGTAAAACAACTCGTTAATATATACGAGAGAAAAACCTCACAGAACGGAGTAGACACACTGACGCACTCACACAACAAACACGCACTGGCTGGCAAGCCTTTACCAGCACGCAGCAAATGACCGTAGATGCGTTGAGCTGAACAAACTCTGCGATGATTTAGTGGACGCAGGTCCGAGAAAACAGTCGAAAAATTGAGCGCTGAAATTTCGTCAATAACTACTACTACGATCAGCTATCGTTACTAAATCGACCCGGCTGGCCGCCAACTGGGGTTCTGATCTTTGAATGTCCTTCGGCCTTCGTTTTTTTAGCTTGCTTTCTTTCCAGATTAGCACCTTAACTCAGTCTCTCAGCACAAATCAACAGGACAACGCTAAAGGAAATCCACACCGAAATGAGAGACACCAGTACAACCGCACGGACGAGCAGGCGAAAGGGGCGCACGCAGAGTTGTCGATTAGCAGCACTTTTCGTACGTAGCACACGAGTAAAACGACGCACGAAAACAATGCAACGATACCAAGCAGTACAGGTCAGCTGCTGTTGCTATTCCCGCGATTGCTTATGCTGCTGCCGCCGCCGCCAATGTTGCAGAAATCGTCACAGCTTCAGTCGCCCTCACTCGCGGCCGTGACACTGACCGCAGCAATGAAGCGAGGCAGAGATCCTAAATTTGCAACTGCTACTTCACCGCACGCAGTCCTGTGACTGCTCTTATTTCTGCTAGTGTCTTGCCGTTCCTGCTGTTTCAATTCGGCTGAGCTGAGTTGCTGCTGCGGCCGCCGCCGATGTCGTTGCCGCTTTCTCCCTACTGTTAGGATCTACAATGTGTCTGCGTTTCTGTCTTTCTCCGCCACTCTCTCTGCTTCTCCTCTTCTTGCGCTTTCGCTGGTTTCAGCGTTTACTCTACGTCCAATTTCGCGTTCGGGACTACAGTTACCGTACCAGCAACAGCAGTAGCGGCAGTGAAATTTGCTTGGGGTAAGCAACACTGCTGGAGCAGCGATGATGTCGCCGTTTTGTTTGGGCCAGACGATCACGGCCGCATAGGACAAACCGCAGCCAACACCGTCGTATTCCTGTATCGCAGTTGCAATTATACTAATGCTACTGATAGTACAAGGAATAACTAGTTGGAGCAATAGTAGGTGCAGCAGCAGCAGCAGCAGCGGTGGGTGGTAATGATCACTGCTGTGTCTGTATATACGGCGGTACTTTGGTCCTGGCTACAACAGATACAGTCGGATAGACTGAGACAAAACAGAGACACACCGCCAGGCACGGATCTCTTTGTCGTAGACTGAAGGCGAACAGACGGTTGTCGTCGTCGCCGCTCCACTGTCGTCTTTGGATGGATCTCTGGACGCAGATGAAGCCCGAAAGCTGTGCCACTTGCGGATGCTGGCGCTGTTCGCTAGCTCGGAGATTCTATTTCTTTTCGCCTGCCACTCTCGCATTGGCCAGCTAGCAGCCTAGCGAGCGACGACCAACAAGACTGCTTCGTAAGTGGTTGCCAACATAATGACAATTCCACCACACAATGTACCACAGAAAGTACCACATGGTCACTCACACCAGATAGTTACCAGACAGCTAGACCATTGTCCGCTTCAGGATAGTATAGGCAAAGAGCACACCATCAGCAGCGCTATTTCCCATCGTGGTATCGGCAGCAGCGGTCGAAAAAGATGATGAATAAACAAGGGAATTTCGATGAGTTTCAAAAGTCTCAGCATTATAAAAATAACAAGCGAGCGTTATTGTGAAAAAGGACTGCGTTAATTGTACTGAACATTTTTACGTGATATCAAAAAACCGAAGGTGAGAAAAATCATAAGCATTTTCACAATGCTTAGAAAGTAATCTTGTTACGGTCAAGCGGCGCGCTAATTTCGTGCTGTTGAAATAACGTGGTACGATCGGCAATACGATGAATGCTTTAAAGAGGTTTCAGTATTATATTAACTTTGCTTAAGGATGATCATAAGTCACGGTGAGCAATACTTGTCGATGTTTTTTGTGATTATCGACAGCCTTTAAAGGTCGAAAAGCATCGTTGGTGTTTTTAATATCCGCTGTATTGAGATTTACTTCCCCCTAAACATGTATTCTACAACCCTCTAAGTTCTTGAAAAACAAAAGTCAACAGTTCGTTCTGATCGCGCTGAGGTAATCGGCTGAGGTTGGAAAGAAGATCAAAGCTAGAGTAGTATCAGCGGCATGTCCCGGGCCTTGAAGCTCGTGGCGCCTTTGCGCGAATTACGGGTGCATCTTTGCCAGACAGGAAAGGACTCACAAGGTGTAAGGTAATTCTATAGAAGTTGTTTAGCCCTGGTCGAAGTAAGTTTCTAGAATGGCGAATTCTGACTGCGATTTTCTCCCGACAAAAAAAACACTTATCCTTTCCCTTTTTCTGAATTATTCACAAAGTGATATTCCTCAAAACATGTTTCAGACAATGATATAACAGTATATACAGTGGATATCAGGGTTCTAGATGCACTGTAAATTTCGTGGCAGCATTAATAGAACTATTCTAGTCAAAATAGGAAATGCGTATCAAGCAAACCTTTTTGGTACAATTACCTTTGTGAACGAAGATCACAAGAATGTCGCCTATTTCATTCCATTATCACTAATGTTTGTGACAAAATATCAGATGTATGCATCTTGATCCATGGCAATCATGACGAAGACTTTCATATGCGCCATTTCGCTTGTAAAACGATTTTCATATTTATCGTTTGAAGCAATTGGCAGTAATCTCATAGGGAACCTTTTCCCTTGTTTCTTCTTGTTTGCTACGTTTCAGGGATTTCGTGGAGAAATTTTATGTGCCGCTCAAGGAGAACAATCCTAAATTTCCTATTTTAATTCGCGAATGCAGTGGGGTTCAGCCTAAAGTCTATGCCCGATATGGTAATTACGACTGTATTTAAGTAATATGTCTTTATAATTTCTATGACTCACCTCCTGATTAAATTAAAGGCTTATATCCATTTTACTAAAATCAAATGCTAACAGTGAAAATAACAAGAAATTATCAGAGTACCAACATGAATCTAGAATACCATTTATCTTTAAAATTCGTTAAGCATCCAAAGGCTGTACATTGTTACATTCCGCCTGTAAGTCATTAATAAGCTAAACAAAGGTTGTCGTGGTCGAAAACAATAGTGAATTTGTTGCCAGTCTATAGCTTGTTGCAGTAAGATGAAGTTTCTCTTTGAATTGTTCGACTAATAATAATACTCATTGTGCTTTTGAGCAGCTCCTATGATACTTGTTTATAGAAACCTACTCACACAGGCTCAATTTTTTTGGAATCAAGAATCGTACGTTAAAGCGTGTATCCTGATCTGTAAAAGACAATTTTCCATACATAATAAAAAAAATTGTAGCCTAAAACTAGGCTATATCAATTTTCACCTCCATGAAAGGATGCATCCTAAAACAATCGTTTTTAAATATGTTTATAATCTGTTGATAGTCTAAAAGACTGAACCTACGATTTTTTTCATTTCAGCTGCCGGTCGCGAAACTCATGTTAGCGTCTCGAGGCTTAATGCCGATCAGGTAATGAGCGCGATTGAGAAACTGGCCACGAACCCGTTATAGTCAAACTAGTTGAACATATATCACTCGATATATTAAAATCTGGGTAAATGGATATCCTTGTTAAAATATATATCTATAATAAGTTAAAACAGTAATAATATTAATAAAAGCGTAGCTTTTGCTTTGCTTTGTACGAGTGACGAAGTATATCTATTGTCTTTTTTTTCATTCCGTGAGTTGTCTTAAGTATACACTGTAGATACCACCATTATTACTTTAAGGCAAAATACTAATACATTTCATCTGAAGACGGCCACTGAGTGAAATCAAATGTATTAATCTCATGTTTGAAACGACTGAAAGCTCTCTACTAAAATGAAGTGTTCAACTGAAGTAAGGAAACACAAAATGAAAATAACACAAAAAGATTTTGTGAACAGAGATCAAAGCCAGTTATAACTAGATTTCCTAAAGGAAACTATTATAAAGAAGAAATAGTAGCGTTAACTAGAATCGGCATCGCTTCTCTGTTTTGTAATATATTCTTTCATACGTGTGATATATTAATTTCGTTCCTGGAATATTAGTAGTTATTAAAAATGCTTTTCTTTTTTATAATTTTTGGTAATGTTTATATATATAAACATTTATATATATAAACATGATGTTTTTATGTGAAATATTAATGTTTTTATTGATAAATACGCACCACAATTTTGTAGTGCATAACTTGTAGAATATAGAGTGATATATCTAGAGGTCAAGGTGTTGATATTTAGAAAATATACGTGTGTGTATAACAACATTGTCTAACATTAGTTAAATATTACAAAAATGGATAACTCAACTATCTATTATTGTATAAAAAATGTTTAGTCCAAATTATTAGTCGGTTCTTAATTCACTATAGATAACAGAGGAGTATACGAAATAGTACGTTATCGTATATTTATGATATATACAAATCAGATACACATTAAACATTTATTACGATTATAAATGGTCGTGGTAAATACACAGATGATAAGTGTATTCTGATGAATTTGAACGGCTGACTGGTGTACTTAATTTGTGATGTAACTTGTCGTAGACCGCTATTACGGCCTGCGCCAAACTATTTTCATTTCATTTTTGACGGTGCGTAGAATTAAATTTTATTAATTGTTCTTTTATTACTTGAGACTTGCGCACTTTTATCTAAATATATTTTTAAGTCAGTATGAAAGGCAAATTACGTTTATTTCATATTTCAAAATGGCTCTACCTTGTAACGGTAAGAAATTCAAGGACCCGGCGGGCATAGCTCGTTAGTGCAAGCAGTATGCGCCATTAGTTTGAAAAGCCCAAGGTGTGAAATGACGTCCTCGAAAATGAGTTTTGTGCAAGATGTCCTGTGAAAGTGAATAAGGAAGTGTTGCGAGCTGCGGTGAAATCTGACCCATCTCAAAATTCCCGAGTATTTGCTCTAATGTTTAGTGCATGCAAAAATACCATCACCTCGGTCTAATTGTCAAGCTAAAAAAATTGGACTAGCAAGAGCCGCATAATCTGAACAAGATACAAGGAGGTCAAGTGCAAGTGTCTTCCACTATAGCTTCATGAGCTCTGGCTTTCGATTATGGCTGAAATGTACAGTTAATCATTTGAGGAGATGATATACAAACTTCGCATTGAGCAACTGAGATTAGAAGCTAGAGGTAAACCATTCCTATTGAACGATAGCGTTCGAGTTCACACCGCAAGAGTTACAGTGATAAAGATGTAGGAGTTATAGCTGGAGGCACTTTTTCATCTGTTACACCAACAGATTAGCTCTTTTTCAAAATACCGACAGCTTCAATAGGTAAACTTTTCAAGTCTCAACATGATGCCGAAATTGCTTTTCAAGGCTCTATAGATATTTAAATTCAAATTCTTCAAAAACTTCAAATTTCAACAGTAAAAATATTGCTAACTAAAAAAATTGGAAACGTTCGTATCCGCTATCTTACATTTCATATAAAACGACCTAAAATTAACAAACAAAAGAAAAACATTGCACCAAAGTTTCGAGGTGTTGATATTATGTCATTGAGGTTTGTCAACTGACGTGCTTATGTTCCCCGGTAGTTACGTCGGTTTGCATAAGTGCGGTGAGATTTTTTTTATTACGCTGGGCACCGTTTTCCGTACTCTATCTCTCTAACATAGACCACAGGTTAATGTAGACCACAGGTTTTTCTTCCTCCTCTAATTAGTCCAAATGACCGCTTTACATGATGATGCCTTCGCTCACCCCATTAAGTTCAAAGTTGGTGCAAGTCGATTTGCAATATGAGTGAGTTTGCAAGTATAGTATCGACGATGTAATAAGCTGCCGTTTGAACCGTCTTTTATTGTTAACAACTTATTCTTTTCTATTATTATTATTATTATTATTTCCCTCCCAAGGTCACTCCCAACCAAGCTCTTCATTTAACAGTACCTCAATAGTTACTCAGAGAGTTATAGGGGCAATAGTTACTCAGAGAAGCTGAAATCCCCAAAAATTATAAGAGAATTTCCGGGTTTGTCATAAATACTGCGGCCAGACTCTAATACAAGTGACGGTCGTTCGACAGACCAAAGCTTGGCTCACTTCTCATCAGAAAGTTACTACCGTTTTAGCTGCTCAAACAGATTGTGCGAAGAATTGCTAGAGAGTTTAAGAGGTTGCCGACATGGCACGCCCATTGTAAAACGTTGTTCTAAATGATCATGGAGGCGCGAAACTGAACTTCCATTGACTATCATACATACTTAGTACTGCAACTAAGCTTTTCTTAATAATCGATTCTTCTGATTTAATAAAGCCCGATTGTACTCGAATTGCTTTTAGATACAGATCAGTTTATCCCATCTTTATGATTGTACTTATCACTAAATAAACATGGTAATAGTAAATTTAAAGTAGAATTAGCGATTTATTAATTAGAGAATAATTTGAAGTTGAGACCTTCAAGTAATATTAGCATAATTAGGGTGTGAAAGATAGGGTCAAAGATATGTTTCAAAGTAACAAATGAATATTTATTTTATTATGCATGTTAGTGGGACTGGACCTTTTAACTTCACTTGATACAAAAATACGCATTCAAACGCACAGCTTTCCCTGAGCAACTAGAGAAACTGCGCTAAACTGCAGATCACGTTGTGGTATATAGGCAAGTGTAACACTGGTGACCACCATGTTTTTGAAGAGTCCTACGATGTCTTTCTCAAAAACTGAAAATAAAAATTTTTCAAAAAAGCGTTTGTGTTTGTACTAAACTACTTGTTCACTGAATTAAAAGATCAACAAGTATACATAGAATTATAAAGCAGTGCCACCTGTGCTTTTAAGTACTGTACACCCTTTCTCGTACATGTCATCTTTCAGATTAAGCTAGAAAACATAACGTCTGATCTGTTTAGGACGCTTTCCCATCGACCCGTCGTTATCAAGAGTAATCCGAATGCTATTTTAGCTTAATTTTCTTTCTTAAATTCTGCAATACTATAGGTGATCCGGCACACGATACTAGTACGTGGCTTCCATTCGCTTAAACATGTGTTGCCGTATTGTAGTTTATTCTCTCTTCATCTTCAATTGAAAGCAAACAACGACTGAACGATGGGTTCGTGTGCAAAACAACACTTTACTGCATCACTTTGATTTTGATGTGTTTCATGGCGCTTTTGGAATGTTAATTACATAATACAGAACATTTTCATTTGATATATATAACAATATGTGGTTATCATAAAGATGTGCACGACAGTAGAATGTTGTCTTTGTCATGCACGATGAAATAACTGTTTTTTTTTTTAATAATTTAGATACAGTAATGGTTCATCTAATAATGGTGGGAATAGTCGACCTCATAATAATGTTGCTTTGAAGCGGTGGCTTGGACGATTGAATGTCTAGTTGAAAAGCCAGAGGTGGCCCGTTTAAGATAGATGTTGTAAAACAAAGAAACATGGAATGAAACATAAAACGTAAAAAACATTTGCAACTATTAGCCAGGGGCATCAGCTACTGTTGTCGTCGCGTGAAAATCGACGTTTTTCGTAGCTTTCACTCCGAACTATCGTTTTAGGTGTAGAAAGCGGGGTAGCACTTTGAGCCGGCTCGTTAGGTGTTGTCGTTTGACACCACAGACTAGTGCCTTATACTGAATGAAGTTTTTCACATTTTGGCATTTCTCGGTAAAGATAGATGCGAAAGGACTTACTTTACCAAAAAGTTCGCCACATTGACAAACTCAACTTTTCTGTGAATAGTTATTAGAAGTTCAGTCAAAAATAGAGAGCTCCAGAAACACTTTTTAACTATATGTCTGAAATTCTCACATTACCACTTTCGACGAGATATTCGACGATTTGTCAAGAAAACCCCGAGAGTTAACAAAAATCAAAATTGAAAATAATGGATGTAACCATTTTGCGCAAAGCCCTTTCATATTTTTCTTTTGCAAATAGTGGACATTGCTGGAGGACTACACTCATAGAAACAAACTACTAATCCACACACACTATTTGGGTGATCGTCTTCCATGTAACTGTCTGCAGTAGTGGCAAAAAGGCGATATTAGTCTTTAAAATTCGTAATTAGTCAACACTTTATTTTTCTTTTTGATAGTTTGAAAAAAGTGGGGTCCGCGAGGATATGTCAATTAAAAACACATTGATGCGATTAAACGAATCAGTTCAATTGTAAAATTGCTTTTAGATGCATCGTAGGTTGTAAGTTAACGATTCGGCTTATCTTACCTCGTTAGCATCGGGCATGATGCTTCCCGTGGTGAAAAAGCGATAAAGTTTTATAAGTGGCTCGAACTGAGAGGCTCAATGATAATTTTTTTAAGAGGATTATCCGTTAATTTCGCTATCAGAAAACTCAAATAATGTTACTCACACGATATACATAACAAAATACCACTGTTACCATTATGATTATACCGTAACAAAACTGAATTTTAGTTGATTTAAAAGTTATTTTTTTGTGTGTTAAACTTATTCGTGCTTAAATCGACACAGTTTTTAATTAAAAAATTTAATGACTGATTTTGAATGTTGTATCTGTGCCTTCCTTGTACTTTTTTTTTCTAGAATAATTGTTTTGTCATTAACAAGCATCACGCTTAACCTCAATTTTTAATGCACAAAAAGCACATAGCTACCGCTTATGAGGTGCCGAGTACCTATTTCAACAATGTTGTCTCCGATCGGAGATGTTTGATATTCATAGTTTTCGCGTTTAAAATGAACAGTTACTAAAGTTTATTTAGCCAGCTATACATAAGTAGTATTGAAAATATCGTATTACGTCGCGTATATACCTGCATACCGAGTTAATGGTCACATAGTTCTTAAGCACTTAGCAGTTTTATTTGATGTAAAAAACGTTACCCTAACACTATCAATATTACTTTTTGTAATGTATATGCTATCTTACAGTTTTTATGTGGATTGTCTTATCGACTCATCACTGTGTGTTGGGCTTGCTATGCTAGCTACTTGAAATAAGCCCGCGCGTGCGCGAGCCGTGAGGCAAGCACGGGTAGACTTTCACTGACACTTTTGGCGAGAAAATCCACGTAGGGGACAAATTTTTTTTCAATAAGATCTAGTCGGCGCTCACGTGAGAACCGTAATGCTGTTTGCGATACATCATCAAGAGTGTTCCTCACTGCCTTTGGAGACATCAGCGTCCGTACGCTAGTCCGTTCAAACCATGCGGTATGCCTCCGTGAGATGTCCTCAATGTCAGCGCCTGAGGCAAGATCAGCAGTGGCTATGCACTCCTGTGCTGTTAGCGTTATGTGCTGGTCGAGTAAATCCATTATGCACATGATCTTAAATCGAGCGATTTGTTCATCGGGCGAAAGTTCCGTGACATCCATGTGCACGAGGGCATGGGCAGCTTCTTTAACTCGAAGGATATATGTCCGAACTCGAGCATAATTTCGATCTGATGTAAAAATTGTAAATGGCCATGGAAAAAGGTCAACAATTACGAACGGTTCCATGGTTTTGACTCGCCACTCCGGCCCAACGAGATCTTCGAGCAAACTGTCGACAGCCCCCGGCTCTCGTGGACAGCGACCGTCGAACACCATTCCGGCCAACCTGTGCATTTCATTGCTGACGACAAATGAGTGTGACTGAAAACGCCGGAGTATTTTAAACGCATCGTACTCCGTTTTAAGTTTATCGACAAGGGCCGTATTGACCAGCTTGCACAGAGGCAAGATAGCTGCTTTGGCTGCCGCGTGAACCGGTATACCTTGTGCCGTACGTTGTAGAAGTGAGTCGACTCGACCAACGATGTCAACGACTTCTGCATTAGCTGGCAATGTCGCATCGACAAGAGGCTTGCCGGTGTGCTCTTTGTAATGGACAGCGCATTGGGCTGACATTTTGACACGATCGAGATACGAGTGCAGGAACATCTTTTCTGGAATAGGTCCCCGAACAATAACGTCTCCATGAGGGCTTCGATCAAATAATAGTTCTTCATGAAATTCGCCTTTCACCAATAGGTCACAAATTTGTCGTAGCATCGGTTTAGCGGTTTTGACGAAAAAACTTTCATTGCTGAGGTGCGACAGAACGCCGACTGCCTCTAGCCATGGTTCAGGTTGTGGTGTGACAGTCTCACAGATGTGACACAGCTTTAATGATTTTTCCACAAGGCCATCACAGTGGTGTAAAAGCTTCAACATTGTCAAATTCGGCAGTTTTTCTATTTTAGCTATATTGCGGCGAAGCTCATCCAATTCTTCAGCGATTGCGCCTGCGAATGCCTGAAACGTCAGGCTCCTCTCTCGCATTGGCATCGCCAACCATTTCCGGAGGTAGGCCATCCTCTTATGGAACTTCGCAATCGAACTCACGGTTAGCTCTGTACTTATAGCATTGTCACCAAAACCTTTTAATCGCTGAAAAGCCGACCGCACGTTCGCATCCTGTATCGTGTAGAAATCAACCATTGGTCTCTCCTCAATGTGAATAAAGTTCTGCTCGGAAGGTGGGAGATAATAGGATTCATCGTGCGGGCTCTCCGCGCGCTCCGCTTCTCCAATTTCAACCGAGTCAGCCGAGGTCCATGAATCTGAATCGGCTAAGGCACCTGGTACTCCTTGCTCGAGTAGCAGGTCATCATGTAAAGAGATTTGGTGCAGCACATCCTCAAACAGAGGTTCCCTCTGGCGACGATCCACTTGCTGAAATTCTAACGGACTAGGCGATAATTCTAACAGAAAATACAGCGTGTCTGCTATATAGGGCGAGTGCGTGTCTATCAAAGCGAGAGCCTCGTCCGCAACCTGCTGCAGATGTTCTGCACGTTCATGGTCTGAATGCTCATTACAAATATTCACTTGTTCCCAGAAACGAACTTCAAGTTCACCTCGTAATGGGCGCATACCCTGGCTTATCGCTAACAACCTTTTAGCTTTCATTAGATGCTTCTGCAGCTGTTGACCTTTGGCAGCGGTTAGATGTTCGATCAGATCGGTGAGGATCTGATCTTGCAAACCAAGCGCCATCCCAAGTTAAGAAAAACTTTGCCTCGTTTTCCAGACGTATGCGTTATGTGATTACAATCATGTGGCTGACATTCACACAATTTATTGCAGTAGAAAAAATCGCGACATTTCTGTGCGTTGTTGCAATTCGAACAGTTTCTGTTTATAAACACTGTATCAAGCGCGCGAAGATTTAAAATATTCAAAAACATGCGTTTCTTACTATTACTCGTTATTTTCGGACCACTGAAAATTGGCTGAATTTCTTTAGAAAAACTATTAAATCTGTTTATGTAAAATAGATGTTTTGTTTAACTGGAAGTCGATTAAAAGGAAGAGGAGTAATTAAGAAAAACGGAAACGACTCAAACTGTTTTTTCGTCAGTGATGTGATTGGAATCTAACGCTAATTTTAAAATAAATCGCTAAACATGATGCCTGCTTCTTCTTCATTTAATGTTTTTCATGCGATACGACTTCAGCAATAAAATTGAGTTCAGAAGTTTGAGACTTCTACGAAAGGATTTACAATTTCATTGTGTACCATAAAGCCATTACGTACGACGGTTCATATTTAACATTTAGACTTGATTGAAAGCTATACCATCCTAGTCATGGTATCAATAAACCTGTCGAAATTGCCCTGAAGAGCCACTTAAGGGAAGGTATAAATACTGTACGTTCAGTATTTGAAGCTAACCTAATTTACTAGTTATATTTTGAAGAACTCATAACATGCAATCAACACTCACCAGAATACGGTAACTCTACATAGAGCTCGATATCACAAAAATTAATGAACGCTGTGTGTACTTATTCGTTTGCTGTTCATGTCATTCGTAGCTTTTTTTACTTATTCGAATACCTGCTAACTCAAAAAAAACCTTGAGTCTATGACAGCACGAAGCTCTGCCTTTGAGGCTCTCTAACATCGTCACGAGCTTTCCTATAGTGAGTCATGTAGTCAATTGCTCTACTATAGTGAATATACTTAGAGCAGCATTTTTCATATACTTTTATTTCATTTATTTTTTTTGTTATGTTGTTATGTTCAGTTTTTGTCACATGCATATAATATATCGATTACGCAGACGTAGTTGTCTCTTCCATGGCACCTAAGTTCATCAGCTATTTTCAGTTTTCTCGGTTCTAATACTAATAAATGTAATTATAACATATTTTAAGTTTTTCTTTATGCATTGTGTCTTCCACTCGCCTACAGTTCTAGATTTTTCGTGATTTCTGAGTTTTGAGGACTGAAAACAGTCAACCAATGGCGACAGCTGCCATAAGTACACTTAAACTGAACTCGTGCCGCACCTTGCATAGGGCCGCACATTGACATTGTTATGATAAACAATGTGCCCATTGTACAAGACGCATTAAATAGAGAAAAAATATCAACACTACTTACAAACATAAATGCAGTAACAATGGGTATAGGCTATTCTTTTTCTTCGTAAAGTGGTGGTATTTTTTTACGAATATATACTTAAATGTCTATATATATAACAAGGCAATTGTAAATAATATATTTTTACCTTCCTCACATCTATGGTAGTTAGGCGGTGCGCGTGCATGCATACAGACAGTTATGCGAAAAATAGATAGAAACTAGCTTACGGATTATTTACTGCTTATAAATAATACGCTTTCAACATGACCCCGAATTTGAAATTTACAGATAATAAATAGTTGCCGGTAATTTTCATTTATAAAACGGGATACCAACTTTCGCCATTATTATATATTAGTCCAGATCCTCTAAATTGAGAAGGATATGTAGGCAAAAAAGTATGTACTAGTGCAATAATGATAATACTGTAAGCACGTCTGTGTTCAACTTAAACGCACTCTGAGTAATCGTTATTTCAGCTTGTATTGAGTGGAGTAGTCAGCCACATAATCGTAGGCTTAATTTATACGCACAAATAACTAAAAAAACTATTTGTAAAGCAACTGAATATTATTGTTTCTTGTGAAAGTCGACGTCCCACATTCTCAGTAAACAACCAACATGCAGCTAATTCGATTTTATTATTATTGTGATTGTAGACGGATTTTCTGTTTTCCAAACTAAAAGATTCTGTGTTTACATCTGTATACATGTGTACAGATGTAACACAGTATCATTACTGTGTTATGATCTTTTATGTTTGATGTATTTTGGTTTCGTTAGGTGATATATCTTTAAACCTCCAAGTTGACTGCTGGTCTAAAAGGATAAAATAGAAACATTTTGCATTCTACAGCACTATTCTAGTCGATAGGTTTAGGTTTGAAATTTTTGTACAGGTTAAAACACAACTCGTCAACATTTGTTAATGTTTCAATGTTAACAACGCAAAAAGTCATCGTTCTGTCTGTCTATTCAAAAAGCTCGTATTTCCAGCTGGAAGATTCTCACGTAGTTCAATATATGGCATTATGAAGCTATCTACGTTTAGTTTGATGTATCTCGATTCGCGCGAGTATCTCAAAATGTAGGGATCTTGGCAGAAGTGTAATATTTCCCCACTTTTAACCACTGAAGCATTACACGTTGTTGCATTCAAATCAAACTAGCTGGTTGTTACGGAAGTCAGCTTTTCTCGTGTTTAAAATTTTGATTCTTTAAAACTTTTTTCATAGATAGATCAGCGTTCAGGATGGCTGTTTGCTGCTGTTTGGTGTGAGAGAGCGACAATTTACTGTAGTTTTAGGTGTACCCAAACGTACGTGTGTGCGTGCTCCCCTATTGATGTCCCGTCTTGCTAGGTTGTGTTATAGGAAGACATTTTAGATGCATCGTCATTTGTAAAGTTCTATTAACAACGTCATAACATATTCTGGACGTAGCTATTAACAAATGAACGGCGGCGATCATTACGGATACGGTCAGGGGCCTCTTAGCGTATGGTTTTTCTTCCATTATTGATAAACGATTTTTGCATAGCAACATCGCTACGAGATACAATGTCATAATAATGCCGAAATGTAATATCTATATAATGGTATTGATTTTCTTACCGGCATCTTCTCATGTTTATATAATAGAAATAACAACTGTATCATTAGAAGGCAAGTTTTACATTTAATTGTCCCTACATACATGTAAATTATTTCACACCTGTACAATCAAATGTAGCAAAACTCTCTAAATTGTTAATTTGGTCTCTCGTTTCGTACACGTGTACATTTTGTAACATGATGATCTCACACATATATATATATATATATATATATATAGGAACTGCATTCACAAGCGAGCACAATTTAAAACTATGATTATAACAGTAGTGGTTATGACTTGCCGTCCATTTCAAAAAGTTACTTTCTTTCGTATCCTATCGGATTCCCGGGAAGAATAACATTTCCGCAGTGAAAACTAACCGTAGAATTTGTACCTAAATGGATATTGATATCGTATATACACAGGACGCGGAAAGATGTTGGTTAGAACTTTATAAAATGAGAAAAAAACGTCCTATACAATATTTTATCTAAACACCGAAGAAGATTAGATTTAAGCGCGTTCTGCACAAACGGCGCCTTGGTTTCCTCGTCAATTCCGGGTAATCAGAGAAGATATTTGGAGTTGATCTGAGGATTAATTCTAAATGCTTTCCTTGGTATTCTTTGTTATTAGGATTCTACCGCAGCTTCCTTATCTCGGTATTTCGCGCTAATACTATTTATTGTTTTCTCATTGATTTCTACCTTTTCGCTCGTATTTTCGATCATACTGCAGCGATTGCTTTTAATACTTGTTTTTCTTTGTAAGCATTTGCATGCTGCATTATCTCTACAAGACCAATTGTAAATTAATACATAGAATATAGCACTACTCACAACATTTAATCACTCATCTCTCGCTCGTGCTTCTGTAACTCTGTCATTTTTATGAAAATTAATAATAATAATGAAAACTGAACGGTGACACGTCGGCAATACTACCGACCCCTTGTGTTCTCAATACTTGTGTGAGATGTGTGTCTTTCGGTTTTTTTCTACATTAGTTTATCTCTTCCTGTGTTTTTTTGGCCTCGGCCCATCCCGTTTACTTGCAACTTCCACCTTTCCATTTTTTGTTGGTTTGTTATAGCCATACCCTGCTGCCAGGCATCCTCTATTCACTACTCATGCTGCCGGTTCCGTCCAACCTAATATGTAAACTTCTGTCAAATGGAAGTTATGCTAAAGTAGACACTTTGCCCACTTTGCAAATGCTGACTCACGTCTAGTTCACCATAGAAAAATCTGCTCTATGCGTTACGATTCATTACTACTGATATTGCTGTTAAGAGTAGGTGGGCCTGTAGCCTTTAATCCAGTAATCAGGATCAGTCAGGCCGTGAGTACATTTATGAACGTACGTTTTGAAGTTCCTCGAAGTTGGTTAAGCCTGTTTTGGTGGAAACTACGTGCAGTTAATAATATGCATCTACGATAGCCTGCAGTATAGCAATTGTCGTTCACGCGGGTGTCCTCAGTAATAGTTGCATTCTAAGAGGATTTATCGGCGTGGATGCGAAGCCATACAAAAAAGGCAGAATATGGAAAAAAAAAACAAGAAATTGATTGGTGCCCTTTTTGGTTGGTTTTCTCGATGTTGGCGTAATAACACTATCGGCATTACTACGACGGCGACTAATAACGCGATGAATAAAATGATCGATTCCAATGTCTGCTTGTCGCACACTGCACTCGAAAGAAGAAGCGAGTTTATAGAGGGACCTCTTCAAGGGGGTTGATCGGGTTGGCAGGCACAAAGGCAAACGCGTCCCGCAACATGTCGCAGCACACCTTTGAACCATCCGCTGCCTCTGAACTGTGAGTAAAAAAATTAGGGAGTAGGTTTATTATGGAAGTGCATTGAGTTTATTGTTATCTGAAATTGGTTGTCAGTCATCGTGTGAAAATAAATTTAAAGAAGTAATAAACTCATCTCTTGCGCTTAAATGTTCTTGAGTTCTAATCATCTGTACGTAAGGCTTAACCTAGTAACAACAATAGTAAAGGTTTCTATAGCAGGTTACCTAAAGGGGAGGAAGTTCAGGAATCCATGCGGCAACTGATCGAGCACGACTAGCTCGCAAGGACGGCCTAATCTGTGAAGTCGACGGGCGAACGACACCATATCATCAAGGGTGGGATCAAGGTGAAGGCCCTACAACAGTCAGTATCAATAACAACAAAAAAGGCGTTGGAATTCGATTCTGTACGAAAGCATACAGTTTGAAAAATGTTTCGAAGAAAACACCAGCTAGCATTTGTTCACATCGGAGACATGAAAGATGATTCGACATTGACTACGACTGCTAATATCGTAACGTTCAAGGTTGATATGCTTCTGTACCGCGACGTTGTTATGTATCATCACCTGTATTATACATACCAGCAAATATGTAGGTGGTAAACGCGAAAGTAGGTGATCGTCCGCGAGGAGTGGTGAAATGAAGGGTGACGCCGCTAGTGAGTCAATTCGGGCAAACGTTCGTTCAGCCCGCTCCGGATCAGACGACTGTGGAGAGAACCACGGGCGGCCCGGGTTCTGCCATGCTTGATTTGTGCCCGTAAACATCTCTAAGGGCTTGGCGATGTGCGCCTGTATTGGCAGATATCAATTTTTGACTTTATTATGGCAGTCTAGCATGCTTTCGTTACTTTTTATTATAATATGGCAATGATATGTTGTAAGGACTAGTCCTTTAAACGTTTTACCCGATTTTTCTCTATAAGTTATTTGCAAGTTTGCTGAATTCACCTGATATAGCCTTGAAGTGGTATCGTAGACGGCGTCGCCAATTTCCTGAAGGGTGTCTTTCTCTTTTTGACTGCTGCTTTCGCCACTGCTCGCGTTGGAACGACGCTCCTGGAGGGGGTGAGGTGAAAGAAAATATTTTTCAAGATAACCTCAAAATTGTGTAGTAAATATGTCTCATGTTATAATAAATATCCCTAATTTTGTAGTAAATATTCCAAATTTAGGATATTATTTTCTTAGTCTATTGTTTTTGACAGATTTATAAGGTTATCAACATAAAAGTTCATTTTGAATATCGCTACTTAAAGGTGTATCAATTAATATCCGACATCGAGTACGAGAAATTTTTTGATATCCGCTAAATTAAGTACACACTCTAAAGAAAAAACATTTATGAAAATAGTTATGCCGGAATGTCGCAAAACAAGGGAAAATATACCTGTTGATTTTCTTCATTTTTGTTGTTAATGATTTTTACTTGTTCGAGGTGTTCAATAGGGACTTTGACTGGACTACCAGAATCAGGACTCGCCTCCATGTCAACTCCGGCATAACCTGAGTAAAGAAATATTTTTCAAATTCTTTCAGAAAAATTGCATAGAATTGAATTTGATGATCACCATAGACAGAGACCCAGACCGATTTGAAGTTCTGGGGCTGATTAGGTTATACTATGTTGTTGCGCAACTGGTTTCAGCAACAAATAATACTAAATCCATTGGTAAAAACGCCGAAGCCTTGTGATATAGCTGGAACGGAAAAGTTAGAATTGTGTAAAATAGCACTGCACAGCCTTAAAAAGCATTGCCTTTAGTTGGAAAGAAGTTGCCTTTATTGCGGACACGGATACTATTTAGACTAAAAAGCAGCTTTTTTCTAAGCTCTGAGCCTAACTATTTTCACGTATTTGCATCTTAATCTGTTACATACCCATTTCTCTTTTATGTTACATACCCGGTCTCTCTTAATGTACTTACTGAATTCAAGGTGTGGTTCACACAATCCAATAGGAACTCGCTGTCGACATCGCATTGTCTTCTAATAGGTCTTTCGATTGACTAGTTTTGCATTTGAACGCATGCAGAAATCAAGCGCAATCGAGTGCAGTACTCACTGTGAAGGCAATGTAGCAAAAACTCGAGGGGTATCAGCGAGTCCATGGCGCACAAAAGTCGGGAGGGGGATGGAGTAAGTTGCAGATTAAGCGGCGTATACGCTGCGAACAGCCCATCTGGTGGCCGAACACCGAGATGGAGGCATTTGAGAGCGAGAGCCACTGATAAGTTGCCCCCGCCGCTGTCACCACCCACCACAATTTTTTCTCCGCTCCAACCTGATTAATGTTAAACGTTAAACGCGTTGACTCAGAATCGAATATACAGCATAACGTGGACGTATCTATACTCAAGTCATTTATATGGATTTCAAATAATTGACTCACAATCCATTCTTTTCTAACACTACAGTTATACTAACCGACAGCAAAGGGATTATTCACAAGCCATGCATACGCATAAAAGAGTTCTTCTAAGGCACGAGGAAACGGTGCTTGTGGTGCCAGCGTGTAGTCCAAAGATAGCAATGGCATTTCAAGATCAGCAGCCCATTGGCGTAGATAGATTTCGTGCGAGTCGGGCGACTGCGCGATAAATCCGCCGCCGTGCAGGTGGAGAAACATCGTACTCGTCGGGGGATACTCGTACGCAGACGTTGGGGCCGCACCCACAAGAGCGTCCTGATATAGAGATACAATAATCTTATGTTAGTCATATAAATGTTTACAGGTGTTATCGCACAATGGAAACGCTCATCTAATATCGAACGGATCGGAGCTCATTTTGCCAATAGATAAACACATATTATATACCGGTAATTGTTACTGATAGTGAGACTGGCCCATTAGACCGGAAAAATCACGTCTATTTTTATCTGCAACGCAGAACGGCATATTTTTTTTTGCTCAGGACTAGAGTTTCTTAGATTTATTTCCGGCGGCACATTGAGAACAATTTCAAATGAGCGAAATGTAACGTAAATATATGAAATATAACAATAAATAACTGTAATTATATCTACGCGGGTCAAATTTGCTGGTATTTATAACACAAATAACTTGATATAGAATAGTCAACCAGTCAACTCATTAAGCTTGCACATTCTATGAGCATACTAAAAATAATATAGTCCAAATAGCCCTATTATAGCTTACCTGACCCTGACGCCGGACGTGCGAGAATAAGCGTCCCCTAACGGGCTGGGTTGGCACGTGCGACATTGGGTAAGGGACGTCAAGATGCTCCCCCTCGCGATTGAGTTTGAGGGGCTCCAATGGGAGAGTGACACGTTCGCACACTTCAAGCGATGGACATATCCAACCCGGAATACGCTGAATATCGGAAAAGGAGGATGGTCATAATAGTATCCACAGGTATTGTCCGAACCTTGCACTGTGTATTCACACTTGAATATTGAGTATGCCGATTTTATTACACATGTATTTAGATTAAGAAAAAAACGAGTAATCAAGTCCTCCTTTAGAGAAAAAGAAGAAAAGCATGAAATGATAGACGATTTCTTATTAATTGTTATCGCATTATCTTTATAACCTATTAATTTTACCTATGTTCTCTTTAGAGCATAAGTCAATATGAACTTAGAAACAAGTATATTTTTTGTGAACCTTTGTGACCGGTAGTTCATTAAGAGTCCAAAAGCTCTTGAGAAAGTCTACGCTGACATTTCGTACGAGGGAAGCATTGCGTTCAGCTCGCTCGTCGATATCGACTCCATAACGTGTCGAATTGAATAGCGTGGCAGCTAGGGAAGCCACATATGATGATTCATTCCGGTACTGCTCCGAAAACGTGGCCATTGCAATACTGACTGCGCTTAGGCAATTTTGCAACGATTCACACATTGTGAAGCCCAGAAGACGACCGAAAAACGGTCTCATGTCGAACGAAGTGTAGTCTTTCATTAGTGCCTGTAGGAAATAATTAAAACAGGGCCATTGACTTCGATGTTATTTGTCAGGTTTTTTAGTTATGGGATAAACATAATTTGAGTTAATATGAATTACTTGAGGACTTACAATTTAGGGAGTGCAAGAAAAAGTTTTAGCCACACACCTTAAAGTCCATTTTGTCTCTGAGAAACAGTTCCCCGTCATCGGCATGCTTTGCCATACTAATTAGCATGGCTCCAGCTTTGCGAATTTCCTTGGATGCGATTACGCGAACCTGTATAGAATTTAAAAGAAGAAGGGTTACAGATATTTGCCGTTACGAGCATTATAGTTTACATTTTCCGGTTTTACAATTGTATTTGTATAATAAAATACGGTTGTGTTGCGTGCTTTTAAGAAATGCACGCACGATTTAGAAATAATTCACACTATTTATGCAGAACACAAAACTGTGGTTCATACCTATACGGGGCCAAAGTTTTTAAATAAAGAATTAGATCTTGGGACAGTACGGGAAATTTTATTTAGTTACTTATACTACAGCTTCTTTACACGGATTGTTACCTCAACATCTTTAGCGAATTTTCCCGCTCTGAAAAACATTGAGTCTCGTTTTTCAACAATTTGCCGACAGAGGTCCAACGTATTCGATACAAAGCGGTCAACTGAAAAAAAAAAACAAAGTTAACACAGTTACTCATATCTCATCACGTATTTATTTGATTATACACTCACCTTCTCGTTTATTGTCAGTGATGACGTTATTAGCAAGTAAATAAAGCGCTAATCTTACAGCCTCAGTCGACATTCGAAGTTAGAATAAGTGAACGTCAAATGTGCTATAGTAAAAAAAATACATTTCGACCCATACGATGAATGCGCTTTATTTGGACATCAATATGGCTCAATAAATGCTTACCGCCAAAACCAAGTTCATAACAAGGTGCGTCAAAATTATTGTAAAAAATGGATCGCACACTAAATCTTTTTCAGTTTGCGTTGCGGTTCGTTATGGGTCATTTACTCAATGGGTAATATCCAGTTTAGTTAGTATAACGGCAAAACACGCGACAACCTTTCATCTATAGGCAAAACGTTATTCCAACTGGGATATAATTGAGACAGATATTAGTGAATCCCCATGCCGATGAATATTCTATCACAAGTGTTTGATATATTTAGATCCGCTTATATCGTAAGCGAGATATTGATGAATTTTCTAACGAATTGATTATAGAGTTTCTCAAAAAGACGCTATACGTTTTACAGAAGTTTATAAGCTTAGGCGTAGTAGGTCATATTATTGTACCTTCTAAAGGCCATGCCTTGTGAAAAATTGTAACATTCATGGGCGGCTAGACTTCTCGCTTGAACTTACACAAAATATAATATTTTGTACAACTAAACCAGAGTTAAACGTAATTATAAAGACCCGCTGAAATGTATGATAGGACTTTCCACTGAGGCCTAACCCTATCTATTCTATTATCTTGGAAAAATCGAACTATCCCATACCTACATACGAAGCAGGTAAAAAAAACAGGTATTTTGAGCAGGTCTGTTAGTTAGTCTTTAGTTAGTTAACAAATTGTGGTGTGTAAAGAGCAATCCGATTCATGATGGTTTGTGCTTCTTTGACCTAGGCTGTCGCCGGGCTGAGAAAGTCTTCGCGCACAATATAAGCCTATACGAGGGTATCTAAAGCAACCAAGTGGGCAACTTTTGACTTTTGCTCTATAACTGTTGAGATCACCGCGATAGTCCGCGTAAGACAGCAGGTATATAAATCAAGCTATTATTTGAACATTATAAATTGACTGCTGGGGAAGAAAAATTTATCTGGCTGGCTACATATTTCTTTCTAGGATACTATATATTCAAAGCCCTGATGATGTTTTTTTTTTAAAACCAACAGTTATCTCACTATCGAAAAACTGATGCTTACTTTTCCGCTCGATTAGATCAAGCTGGAAGATATCCTGCATTTGTCATTCCTACATTCAAGCATCCCGTTGTTAGGGTCGTACAATCTATAGAAAACCTTTATATTGATAGCCACATTCGTGTTATTAATGCGTGTATTTAATTTGGTTGCGTTTGAAGTTATGAATTTCTACTTTCTTAAAAATGTCTAATCCGTTTAGTGCACAGAGGAATTGTTTATGCACTTTCATAGATATGCTTTGTTTCTATGCCTATGATTGTCAGGTTTATTGGATTGATTACGACGGCCCCGCGTAACAAAAAATAGGGCACATTTAAAGGTAGACTTCTAAACAATCTTGTGTACAAAGCTTCGCCTAATTGTGGTTTATTCGCTTTTTCGGAGCTATGTTACACCATTTTGTTCTTCAGCAGGTCATTGGCTCTAAATGTTCTAGATTCGCTAGCGACCTTGATGCACGCTTCAATATTGTATTAGTTGAAAATCAAGTGGTCTCTCTACATGACTATTCTTAAAGTCCTTTGACAAATTACGATAAAATAAGCCACCCTATTAAAAACACCCCCAGGATCCCTGGGGTATGAATAAAGGACAAGTAAGATACTAAAGGTTGAAATCGCCGCTGACCTACTTTAATATAGGGACAAGCTGAGTTAAAGGCAACAATCCTGGTTTTATTCATCGGAAGTGTTAAAAAAATCAGTGAAACAATTATGGAAAGCTTGAAATTACCGTTCTTGTTTAAAGTGTCGTTTCACACAAAAATAAATGTATCAATATTAAACGGATGCGAAATCTGAATTTAAAATTACATTTTTATGTCGATGGGTTTTTTTGCAGAGAATGAAAAGAAGTCAGTGTAGAAAACGGTATCTAACTAATACGATCCTGCTAATAAATATACAGAATCGTTATTGTTCGACTGGGCTGTCCCAATCTCAGCTCCGGTCTTCTTGTTAAAAGATGCAAAGAAAACCATTTCCTGGCGTCCGCGCCTTGATGATCGTGGGTCTTGACAAAAGCTTATACATTTCTCATACTTTATGTCCAGTACTTAAGCCATTAAGCAGAATTTAAGATGGTTGCTTTTCAACACACATCGAACTGTGTCTACGTCCGAGATGGAGCATTTGAAAATACATCGTGGACTTTTTTGAGATAGTTGACTTTTCGTCGCGCGCAGTTTTGTCATGTCGCGTACGGTCATGGGCTCTGTCAATCGAACTGTCTGAAAATCGTATACAGGACTCGTCGAGGAACCTCAATCTCGTGTTTAAAAGTGTATACACCGCTCAGGCACATAGCTCAAGTACTTTTTCTTTCTCGATTGGAAGGGCTGAATCATGAACTGACGGCCTTTCGCTGGGGTTCTCGTCGAATAAATTTTTTTCGAACGAAATAAGCTGAGGCCCTCAATAGCCATCCTAGAAAATATACTGTCTGTCTGGTGCAATTAAGATGTACATTGAGTGATTAACTTTGGAACCATAGGGACGTCTCGAAAATATTTAGTTAAACAGTTTCCCAGTCTATTTGTTATGATTTATACCCTAGACAAGCGCAATACTATTAGTATTATTATGCTATGGTGAACTATAGCTATTACAGTTTGTATATGCGTCCTTCAGAAAGTTAAATGAGTATAAACTGTCGAGTTTGTTTAGGAATATCGGAACTATTATAGAATCGACATCTGTCTCCCAAGAGCAACCGAGGAAAAAAGCCGCTCCCTTCTTATAGTTGAAGTTTTCGACCACGCACAATTTGATGAATATCTTTGCAAAAATAATTAACATCGGATCAGCGCTTAATCAGACATTTAACCACATAACGTGTACCCAAGTCCATAAATATAATTAAGATCAGTACTAGTCAATTAATGCACCAATAAGCAATTATTAGCGCAATATGTAAATTTGAAATAACGCAGAGAGAGATGAAATTCGGTTTTGTCATAGCGGAAGTCTCTTCGGGCCTTAAGTAAACATTTCAATCCAGAGTGGCATCAGTTTGTCCTTGCGTGTCGTAGTAATAATAGTGGCTCTAGGTCGTAAAGCAACAGCAACATGTTGTACAGAGGTCAGATTAATGTATTTTTTTGCTAATTGTTTTTAAGTTGCGAACATTAGGGCAGGATTCACAGTCTATGGTTAGATCGTTTGTTCACACTATTCAACTAAGCAAATGTTAGGGCCAGACAAGCTGCCTGCATAAATAATTCGTATCCTTAAAAGCCAAGATGTATTTGCCTATTAGCTATAATTGACGCAGGGATCAGAATGGACAACTTTCGGATTTTTCTGTTCTCTTAATAGACGCTGAAAGTTAATCGGAACTGCTCCGGGCAATACTATTATTCCGAGGCTGAATTGTCCCTCCTAGCGAATATTACTTTGGGATATACTTATATTTTATATTAATCTTAACTAACGGTCGAGTACAAGGAGAAGCTTGATAACTTACATATACACAACTATTTTATTTATTATTATTAGTTTTTTCCTACTTGTAGTTAACCTGTTGGTCCTAATCCAACTATTCCTCCTTACCGATTATAGAATAGCTTCGATATCCGTTTGCTTTCGTATTGGCGTCTGCGTCAAACTTAAATGCTATGTCGTGAATTTGCGATGATTTTTTTTCCAATTCGCTTACCGCCCCCAGAAGCTCTACGAAATTTTGCGTAAAATCATCCTGACACGTGCACGCGAAGTAGTCGATATTGTTCTGTAAATAATGCAAGCAGACAACTATTATTGTTTACGTACCACGTGCGCATGTATAAGATGAACATGAAAAGAAAATCATACGCTCCACAGGGCAAATTATGTACTGTTTTTATATCATTTATACCTCGAACAGACATCATAAGCCAATACGACAAAAGACAATAATAGCATAGCAAACACACTAAAGTAAACAACAAACAGCCAATTTAACAGTCAATACAATGTTTACTCCCGGCTAGTAATACGATTATAAAAGCCTATTGACAAAAACGCTTCGAAGTTTTGGTATCCCATGTTATTACGTCAACAAGTTAATTGTATAATATTGCCTTTCTATCAAACCATATGAACTCCAGTAATATTGTAACAAACTAATTAATGGTGTTTAAAGATCACAACTCTTTATTTCTGTCTTACTCACGGGCAAACGCAGGTAAGTACAAATGCAATTAGTTAGTTTACTAATTACTAATTAGTCAAGCCAAGTGTCTTTTGTCTTATTCCAATTTTCTCTAATGTGTCTCAATTGGATCCTCTCTTGTACGTTCTACACTGCCTGCATAAATAATTAAATTTAAATATATACCATTTATAAACGAACGAACTTTTATTACCAAACATGTGTGTATGGCTGTTCCAGCAACAATTATATACGTATATCAGCACTACAATATGCATTGTTGGGCATGTCCGTCGCTATTGCTCTAAATACGCTAAGTGTTGATCGAAATTATGAAGAAAGGCACACTTTCGCCGAACCTACATTTTTTGTCTAATTGATGCCTGAGCAATGGATCAGTACCTCGAAAATAGCAGATGTCTACGGTTGGTCGCATAAGCGTTTGTTTATAGACTTCCGCCAGGTATAGGTTACTACTGGTTCGAATCCGCTGTGAACAGCAAACCTTCGTAGAATAAGTTGAAGACTCGTCTATCTGAGCCGTTTCCATAGAAAACGAGGAGGGAATGAAGGTCTGTTCGTGATTATTCAGGCCAAGTGGTTCCTTCTGGAGCGTCAAGTTGGCATTCGAGATCTAGGCGCTCCTAAAAAGCATCAAAGGATTATGCCTGTGTGACGATCTCGTGAACTACCTTACTGTAGGGTCGCAGACTCATTCCATGGTCCTTGTGAAGCTTGCACGTGATTACCGAATGGACCAAGATATAGGCAAGCCGAGTCGTTGTTAGAGTCAATCAGCAGTGTACAGAGCCGTTTTCAAGGTAAAATTTCGCCGCTAACAGCAGCCAGACCCGCAGCGTTTCCATGGCATTGAAAGAATGACTCGCCTTGGATGCACAGCCCTTGAGGGAGATGACAGTACTTTAGCTCAATATTGAAAGAATACAGTGGGCAGATTTCAAGTACGGGCTTTCAACAGGCTCCTGCACTAGATCAAAGGGAACACCATGGTGTTACATGTAAATTGCAATCATGCTTTGCCATTCCGAGAAAACGGATGAACGTCTAATTAGTTAATTGCGCAGCGGGTGCTTAAACGCTTTCACAATATCCTCAGGTGGCTCGGTGTGAAGGTTGCCGAACTTTAAATTCTAGGGAGTCAAACACGCATTCTCGGATTTTCTGGCCCTGTTCGAGAAAACCAGTACCTAGAGAGGCTATCAATTATTGAATATGCTGAGGTGCGTACGCACAAAACTCAAGGGGAGGTCTCAGGATAGGAAAAAGACGGAAAATGCTGTAGAGGACTAGACGACCTCGCTACAGGGAATTTGGCACTTATTTTTAATCGGCAATTTTTTTTAATTGCCGACAGAATAGGCTGTCTATTTATTATTCAGTTTATTGTAACGCTAAAAATGTACGCGCTCCGACACTGTCAAAAAAGATCGACGTTTCGTCTATTTGTTAGTAAATTCCTTCGAGAGGATTCGTGTAGCAGCCAAATGTTTTTTGCGTCAATTCGTGCGGCACTCAAACATCGAGCTCTTTTTTTGTAGTCAGCTATCTTCAAATGGCTTAAGAACGTTTAGTGAGTGTTTGCAGTTCATGGTGCTATTAGTGGTGGATGATTTTAATTATATAACATATGGGTGCACGTGTCGATCGTTTTTAGCTCTTGCAATGATTTCATCAGATTTTCACAATTATTTCATCAACTTTCACCGTCACTTGTCGACTACTACGAGAAGAATTTTTCACTCCGAAGCAAGTGATATTATGAAGCAAAGTGACATAGCCATTTTCAGGTCGTCTCTTCGGGTGACGCATCCGTAAATAGTACTAACTTTTTCACGGACCAGGGCAGCATTTGTGCCTTTACCGTAATAAAATTGCAGACATTTCTGCAGGAATTCGCTATTTGTGATCATGACGATAAAGGCGCTTCTACCACAGGCTTTGTCGTAAGTCAAAAGGACTCTAACAGGCTCACACATCTACTGTCGAATTTCGGCTTTCGTATAGCACCGTCTCGACACGACCATATGGAACTTCAAGCTATCTAGCTAAGAAAATAGGTAATACTTTTTCAGCAGCAGAATTTAAGAAGGCCTACATTATCTCCCTTATTTATATCAATAATATATCCCGGAATACGCTCATTGCTGTATGGCTATCGTTGACTCGCCGTCGTTTAACTTGTAGTCGCTATTCTTGTACGACCACGTACAAGGCGTATGGTAAAATAAAAACCACTGTTTTCATTGTCGCTGTTGTCTAACCATTATTGTCCAAAAAAGTCGCTTCAAATTAACATCGACACCGTTTACTCCGCCGAAAAGCGGTAGCACCGGCTACTACAGCAACGGTGACTGTGCCAGCCAGATGAATTCAAAATCAGCTGTGAACGCTTTTCGAAGCGGCATGCTGTCGATGGTCCTCTAGCTGCTGTTGCTTTCGACGAAGCCAGATTTTCTGAGAAAAATAACAAACAGTGTGGCATAAACCTGTAGGATAACGATATCTTCAAACACACAGATTTCATTGCTGCACCATTACCGATGTGCCAGTTATGAACAGACCTTATAACTCTGGACATAGACAGAAACAACTGCCAAATAGGAGGAAGGCTGGAAAGTAAGCAAAGCTGCTGGCCTGTGATTCCGAGCGCTGCTATTAATACTCAGCCAAAAGTTATTATTGACGACGATATTTTCATTCTATAGTGTAATCAACATTTTGAGTAAAATATCTTATGAGGTATCATAAACGTGCTATATAGTACCTAATATAGTATGCATATGGATGTAGATACTCAAATTTAGGTCGATACGCGCGTAGCACCCACAAATTCAAATGATGTTTGTATTATTTCGCTGAAATGTTACATTAAGATACGAGTATAGACAACAATTAACAACTAACACTTTATTTTTTTTATTTTACCATTTAGCTATTCCGAACTTTTATACCCTTGCCTTTTTTTGGCTGGCTCAGCTAACTAACGAGTCGCGATTAAAATCGCGACCTATAGAAATGAACGTATTTACAAGATAATACGAACTAAGGAATGTTCAATAAACAAATTTCGAAATAAGTTTGTCTGTATATTCTTACTCAGCAACACAGACGTAGACCGGTGCGCACACTAAGGAAGTACACAAATGTTAGTAGTAGCAGAAGAACGGCTTGAAGAAAACCGGACGCGTAATATCGATAAGGCTATTGTTAATTTATATATATACATACAATGTTGCCGAATTAATGAGAGCTTTAGTTTAAACTTACGCGTTGCTTCTTCTACCCAATTCCCGATCGATTGCGCTGCGATTACGCCCACACGATTACGTGAATTAGGCAAAGTTGCAAGGATATCCTATGTATAGACAGACCCGACACGATCAGTTAGTTTTGTATAGGCGCTGTGGTTTCTGCAGTAGTAGAGATGACCCAACAGGGGGAATTACATAGCAAATTAGCTTTAGAGTCCGATTTTTGTAGCAGTAGTGTCCGTCGATGTCAAATGAATAGTTCAACCGTATCTCTAGTCGTCCATAAAACGCACATGTGTACTTATTTAAGAATCAGGGTGAGCTTATATTATCTCAATTGGAGCATGTTATGTGGTTCGCATCTCCCCTTAAAATAGATTTAGTAGCTTCGCGGATATTCAGCTGGGACAAGCTGCAGGCCATCTTGCATCGACGTCCGCGAATCAACCAAAGCTGAAAGTGCTGCTGATTAAAATGACACCTAATAAAATTCAGTTACCGGATGAGATAGATATTCGTCATGAATTCGCTGTTTGCTTCTGCTGGTTCGGTAAATAAGTATAAAGATCTGCATTTTCCACTACTGTTTGAAAAAATAGCATTATGAATGAATATATCGTCGCACGTCTGCTGCTGTGACACATCCCATGAATTGCCGACAGCTTCTCGTTAGTTTGTCACTAATATTGGATCCTGTTGTTTTTAGTGCAAATCCGCTTAAGCTCTTACGTGGCCATTACTGCATCTTCATCACATTACTGGTGACACTAGAAAATCGATACAACTAAGCTAACCAGTGGTTTTGCTCTCATACGGATTCGCTTTCTCAAGCTCAGCGTTGACCTCGAACCCGACAGTCGCTTCTAATCACAGACAGAACAGGATTTAAGATATGAGAAATAACAAGCGCGGGCTGTAGAGTTTTCTTTTTTTTTTTTCTCTTGCTAACTATGCAAAAGCTGCCCCATAATGACCTTATTGCTTAAACAGGCTCTAGTACGACGCCCCCTTTTCCTCACGGCTAGAGATACACACACTTTTCTTCTCGATCTATACATTACTACATACAAGCAACGTCATGTAACGTTTTCGAATCTTATTTGCCAACATAGGCCCGCTGCTGATATTGATGGCTATATTGTATTAAAATATCGTAGCTATAATAGCAACTAACATGACGGGCGACATCGTCATTAATCATTTAACGTGTGTTGTTATTATCAGACATTCTGTTTGCTATAAATAAAGAAACCAGTACTGAAAGTCTGTGAGTTATGGCTGCAGGTAGTAATACATCATAAGTAGAAGTACTAGGTGCTTGTTGCATTTCGAATGAGGATCATGAACCGACACGATTCTGACCACGATTTGAACGATAGCCCGGTAACAGTAACACGTAGCTCACGGGCCCCTAGCTGTGAACCCGTATTAGATATCAGCAATGGCACCAATTTTCAGCGAAGTTGAGTCTGGCGTAGCGAAGCTAATCCTAGTCCTGTGCTAACACCATCCTGTTTTGTTGAGAGCGGATAAGAATGATGAGCTTCTAGCATTCCAGTCCAGCTAGGTCAACGGCAAACAATTTGGTTGTCTCGCTGTGAAGCCACTGGGTACCGGGTAAGGCCTTGTGGTGCTGTACCAGGTTACTGCTATGTTGTTCGTGGCATTGCTGGACTTTTTACTGCTTAAAGGACCACTATTGACGCGATAAATGGCAGCTGTCCAACATTTGAATGCTCATTACCTTAAGATGATGATGACGACATTGGTGGCGCTACTATTGCTATGACGACAACGATGACTATTCTAGTATAGTCACTTTGGCGCGTAAAAGCCAACCATCCGCGTCAGCACACGACTATACAACAACATGAAATATAATTGTATATGTACGGGCGGTAATGTCAAAAAAATTAATATGTTTATGTCCTTTAGAGCGTCACATATACCTGTGTCTAGTGAACGTATATGGATTTTTCGTTGTAGTGCAGCTACCAGCATTAGGGCTAGGCTAAAAAAAACTTGTACAACAAAATCTAGATCGAGACCGACAAAACTAATATGTTAGTATTTAATTATGTTTAATATGAAACAGTGTTACTAAATTATTATGATTATTATACCAACTACACGAAACAGTGAAAGGATATTCTTTGGTATAACCTGATATGGTTTGCTCCCAATTTGCTGTGGAAATATTATTATATTACGTAGAGTATTAAATACTTAATGCAAACGAAAATTCATCTATTCGATGAGTTCGATCTAGTTCGATTAATTTAGCCTAGAAAAATAGTCAAGAACGAATTTCAAGCCAAGCAATAATCACTCACGTTCCTTGGCATAATAGAGTATACGTACAGAAGAATATGAATTAAGAAACAGCTTAGAATCTTGTTCACTGTACACTGTGTACTGCTTCGTACCGCGCACACGTTCGCATCCCGTTAACGGTGCTCTGGGTGAAATACAGAACACGATATTTCAAACAAAGTTTGATCGACACCTCGATCATCTTTGTTTTGTCGGCAGCTAACGAACAACGTTATTGCGCAATGGAAAGCAATGCTCGTGCTTCACACTTGTTGAGTGTGTCCCGAGCCCACGTAACAGGTCAATGTGAATCAGTACTTCTCTTCGGCAGCGAAATCTGGAGCAACTCATACGTTACGAGAAAAATAATTTTGTAAGACAACTCTCTCTATCTTAAAGTCTATTGTTGCTTCGGCTAACATGGCTGTACAAATTTATATCCGGCGCAAACTTATTGGGCCTATTTCACTATCGGGCTGTTCATTTTAAAATACCATAGCCTATAGCGATCATCGAATTCCATTGATACTTACGTTCCGTTGGCTCGCAGGTGCTATCATCTGCGCTTTAATATTTGAAACATGCAAACTGCTCAATAAAGTAATAGAATTTTGCGTATGACGTTTTCTCCAACCATCCTCAAAGCGTCGTACGTTGTTCTTTTATACGTTTCTAGAGTTTAACATCATCAGTTTCGTTCATCGCTATATGCTTTACTATTAGATGGTTATCGTCTATGATTAGATTTTTAAACCCGAATAGTGAAATACTTAGACACTCGTTTACAGCTGTCTTCTGCAATGTGACTGCAAATATGGAGCGAACCAGTTGATGATCTAAAAGCTGTAGCTATTTTGGTTATGACGAACTATTTGACACGGACTATTTGATGTTAAAAAACTGGGCAGACCTAACAGTAGTCTTGGCACTAGTAAACCGATTATTATTATTATGAGGAAAGAGTCGAGCCATCGGCGAAGCCAAAAGACGAGCAGGTCTTTTTCATAACGAACAAACTACACTGGCAAAACAGAAAATTATAGTTTTAAATCGTAATGTAGAAAAAATAGAGCACTAACTATATTCGGGCTCTAGGCAGTTTTAATTTTAGAAGTGAACCTGTTAAGGCTATATGCAAATGAGGCCTGCACCCAAAATAACCGAAAGGATTTCTAATTAACTACAGGCTCGTTAACAAGATATCGAAGCAATTCCAACCTGACTCACCTGTAAGGTCTGCTGTAGAATCCCAAACATGTACGAATCCAAAGGCGGATCCGGGCTTTGTGTAGTTTCTTTCTGCATTGCTTCTTCTTCACGCGCTAGTTACAGTTTGGTTTTACAGTAACGCTGATTTTCGATAACGACAACTCAAATATAGGTCAGTTTTTTTCTAGGATAAAAAACAAAGTACTTTTACAAGAAGAACGACAAATTCCTTAGAATCGCAACAGTTGTCGTTGGATATGCTGCTTAGAAAAATTACGAATTCTTTAACAAGTTTCCGGTAGCCGCTCGCTCACATCCAGTTCGGCTTCTAAATACCACTATTTTTTTATCAGACTGAAGCAAGAGGCTAGTCGCACTACTCCTGTCCCCAAGCCCCACGACTCACCCCGGGGTCACCCCACCACAACTCAAATCCACACAGGTGTACGGACTCAATAATTTGCTTTTTTTCTTCCTTCCATTTACAAAACACAGAGCACTCTCGATACTCGCAGTGCGTTAGAGCTGTCAAACCGCAATATTGCGGCTAGCGAGAAGGCTCTGACAACACAAGAATGATGGCGAAAAACATAATCGAGATAGCCTCAACTCGTAAGTCATTCGCGTGACTATTTCCAACCGTAATATCAGCGACCTCTAGTCAGCATCGCCTGGACTCATCAGCGCTAGGTTCTAGTAGGGTCTTACGCTCGTCGTATTGCAACAGGTCGGCAGCATTTTGGTTTGCATTGCCTTGCGCATCTGGCAACTGGCAACAATCTGTCGTCAAGACAGTCCTCGGTTGCTCCTCGGCTGTCAACGCCGTCGGTCCGTCGTACGTTGCTGACGGCTTGCTATCTTTCTCAGACTCACTCTTTCCCATTGTTTGTATACGGCGAACCGTCGTCCTTTCCGTTTTTGCCCTATACCTTTCATTTACTTTGCTGACTGCGTATTCGCAGCGAACAAGGCAGAAGGAGAGAGAAAGACTTACGATAGGAGAGGGTAAGGAAGAAGCGAAGGCGCGTAGGAAGTTCAATTTCGAATAATTTGCCGATTGGCGAAGAACTGAGTGGCCGTAGTTGCTTTGTGTGCTGGGGGTGGTGTAGTTCTTTCAGCATAGCGTTTTGCTACGAAAACAGTTTGTAGATTTTTTTTTTTGAAATCGTTTACTTGTCGTTAAGTCAGTTTTTTATTCAGAGAAGATTGTTTGTACTCAGCAACACCACATTCGCAAACTGTATTATACAATTAATTTACATTTTATTAGGAGGAGAAATAGTCTGTTATCAGTATAAATTAATAACGTTTATATGGGCTTATTTACACCGATTTCGGTGTGAGGTAGGCTGTTACAAATACGACGCTGCCGTTCTTTTTGCACTAGCCTCCATCGGAGATATTGAGCTTCGAGGGCCTTTAGTTCAGAACCATTGACCGATGTGCCAAAATCGTGAACCTTGATTAGCTTTGTGCGGTTTAGTTATCGAGTTGTAGATTACGAAATGTACCACAACGTCGTAACGGCACTCAGTGCGCTCTAGCAAAATTCTTTCGAATTTCTGCCTTTACGATGTTCAGCTTGGCCTTTCAATGATCAGTAGGCTGTCGGTGTGGGTAGCAAAGGAAACTAGAAACTGCAGAAGCTTTTGTGACAACGCGAGCAACCCGTCGTAACGTGAAGAAAACATGCAAATGCATGCTTGGTAACTTCCTTAAGCTAGGCGTTTTTAGGTTTGTCTTATTTCTAGAAATCTCGCCGCAAGATGTAAATGGTAATGTTTAGATTGCATAGTTAATTAGTTGGAGAACCGAGAGACAATAAAGTTAGGTCAGACAATAGATTTTTTAAAGTCCACTATAGCTAATGTTCTTGATTAGTCATTATTATTCTTGCATGGCTTGTTTTTTTCTCTGCAAATCATCTGTTCGCTAACTTCGCGCACTTTTAAATTAACGTACCAAGTGAAACATGAGAGAAGCGCATTTCGGGCTAGTTAGAATTCGATTCTTTACACTTAGATAGTCATCATGCAGTTGATAGACGCATTAAGAAGCATCATCAAGAAGCAACATTGTCATAACTTATGGTGGAAGAAATGTAGTTATCTTCTCCATCTCTACGAAGTGCAGAGTTGTCAACTGCTTCAGATTATGCGAAGTCTTACTGTTTACAATAAAACTAACATTTCTAACGTACGCCTTTGCTTGGTGTGGTTGGCCGCCGGCCGGAATAGTTTGCCTGAGCTCTGCCACAAATATAAGTATTTCTTACAATATGCGTGCCCGACCAAATAAATCTATATATTAAAATTATAACGAGCCGTTACCCACAGTTTCACGGTATTGGGAGTACCCTCTCAATATTACGCAGGATCTTGAAATACGTACAACGCACTTCTGTTGTGTTCTACATAGGTAGATGCGAAATTTACCTGTAAGACATTGGTTTACGAAGGTTTCCGCGTAAAACGCTGTACTTAATTCATTTTTATATATCAGTAGCATTATTTGGCTTTTATACAGTTTTATGATAAAATCTGTGATCACCCAAAGTAATGACGTGTTATTTATAGCAAAGCGGTTTGCTTTGACGTTCGTTTTATATTCCGTTATATCACCTGTAGTTACCACACTGATCCAAGCCGGCGTTCAGATTTCCGTTCGTGGAGGAGAATTATGCTTAAGCTTTTTCTGTCAGGAGAATTTCCTATTGAAGCTCACTTACGCTTGTAGTATCCAAGGCCATTGGATGTTCCGTGTTATAAAAATTTGTGTTTGATTTGTTTTACTTTATCGAGGAGGAAATTCATTTTACGTACACCTATCTGCCGCACAGGGCATATAGGCTTTTAGATAGTCGTGTCACCAATGCTCCCAGGTGCTGTGGGATTCGCGCTCTGCTGTTATATAAATATGTGAGACGGAGCGATACGCGCTTCCTTAGTGAAGGAAATCTGTAATATCAGCGCTAGGACTATTTCAGCAGCCTTGTTTATTTCAGCCACTTAGATTTCTTCGACGGCTAATCGCATCGTATACCATAGCCTTCAGCGTTTCAGTTATGTTTAACTGGAGATTAAATGCGTGCCCATTAGTTTTGTTTCGAAAATCTCATCATTTTTAGCCCATCATTTTTAGCCCTAGTGCTCTTCTTATTCTAAGTACCTAGATCTTATTTTTCTAAGACTATTTTTTTAGATTAATCCCTACAATGCTTCAAGGTATGACCAGAAATCTAGGCGTACTTCGTGAAACGCTGGTCCTGAACGGCTGCAAACGACCTAACTACATTAACGTCCGAAAACCTTCATTTCCTCACAATGTTAGTCCCTTAAGCATCAGTACGAGACCCAAGTAACCCCGACAATGTTTCTGCTTTTTTAGGAGCACATCAGTGAGCTGAAATAAACCTACAGTTTTATGCATGGTAGGTATCCGAACCTATACCAAGCGTTTTGATGCAGACCGTGTCCTGGTTTACCATAAATATACATAGTACCACGCTTTGATGATGCCCACACTAAATCTATTGTGTGAAGTGGAAGGTGTTTGATGTTATCAGAAACTTCTATTATTATGTATTCCAGGGCTTCGTCGAAATCGCTATTTAATAAGCGATTCAGAATTTTAACTGGAAGTTTTTTTATTCCGAAGATGAAAAACCCCACGGATATTTCAGATAACCGCGGAGGCCTTGGCTTCGGCACACTATTCGAACATCGATATCTGTAATAACTCTAAAGGTAGCATTGTTTTCTCTACTTTTTGCTTTGTGGTACTTGGTGACGGCTGACGATATGCTCACTGGATCGAGCACGTAAGTCTTTCGTTGCAACGTGCGAACAGTTTGGACGAGTTTTGCATTGCTTAGGAAAAAAGGCGCGATCGGTAGAAGGGCCTGCAATCACTCTGAATGAAGAATTAATCAGGGTATGTGCTATGGGTTTATCAGAACTTGTAAACATAAGGATAAAATATTTCGTTGCATACTGTACAGATTATGTAGTTTTTTTGTGTCTGCCTTGTGACCGTCGAAACCTAACCCCACGTGCGAATTTCCACAAGGAGGGTACCATTAGACGGCATTTTTATGGCTTACGTCTGTGGTCTCGGTTTCAATAAAAATCACAGAAAGTCGAGAGGTTGTAAGTAAGCCGAACGCCAAACCTGACAGATAGGTACCTCCATAAAGAGATAATTATCTCCCTATAAAGGTACTAGACAAATGAAAAAGGAACCACCGCGAAGACCTTGATACAGAATCTAAGCGTCGATATGTACAAAAACTAACATTATCTTTCCCTATCTCCACAGCTCCTTTGGGGTTTGGTGGCATTTAGGAATGTGCTTCTCGATCAGGCACGCAAATTCTTAGTCGCCACGTGCGAATAGTTTGGACGATGGCCTATTCTCGATATTCGACATCAAAGCGAAAAACAACCTTCATTAAATACTACTTTTACTAAAGCCCCGAGCCGCTACCGGGTGCGGCGTCATTATCCAGGTTTAGTCCATACATGTAGTTCGTGCAAATTTTGTGCATTTTATATAAAAATGATTGAAGTTTACGTGTTTAGAAACCCACTTTTTTACCTTGTAACAATCGTAAGGAAACACTGAGTAGGCTTCTACTCCGTATTGCTTAGGAAAGATGCCCGCAAGTTTTAGAAGGGCCTGCGATCACTTTGAACTAAGCACTAATTAAGCTACGTTCTATACTATCAACTAGAACCTTTAACCGTAATCGACAGAAATTAACGTTTCTATTTCACTTTAGAAATGCCGCTTCTTTGCGTGTTGGCTTTGTGACCGTCCAAACCTAACACCCCATGCGAATCTCCACAAAGAGGGTACCACTAAACGGCATTTTTTATGGCTTACATCTGTGATCTCGGTTTCATTACAAATAAAATGGAAAGTCGAGAGGTAAGTAAGCCAAACAACAGAAGCTGACAGTTATGTGCCTCCATACGGGACCGTTGAGTAGGTAAAAATAAACAAGACAACGGCTTTTTTATAACGGCAACACTTAATATAACTCGTTGCGAAGACGTGGCCAGAACTAGAACTGCCCATAGCACGTGTGTGAACGAGAGCACATTACTTATTATGCTATCATAAACAGTGGAAATATTTTAGCTAGCATTGTCTTTCCCCACCTTCACGGCCCTTTGTGGGGCTCGGCGACGATTAGGAATATGCTTACTGAATTGGGCTCGCAGGTCAACTGGTAGCTTATGTACACGCCCCAATTCGAACAAGGGCCCAATTCTTGTTATACCGCACTGAGAAGTTGAACAGCTTACGGCATGACTGCTCACACTCGAGCCTCGGAACATAGTCGACGACAGAGCCATCAAGACTTGTCCCTTCATGCGGTTTTTGAGTGGAACATCCTTAAACTAATGTTTGTTGTAACAGCACAATCAGACTCCACGTTTAGAGAAATGAACGTTGAGCATAAAAATGCAGTAGAATTCATATAACTTAGCATTTGGACGTATACGTTCTGCTAGAAAAACGTACACGTCAGTAACTAAGTAAAAAAGGATCAACCTGAAGAAGCAAACGTAGAATATGTGTAGCTTGCCAAAGCAACTACAACGATTGTGAGACGGCATCGTTGATTTTACTACAAGCCCTCATTTTCGCTTAGGTTTCAGATGCACGCTAAAACAACATAACGTACACTATACACTAAGCCAGTTAATAAGCTCTGCTTAATCAGCGATTCTGATTTAGCAAAACAAACTTTCAGAACCGCGGATCGAGAAATCATTCTATAATTAAGATTTCTACACGTCGTTGTACTCTTACAGCACTATCTGATATTCGCAGAAAAACCAAAAAACATTGCGTTGAGATTTCTCTACGACATGTCAAGGTAGTCCATACGTGTATCAATAAAGTTAACACTAAGAGGTTAGAGCTTCAGTGACTCGTTGTGAGCCCTTTTGATAGGCAGTAAAAGCGTTTACAGGCCATTACAGCAGTTGTAAGGGCAGCTATCCTATATAGGATAAAGTCCACTAGAAATGTTTAGTTAATTGTTCAAGGAGTTGTTGGCCCCCGTGAGCTTGTTTAAGACTCATCGAGGCCTATTTGCCACTTGTTGTCGTTTCGCTTGTTCTGTTTAAAAGCCAACCCATGAAGTCAGTCGGCTCATGCCGGTACAAGCCAAGATACACAACTACATGCTACAGGTCAGAAAAAGATCGTTTTTAGCTTAAATGTGGATGCGCTGTATATCCGAACAGCGGTAAACCGATGAACGGTGACATTACGACCCACTTTCTTGTGCCTCACGTTTTGTTCGAGCGAGCCAATCAGTCGCTAACGCCCGGCTTGGAGTGCGAGGAAAGACGTGCTCTTCGTAGTTCGCTGTATGGCGTGCGTACATGCTGGTCATGAGTGAATGAAGTTTGCGAAATAGTTTTAGCAGTAAGGAAAGCTTTGTTGAGCAATGTCTAGAAATTTAGACAACGCCCAGTAAATCTTTATTTTTGCTTGGTATAGGCAGACTTGGCAAGAAGTAGCCAATATCTGTATTTGTGTCAAGCAGAACGTATTTTTGAATGTGTCTGAATTAAGGTAACATTTTTGTTATTGCTGTGAGCCAACAGCTTAATTCCGATTCGTCAAAAAAGAATCCGAATATGAATAAATCGACTCAAATGTATTTTTGCTTGACTTTTGTCTCTCCGAAACTAGATGCAGCGATGCGGAAAGGTTGAGTCACAAGCAGCTTTTATAGTATATATGTATTTTTCAGTAACACCTCGATCGACAATCCTGATTTAACGGTCACTGTGGAATCCGAGAACTTGAGACAGCCGTCAAAAAAAGCAGTACCAAGAAACTCCTATCCCTCACCTAATCGGTAATTATGTTGCTTGCCGGAAGGGCGCCAGTCATTTGCCAGGCCTATGCATGACATACGAATGGCACATGTTTAAGCAAGCGACCAATTCAAAACTACTAACAGATATTGACGATTGTTGCCTGGAGTGACATTCAGGTGTGTGCATGTCGGTGCCTACGTGCATGATTGCGATGTCTATCAATAAAAAGATTTCTGTAGCAGTCTTTTACCCTGAGCTCGGCATCGGCCAGTTCAGGTCCTGAACTGCCCAAAATCTGATGTAGCTGTGTCATTTTCAGGCGCGAAAAGTACGTACAATCCGCGCTCTACAGGTTGCATATGCCAGCAGATGAACTGTTTGATACGCACGAACGGATCTCGCTAATACAGCGCCGTTTACATTGCCAGCAATAACATTAATATAATGTTATGGCACTTTAATATATAAAGTGCCATTACTTAAATATACGATTAATTATTTGTTCATGTAACATTTGACAATACGATCCGCCATCCCACCCCCAAAACACTGTTTAGAGGTGCGATAGGGGATTAACGAAAAAAAAATTACAGCCGTGTCGGAAACACTCGTACTTAGTCGGTGTCGTGGATCCTGCGTTTTCTTCCATCCGGTTGAATAAACACTAGCTAAAAACAAAACCTGTAATAAGATAGTAACACAACATTTAGTATCTAAACTTCTGGTAAAAACACAGAACTGCTGTTTCACTAATAATAAATTTGTATGCATTCGTTCATATGATGCAATTTTATTTTGATTTTTTTATTTGTATAAGTCTTGCAAATAAGCGCTGTTAAAACATGTAGCTAGCATTGTTTTTCCCCACCTTCACAGCCCTTTTTGGGGCTCGGAGACGATTAGGAATATGCTTACAAAATTAGGCTCACAGGTCTTCCGTTGCCACGAGCAAACATGAATAGGACGAGGGCCCAATCCTTGCTATTCCACACCGGGTATCTGAACAGCTTGAAACCGCTGCTCACATTTGATCCCAGGATATGGCCGACGGCAGATACCATCAAAGCCACTCCCTTATGTGGACATCATCACATGTCGTTCCAGTAAAAAGACAGCAGTTTTCACTGTATCACGTAGCCAGCGACTGTTTCGTACCAGCAGCTTCCAATAAACGTGATTCTCGCCAAAAAGCGTCGCAAAGACAATCCAACAGGCACATAAGCTGCAGATAGCTATATTGCCTTAATTCACTACGATTTTAGATACAGTGATTGATAACAGAAGTCTTTGAAATTCACACGTGGCGACGCCATTAAATCAACAAAACAATACAATAGTACCTTCTAACAAGAACTGTAGCGTAACGTACATACCTGACATATTAAACACTAACCGGGACTCCATAGCGAAGTTTCACAGGTCCCTAAAGAAATACTAACTATAAAAAATTTCATACTACTACGGAAACACGGAACTTGCTTCCGCTACGTTCAATTATCGTAAGCAAAAAGGATATCCACGAGCCAATTCAGCAAGTTTATACACAAGGCGTGCGTCGCGCTTATCGGAGAGAGGGAAGGCGGAGGGCTATTTTGAATTTCGGCGGGAAGTATTACTGCTTTGCTTATGATATCTTTCTTTATATTCGTTTGCCTAACACTACAATAACTTGCAGACGTTTTGAATCTATGTAATGAGTGCTTGAATGTTTTTTTTCATATCAACGGTATTTTTATTAGCTTAATGATATTTCGAACCGAAATTACTCATTAAAGGTTTTCAACATGCTCAAAAGTTCCATTATCTGTGTTGATAAAGATCCGGGTTATCATGAATAACCCATTCTCTAGATACATAGGAATCACATACGGTGTTCAATCGGCCATAATTGATTTCTGTTCACGAGTGACACGGGAAGTGTACTCAAAATATCAGGACAAATTGTGAATGTACAAGCATATCGTGGATGACTTTATCGAATATTCTAAATAGTAAATAGCGGCACAAATTTTTCATCTGAATAGTACTATTTCTTGTTATCGTTTTGACTAGTTGTACTCATAGTGAACTATCTCTACGATACGCGGAACAATGACTTTCACCTACCCTCAAACTTAACGTTGATTTCATTTGCAAAGCTAAGCAACCAAAACTGTACAAAAGAAAATGGTAATCATAATGATGGACGAAAGAAAAAACACTGATTGTCCTACATGCTTCACAAACAAAAAAAAAAAAACAAAATTCGATCTTACGTAGCAAATGTGCTACCGTAAGTATTATTATTTGTAGCGACTGATGAACTCTCCTTGTAAAATGCTTTTTTCTCCACAAGCTTTTATCATATTTACATTCGACTTTGAAATGCACGAAGATCGTGGTTGCCCAAACTTAATGAAAGTTTACTCTAGTTTATTTATATATATTCTAATCAGGAAATAACTGAGCAGACATCTATTGACTAAAATCCTTTATTGTTATTACCTTCATTTGATTCCCGTAATTTCCCAGTCCACAACATTGTATTTTCGCCTATGCAAAGTAAATTCGCTGATTCTAAGCCGTGTTATTCCAGTCGGAGAACACCCCTGTCTATTCAGTGTCCATCCAGAAACTTCGAAAGGAAATCCTTAGGCTTCTCTGGAACGGTATCTTGAAAAAATGCCATTACGTGACCCTTCTGTTTGAAGTGACTGAGTGTTTCCATTAGTTCCATCTGACCCTGTTTAATTCAATCATAGGAAGTTCGCGTTGGTAGTGAAGAATGCAAATTCAGTGATTCCGACGCGTATTCGGTAATTCTGAACATAAATAAATAGTTCTAAGATCAACATTTTTCATAAGTAGCATCACAACATATCGTTCGATATCTAACGTCACGATTTTACTTATAAAAATGTTATGCAACGGTACTGATATAGATCGGCCTCTAACACAGCTATTGATCTTTTAAGTCACTTATAAAGGAACAAAGTCGTACCCCGGTATAACTATTATACTGATATGCGTCACTGAGGTCAAATAATTCTTAGATCGACAAGATATTGTATATTCTGCAACTTGAAGGGAGGGGTCACCACGCGACGTAAAAAATATGGATCAATTCGGTTACAGAAAGCGTTTCGCATCTCCCGGGTTGATTGAGTAAATTGTTTTAAATGCATCATTCAACCAAAACGTATGCAATCCAATTGACCGAAAGCAGTAATTTATTGTATTAAACTTATCATTAACATATCAAAGTTGTACCTTAATAACGAGCAAATCAATGGTGCGGATGTCCTTAACGTTTCGATTTTGGAGGAACTTCTGCCGCAGCTTTACTCGGCCCTGCTGTACCGTTATCGGAACATCATATATGTTAACTGCAACCGAGATATAAAAAGTATAAGGTTAGGCCAAATTTTGGATTCAGATACAGGCTTCAAAACCTTCTATCGATAATTCATGCTTTTACCGCGGGTTCTTTAAAGAGATTAACATGTAAATCTCCCCTACAAATAGCATGTAAGTGCCATGAGACCCAAGCCAGCGTTCCTGTTTAACTGTATTAGTACTCTCCGCCGATTTCGCCACACTTTACCTCGTTATTGAATCGAAACTTGCAACTGTAACTTTTTCGTTGACTAATCCTTGTGTTTGTATTGAATATGTCACCTACCGCATGGATGGATCTACTAAATCGCATAGTTCTACTCGGCTGTTACAATTATTTACAAGGCGATTGGTTATCCCCTAAGATATTTTCCTTTTGAATGTGCCGCGTGCTGTTGTCATGATGGAGTTTTACTTTTTGCAATGTTCAGCTCGGTTTATCACGCGTAAGTACGCGGGCCCGCGCCCATTTTCTTTATATCGAGAATATTACGAATAAAAAGGTCCCACGAATTGAAGGAAAATAAAGTACCACTTCGCTTAAGCTCTTTCTACTACAAATTGGTTATAGATAGCCCGCACTGTTCGACGAATTATGACAGAATAAATGATGGCTAACTTAAGAGATACGAAAGCGAATTTCCGACACCCTACGAATTTTCTTCGATAATGACCTGTCACCTTTTTCTCAGATAGAGAATTAAATTGTAAAAGCACCAACTAATAAATAATGATGAAAAGGTTGCGCCATAAAGGCTATGAAGGGTTTAATCTGCTATGTTTAATTCGATACATAAAATGAATGCTATAAGTAAATACATATTCTAAGTGGTGATCGGACCCAGAGAAAAACGGCGCGCAATTGGGTTACTTTGCGATACAAAAGACCAGCTTTATAAAGCGTTAGCTTTGACTTTCTAAATTCAACCACTCCAGCGTTCGTATCCGAAGAATGAGTTAATCGCCGCACAGAGAAATATAGATCATATTTTAACGACTTTTTTCGAGAAGCACTACGTACAAATAGTCATTTGTAGTATGAAATGTACATATGTTCAATATACACATATATACATGCTTTTTCGTGCAGCTTCGCCAACGTATATTTCACTTTCTGTTTAATGGCATTCGGAGATATTTATCTGATTGCAATTAATGAATTTAGGGTTTTTTTTGTTAGGGGAATCCTTGACTAGCGCTATATAAGTTAGCTCGTCTCGTACCGATGGATGGCATCTCGCGATACCACGACTTGTAAAGCTGTATGACCCTTTGACGAGCTTCCTGCATCGATGTGCTCATTATCGGCTTAACCTTCACGACTGTTTGTTTAACGACACTCGACATGTTACTGTCGTTCAGAAATGTTTTTCACTGTCAAAAACCTAGCTGCAACGTACTACCGATGTTCTTCGCCAAAGTCAAGCAATAGCATTTTCCACTGGCTAGATGGGCCAGATCGCCGGAGGACGAGCTCATTAGCGTGCAGTGTTATTACGCTCGATACGCGGTTACTAACAATGATATAGTGTTATTACGATACAGCTCTAAATATGTACGACTAATCCAGTGTGCGTAGGCCTTTCTTGAAAAATATCACTTCTTGTAACCCAAAAAAAAACGAGCTCTGCCTACATGACGCATTAGCATCACAACGATTTCTATTGTCTCCAGCTGATTCACGGCCACTGTGTATGATCAACATGTATATTGATTATTTGTAAAACGTTTTTGACATTTGGTTATTCTCAGTTCCAATCAGCCACAAATACTCTTCTGCAAAGGTATCTTCGGTGCTGACATCGCATTAGCTGCAAATAAGTGAAAGCATTACGCATTCTTCATTTTGCTAATGCATGAGTCTTTTAATCCACCTAAATTAACATTTCCCCAGAAGCTATTGATTTGAGTATATCCACTTATGACCGCAGTTTGGCTTTTCTGTTTAAACTATTGGTACGATTTGCCTGTCAGAAGTTTTGTGGCATGTTGAGGTAACGAACTACAAACACCAAAAGATTTTTTACGAGAGCTTTCAACTCGCAAATCATAACAATATATAAAACGAACCATAGACGTAATTTGTATGCATCAGTTCATTATATGGAATATTTTCTAGTTGTGTATTATTTGTACTGTTATGTAATAAATCAAATAACTCTATTACCAGCCGAGAAAACTGTTTCCAAGCAATGTACAGCTTGCTTCGTTATCCTCTTACCGCTACGAGTTAGTAAAAACAAACATCTGTTAAGTTAACCGTATGTGCACTTATAGAAAGAGCAAGTAGGAAAAATAGTATATCAAACTACTTAACATAACACATTCAAACGTCTTAGTGCTTTAGCGAAGAGTTCCATCCTTTCAAAACTGTTACGTGCTATAAATTCAAATGCATGTATGCAAAGTAACTTCTAACGTCTGTTCTAGTTTATTAGGTCATTCCTTCCATCGAATGGTGCGTGACAATGGTGTTGATGTCTTGTACAGACGAAAACAACCCGAATGATGAGGCGGCGCTGGACCGGAGACCACATGCTGTTCAGGCCCTTCAGGATAGTGACAGCGAACCTGACCCTGATGATCCTTTAGGTGGTAGGCGTAAATGCATTATTTGTGACCTTTTACTACAATGACATATTACACATCGATCTTGCAAAGATGTATCTACTCTAATATTATCCGGTATTCAAGGATTGCAGAGCCTACTTATGTGCATTCTATTCTATAACAGTTTCCACAGTTGACTCTCAGGTATCACATTTATGACAGATCTCAGTACCTCTGTTTAGCATTATACCGCTGATTAGCAAGGATTTCTCAGGACAGAAAGCTCAGTAGGGGCAATTTGTAGAAACTGAATAAAGAAAAGAACTACTGTACCGCTTATCGCTTTTTATGTCTTAGATTTTTACTCCAGAAAACACTTTGTGGTTCTAACGTCGTTAAGCAAACACTTTAGCATTACGTGATTGCGTGGCATAATTAATTTCAAGTTTTGTATAGTATTTTCTATCAACGACCTGTTAGTCGCCTTGATAATTCAAGAGTAGTATTCGAAAAATCTTATTAACAGCACCTGATAGAAATAGCCGATAAATAGATACAAAATATGCATAAAGATAAATCCTCATTGCAACGTTTAGCTAACGAGTAGGAGAATGTAGGTATTCCTTGTCACATCAGGCTAACTCTGTTCATTTTATATATATACATATATAAAATAATCTATAAAATACATATGTATATATAATAGAATAAAATTGATTCATTTTAATTATTTTGAGTGTTATAGTGAGTGCAGCCAACGGTGGGTATAGTTTACTACCCCAGAGTGTTGGATCTGGCACAGAATCAGATTTTGGCGAGGACGAAGATGATGCCTTTCCTCAGTTCGGGGGTGGCGGATATCTTATGGATTTCACGCAACCTCCACACGAGTGGCAACCCTCAGAGCATGATTTGAAGCTAGACCATAACCGAGATCTTCATCTGGACGATGGTATAATCAAATTCCGATTTCCGTTTAATCCGGTCTACTCGTATTTAGCCTAAGAACATGTATGTACAAGACCATGATTCAAAACAAATAATCTACAATACATTATGTCGTTCATAGCTAAAGATTAAGATAATAGCTAATATAAAGATAATAAGCAAAAATATTCAATAATAAATATTCAATGTTTATTTTTGTTTTTTGATTGCATTTTTTGTTTACTTTGATTGCTAAGTGCCAAGAAGTTCTTTTTCTCGCTCTACAATAATCCGCTAATGCTGTCGTCGTTTTGTTCTATAAAAATAAGTATGTACATTCGTGAAATTTGCAACGTCGACTTTTTGCAGTGTGAAAAAGCTGCGGCAGAGACCTAGCGAATCTATTCAGCGTATGGAAAGAACCCTATAGAGAGATAAATCAGAAATAAAACATAGTAACTAGGGAAAACAGGGTGCTTTTCGGTGAAAAAGATACATGATGACAAAGTACTTGTCGTGCGTATCGCATTTGACATTGTTCATTTCGAAAGCTTGACGAATAAAGCGTGTTGAAAGCGTTAACTTTTAGCGCAACGCATACCTATAAATGTGTCTAGTGCCAAAATGTGAAGTTCGTATGAAATAATTCCATTCGAACAAAGTAATTCCAACAGCCATGTAGAGCGAAGAAAGACTTCCTAGCAGTGTATAACATATGATCATCAGAAAACAAGAAATAGGTAAAGGGAAGTATTAACAAGCGAGGTCTTCACATATTTAACCAGCTACAAACAGATGAAATTAAACATAACGTTCTATCTTAGATAGCACAGCACAAAATACAAAGCAGCTAGGTTAATGTAATAGGAGGCCATTCTAGCAGTAACGATACATTTCCATACAAACCTGCCAAGCAATACAATTAATATGTTTTGCTAATTTTTTTTGTCTTAAAGTGTCAAGCTAGCCCAAGCTACAGTAAATATAAAGTAATTTTTAAGACAGTGCCTAAAACACAACGAAAAAAATATAAACTGGTTACGCCAATTCTTATCGAAAAGAAAAAAAAACAATATTTTTTGATGTACGTTTTCGTTCCAGAACAAATCGCCAAAATCAAAAGTGTGATGGAAAAGATTAGTCTTCCAGTTGCGGCCCGGCCACCATGGGCTACGCAAATTTCCGAAGAAGAATGGAACAACCGACTTCAAGAGCTACTAGCACGCTTTAGGAGAACACAGTCGAATGGCACGGAAAACAGTGCAACAAGGTAGCATCCAGTAAAACCATTTAGAGTGATCTGAATAAACAGCGCTATCAATATAGCAATGGAATCTATTTTGTTAGCAGCAAAGCAGATTATGCTAACGGTATGACTAACCATGGACTAATACATTATGCAGAAGACTCACTGATGTGCGAATAAAGATCGCTGAGTTGGCATATCTGAAACGTGGCTGCTTATATTTTGACTCTGGTCTGCGTAATTACTTAACAAATACTTTTAGTACTAGCTCCAAAAAGACTTTGTTTATTATTAAGAATATATAACTTGAAATTATTAAGTTATCAAAAATATATAAGGTTAAAATTCCAAGCTACGCGTGACTCTTTCGTTAGAGAAAAGTGCCTAAGATGCATTAGATGATATCTGAATCGTGTAGGCAGCTTTACTCAAGCCTCCGCTATTTATCTTGAATATTTTTTTCAGGTTTTTAAGTGAATAGAAGATACCCAACAGCCACATGTTGTTGTAAAAATTACCAAATAGTAAATGGTAAGAAATCGTCTCATAAGGTAAACTGAGGCATTCAAAAGGTATCCGCCAGAAGTTTTGAGAAAATGAGAAAAAACATAATAATAAAATAACATAGTAAGCAATAAGAAACGTTATTCAAGATATGTTTAAAGATTCAAAGTAAAACGAAAAAAATGAAATATTTATCATTAACTAAATAGTCTTTCTATATGTCTCCTACCAAATAAAAATGTAATCTTTAGCAAGACTGGTGCTTGTACATCGAATACTTATCGAATACATATTTAAATCAAAAAAACATTAACATAATATTTATATGATGTTTAAGGTAATGCAAAAAATCACCAGCAAGTTACTTTAAAAATGATCTAAATTTATTCAACATGACAGTTATAATGCTTTAAATGTATATTTAATCGTCGAGTTTGGGCCTAATCCACCTCACATTACTACGATACTTCCTGTAAAGTTCCTTGATCCTATAAAATAAACGCAAAAAAAATGAACGAAATTACTATTATATTTTTGGTATAATAACGCATTTATAATAGGAGGTTAGACCTACTACAATAGCCCAATGTTATCGAAAACTGTATGGCAAAATGCTGGTTAGGGTGGTCTACGAAAACATCCCATGGAATATGTATAACCCTAGTGAAACTTTGCACTGACCATGACTAGCAAACTCGCATTAATCATTATAATGTATTCTAATGTGTACCTCTCTTTTCGCTGTTCTGGGGTCTCAATATGCTCGTGTTTGTGACGGATCTTCTGCAACGCTTCCTTGATAAATGCCTCCGCATCGAACTGCTTCGCTTCATCGAGTTTAGCCAACAGTTCCGTCTGCATCGATTAACGTAGCAAAAGATATGATTAACTTTTGTTTAAAATTCAATCTCATCTTCAGGCCAATCACACTGGCAAAATTTATTTTCATGGCCAAAAACCAATGCACACGACGAATCTTATTAATAGTACCTAACTAACTTGAAATTTACAAGCGAAATATACTCTAGCTTTGCTTCTATTTTAAAGTAAGCTGTTTACATCACATATGAGATTTGTCTTCAGTGATTTAGTGAGTTGCAACAAATATTATAGCTTGACAAAAGCAATTTCAGTAGTATTGCGTATAGTAGCGTTTAAATATTCATAGAAATAAATCCCGATTCACGTAAACAGTATACTTTGATTCCTCAGTACACTTGCGCATGGCTTCAATAACTTATACAAAACACAAAACAAATACACGTACAAATAAAAAGCAATTTTGGTAGTGTAAAAATTACCTTGAAATCAGCTTCTTTCTTCTTCAAACGACGCATTTCAGTCTTTTGGATTAGGAAACGCATTCGTTTTCTGATCGGGGGAAGAGAATGAGAAAAAAAAGAACAAGTTGAAAAAACCTATATATATATATATTATTGTCGAATCCATTGTAGGCAGATAGTTAGTTATTCAGGAAAGGCATTCCGGTAGACGAACCAGCTGTTGTGGTTACCGATATTTATTTTGAAGAGTCAACAGTATTTGACACTATCTGGCCAAAGTGCGAGCAACTGAACTGTGTTAAACATTTGATAAAAAAAACCAATGGCTCTTTTGGACCGGCTGGCTACACCCGTACAAATTAGTGTCATCCTGCAATTTAAAGCATCGCATCATTACGTAACGCGAATGCTGGTAAACTGTTCAACCTTCTGCTAGTGTAATGGCAAAATAGCTGCCCATTACGAGATGAACTTCCCGAGTTTTAAGTAGGTTATAATAATAAGTTTATTTTGTGCTAAAGTTGAGCCTTTTTAACGCACTGCTAACGCGGCTCCGGACGTGAACCCGACGCATTTGCTGGCTGATTAACCCCTTAGCGAGTTCTAACACAAAAGATGCTTGCTGACTTATTACGCTGGTTCCCAATGATGAATTTTAACTTCTAACGGAATCAAACTTCCGCTATACTAGTCACCTCAACTTTCGCCTTTGATGCTTTTTCATTTTCTTCTTGCGGATTTGTACGAGAACCGCGCAGCGCATTTCGTTGCTAGTAGTCTTTGGTTCTTTTATAGGGGTTTTAACGTTGCCCAGATTGGGCAAAGTCACTCCTTTGTAATGCAAATACGGTATCTCCACTTCAGGCTTGATGGCCGACGGAAGAATTCGAGCAGGGTTAATCTGAAGTAATTAGATGAAGAACAGAGCATTATATGTTAACCATATTCAATTTATATATTTGTGAATAATATTATTCATGTTATTTCTCACAATGCACGAGTATATTATGTTGATGCGAAATCTTCTACGTAATCTTCTTCGTCTATTACCCCATAATATAGTTATTCTAATTAAAAATATTTCCAATAAATGTTCTGTATCAGCAATCCAACAATAGTATATAGAATAATGTGTACGATGACACTGTCTCATATTTGATCTTATTTCTATGACCTTACAGTTTATAATCCGGTTTTAAACCCCATTTAATTCTTACTCATAATCACAAGTACAGAAACTCTTTGTTTAACGAACATAGCGAATAATATTCCCAACGATGTAACACGCTAATATAATATTACTGTTATGACGTATAGAAAAAAGAAATTATCATTTCAAAAAAATTAAGACAAGAGAATATTTTTTATGTAGTATTATTGAATCGCAAGAAAATTAACTGATCGCAAATAGAAGAAGCAAACCTGTTGATAATCACTTACCACAAAAGGCGAAATGCGCGGAGCCTTGATAAGTGTTATGAACGGGGTCGATGGGAGCGCCAGAGGGGGGAGCGACGACAAGACGGAGTTTCTCTCAGCCGTGGAGACAGCGGTCGCAATGATAGTTTGGGCAGAAGATGACTTCAGTCCGATATTTGCGCTTGTACAACAGTGAAAACTTCGCGAGACGCCACCCGTCACCTGCATTAGCGAGCGACGCAACATAGCGAAGGTCCTCGCCGCACCCGTCAGCGACCCACTAGGTATACACTCAGTTAAGTGATCAGAGCCGTTTATATGAACTTCACAGCTTCTTCCTTAATATTCCGATTACTGCCAACAAGAAAATTGCTGCTCGCTGCGCATGCCTCTACGCTCTGCATATTTGAGCCCTGTTGACTTCTTACCAGAACGAGGACGCTTGATGGAACGGGCAACTGGCAGACGATTTCGGTCATCTAGAAACAGTCCATCAAGCTACTCAGTGGTCCATACAATTATTATAGTGACTTTGGGAGCCAAATACGTATTGGCCTTTCAGTTAGATCATGCAGTTAGTCCATGTGCTCCAACGCAGGTGGACGAAATAATGCATTTTTCATTTTTTCGTGCAGGAAAAGGCACACACCTCGATCTTCTGTTTCGTTGCCTCTCGCTCTATTCGCTAGTGCGGTGATTCATTTGATTTTTAACTCTTTGTAGCTTTGTAACTCATAAGACGACCACCAGTATCTTCCACCAGATGTCGAATGAGGCAATTGTGTGGGCAGTGCATAGATGCACCGTCTTCAAATCGATGAAAATTTCTTTTTTTTTTTTCATTAAGACAGAGCGGGCGATTCGATAGACAGTTCCAGTTCAGTTTCTTACTGTAGTCGAAGGTGACAGAGCATTTTTGAATTAAATAATGATAAAATTTAGAGATACATTAAGAGATATACATTATATAAAACGTTCGTTCAGTTTGTTTACACTAATAAAATGTGAATGGACGGCAAAGTGATCTATGAAGTGCCAAGACGAAGTTTGTTTCTGTGAAAGGATGTTATCGGACCAAGACGATCGAGACAACAGCCGGTCACATCTACGTGTACAAGGTAAATCGTGTTACAGATATGTGCAATGCAGCGTGTAGTACAAAAACAGTGTTGAAATAGTAGAGATAAGTCATTTATTGTAAAACAGCTCTAAATAGAGTTTTAACTCAGGCAACACCACAGAAGTAAATGCATAGAGATGCAGAACGATTTTTCATTATGGAGTCAGAACGAAAGAATTAAAGAGTTAAAATTAAACACAGTAAAGTATGTCTCGCGTTGTAAGCTATTACAAATATGATAAGTCTCTTTTGAAAAGAAACGCTTCTGGTAAAGCGTGTAACAAGTTTTGATAGTTAGCAGAATATGGCAACGTTTATGCCCAGGAGATAAAAGTAAGAAGACGCCAATAGCAGCTGCACGACACCAATTATAAATAATTGCTCTCTAACAATTTTGACATTCATAGCAAAGATATGAGACGGTCAAGAAGTTTAGCTAAAAGTTATTAGCGCTTTTGTCACTTTTTTTTTTTGTTGATGAAAACCACAAGAGAAGCACCTAAAACTGTAGTTCTTCATTTTCAGTCTACAGGCTGCATTCTACTCCTATCTGCAACGAAATATCTATTTCTCAGCGGTATGGAGCTGATGTCGTTTTAAATGAGTCTTTATAGTAGCACGCAAACGTCAACTATTTTTATACAGTGATTTTAATTATATATAAATAAAGAATTATGTGTAAGTAAATCAAGCGTCCATTTGTATATTCCAGTCTCGCTCATATGACCTAATCAACTGTCAGGTTGAAAAAGCGCGGCTAGTCTTGTAGCGAAGCTGTGACGTGGTAAATAATATCTACCTTATGCTTATATTCTTTGTTTATTGTATACTAAAGTCTTATTTCACCTTTTCCATCGGAGCATGATTATGATCGGCCTGCCAAAATAGGTCGGGGCCTACCAAAAAGGTCTTTATCTATCGTTTGTATTTCTTGTCATTATTCCACCTGGCTTACGTAAAAGGATACTGCATGAGTTTGGTGGGAGTTTTCTTGGATTTTGCTTGTTTGGAAGAGTTGAGTGCAAAAATATAAATAGATAGTATTTGGAGATTAGTTAAAAGGATTTAATGTCATTAACGCTGAGGTGATGTGGGTGCGACTGTTAGGACCTGCTGGCAGGCGACGATAGTATAAAAATTTTTCTTTTTTAATTTATCATAGCGCAGTCAGGTGCAGGTGTTAGTTAAAAAGAACTCGTTATTTTAGACGGACGTTAATCCTCTGCATAAGGTTGGGCCTGAAAGCTTGAAGACTAATAAGTGACGGACTGTATTGGATAGTTAAGTTTTCTTTAAATATTACATTGCTGAGACTTTGTGCCAACAGTGTTCAAGATTTTTAGGAGTAAATGTACGACAGCATATCGTAATGAAGACATGACGTGGAGAATAGACAGTGAACGCATGTATATGTCTGTAGCATTAGAAATCTGTGGTATAACAGGTGGTGCCCCATTATCACCATTCAATAAACTACAGCACGTAAATGCATATAGAGCATAATACGATTACGTCGATTTAAGTGTTGAGGATATTCGTCTTTTTTAACCAAAAATACAACCACGTCACAGCATTCAAACGACTCAACGATGTCCGACTTATGTCGAAGCTGCTCACCTTGCAAAGAAATATCTCTATGCATAAGAAAGTACTGCGAGTAGTAAAGTGAAATTTCCTTAGTAACCGCCCTATCGGATTTATCAGAGATGAGTCTGCCACCTTTTTGATAAGGTATGTCTTACAGCGAAATTTTTGGTCTCAATCGATCAAGATGCGCATGTGATTATAAATTCAAATAATATCATTGACATTTACTATAAGAGACGCATGTAGTGACTCCTAACGTTGCAAAATTTCATACTTTTATTCTGAAGAAACAGCTGATTAAGTTCGATTATACTTACATACGAAATACGATGTAAATGGATTATTATAATCAGAGCAAACGAACATGGATGGACGGAACATGGCTGGATGGGTGCGTGTTCGAGCCATTAAAACGAATTGGTCGGTATAGTGTACAGATAATCGACAAATAACCACACGTATCTGTGCGGAAAGAGTACATCTACCAGCCTATGCGCATATCTATCGACTGGTTGGCAAATCTGATTTGCTTGATTGTTGTTTTCTTTGTATTTGCACCTGGTACGCCATTGAAAACGTACGAGCCGATAGCATCACGTCATTGGGGTGTTGTTGCTAGCCGCATCATTTCACGTGTGAGAGTCATCGTGATAATAAAGGTAACGAGGACGGCAGCGGTGATGTCACTATTCTCTAAAGAACATTCGCTGCCTGCTTCGCTCGAGTGTATGTATATATGTATAGGTGTTTTGCTTCGACGAGCGAGTAAACGACAGAGTCGAGCATCCTTCAGCCCTGAGGTACCTATAGCCAAAAGAATAAGTCGATAAACGAATTTTGTTCCCACGGAGTTCTTTTTTGGCCCTGTTGAGGTCGACCTCTATGCTTCGAACTTCGTGTTTGTCAGTAACCATATTTGATTGCGAAACGGTCGATAGCAATCGGCGTCCGATCCACTAGCGGCGGTATTGTTTTTGCGGGATCAACAACAGCTATGACTGGGACGGTTTGATCTGAACTCTGATACGTCGTGATCATAATTAGACGGGATCTGTAGCAAAAGCGTGGCTGACCTTTACAGGCTTTTCTTTGTATACCTTACGAGACTTAACTACTATGTTACATTCGTCACATCATCATCATCGAAAATAACAGCAATATTGTAATTGTAATTTTACAAGGGATAGAGCAAAGTAGGGCGTTAATAGAAATTGAAGCCAGCTGATTGAGCTCACTCTGCATTTCCCAGTACCAAACTCACCAACACCAATGAAAAAGCATCGTACTGAAAAGAGGATCACTTTAGCCTAGATCCGATCATCATCGTTGTTATTAAGGTAGCGGTATAATCCAATGATATATTGACATTGGTGGATGCTGAAGCAGGGTGTTAAATAACCAAAAATGCAGCTTGCCTATGCATACAGTATTTCCAATGATTGCGTGACCAGATTTGATAACATCAAAATGCCCCTAGCCATATTATACGTACTTGTAATATAAGTAATAACATGATTTTTGGTAAAAAAAAAATGTCTTCACGCAGCAATTCGAAATTTGTAATGTGTAAAGTTAACGTAATGCAGCAAATTTTATCGTCCGCGCATGATCCGTTGTTATTATTATGTTTATCGCAGTTGTGAAGCTCGACGTAATACAGTTAGAAAGCGTATGATATGCATAGATCATGCAACGGATACTTCGTGGGCAATAGCGTCCGTAGCCGATGGGTAGTAGAGATGATGAATTTCAGTTGTCGCCGCAGAAGTGACTGGGCGTAGGGCGTGACACACTCAACGATGACGTAATTGTCAAGATTTCAGGAGAATTGTAAAGCACAGACGGTTACGTCTATTCGGTTTCGAATACCTGCTCATTTGAAGCTGGATTTTAGGATGTATACCGCTTGTCGAAGTGATGATGAAAGACTTTTGAGAGCGATGAACAAGAACTACCACATTCTGTCATACGAAAGTGAAATTTTAGCTTGAGCTTTTGCCCAGGTGGAGATTTGTATTTGAATGACCTGCTGATAAGATTCCTGATGTTCGCTTCAAACGATTATATATGGTTCTGTGACCAGACAGGATTAAAAAAGGTGTGCATTCGTGTGTAAGGAATGATTTTATATAATTGTGTTTTGAAGTAACGTGTGTTCCATTCCAGTATAACAGAGCGCGGAACCTCGCAATAGGAAAATTAGCATTATTGCGCATAGATAAATTACGACGTCTGAAAAATAAGTACGAGTAAGGATGGTTCCAGAAAGGAGAACTTAATATGATCTTCAACTATATGTACAAGCTGCTTTTGTTTATTATGAGCATTTTGATTGATCATACTCCATGTGGCGGAACTACCATACATATAACTCAAGGATGGCTGAACATAAATGCGAATATAATGGTAATAATAAGAGCTTCTGACAATTGGTGCGCTCCGCAGATGGTTGGGTAGGAGCTTGAACCTCAACTGTATGGTGAACCACGATTGTTGTTTAGACAATTTATAGTCTAAGCATTTTTGAAATCGGTCGTATTAATACATTTAACAAAAGTGAAGCGTTCGTTTATGAAAATGTAACTATCAACATATAATTTGTGAGTTTTCAGTGGATTCTATTATTTAATAGAAAATGACCTATGGGTAATTTAAAATTAACATTTAGCAAGGCGCGTATGCAGTAGGCAATCGGTAGGATATAATTGCTTGTCATCATTCCAGATAATATAAATCCCAGCTGCGATCTAGACCTCAGGGTGAATAAACCTATTATCAGGTGAAACGAATCTAATATATATAACTAAATCCTTGAGTTTTGTCGGCAACTTACAGTTCCGTGAGACGAACATTTTATAACGATATTCATAAACGATTAGCGTCTTCTCTGCGATATTATATACTGATTAAATATAATTCTCAAATTCGATCATCTCTATTGCTGGCTCAATTTTTCTGAGGAAAGAAATCAAAGGACACAACTTGTTAACACATTTGCTACGCAAATAAGGGTCGTTGGGCGTTACGGTTGTACGGGCTGACGAAATGTAGTGCACACTAAATAAGGCTAAATAATATGATATACACGTAGAAAACAATACGTAACGTGTCGAATATAACCCAGCGAAGCAAGAAATTTAAATAACCCATTAAATATGCCATACAGTGATGGCTACAACTTGAACTCTTTTTTGACCGTGCTCAATCGCATAGTGTGACGGCATTCGGCAGACTTTTCTAATTGATGCTAGGATAGTTATTTAGTATCGGTTCTGAAATGAAACTAATTTTGTGTGAAGGACGCGAGACTAATTTAGAAAAGTTATCATAAAGTCATTATAAAGATGTGGCCGTTCCATAAGCCTTGTAAAAACATCTATGGAATTTGGGGGAATCGTTTTGATGTGTCAGATTTTGACTTTATGGCACTAGATTTTTACTGTGGCAATAGAATAACTGTTAACTAATATAGCGCATATTTTGTCAACCTATAACCAAGATCGTCTGTGTTCGTTATTCGCTTTAGGTGTTACGAGCTTGCTGGCGCTACGGTCGGCGATACTTCCGCCAAGTCAAATTAACGATTGTATAGTGTTATACAAAGTTCGCGATGACGAATACGGGAAGTGACAAGTCGTCGAGCAGTACAGAGGTCGAAACGACAGGCGAAGATCCACATTTTTCAGATGGAGCTGAATTCGATACTGCAGGTTAGGACGTTATCGTGCCGTTCGTGACAGATGTTTTTCTTAGTTATTAATTAATTAATAATTCTGCTAATTGTTTCATTGATAGAATTACCGTAAGGTGTTTACGCAAAAAATAGCTTTGGCTTAGTGGATGTTTTCCGAATCTTCGTTTCAAAATATTTTCTGGGGTCGGCTAATTTGTATATGCTTTGATCTAAAACCAAAAAAAACTTTGCCATTTGATTATGTATATATATACGCTTTGAAATAGGAATAAGATACTAAATGTCCGAAACCTTATAGGTGTTCGTGCCAAATGACATCACCAGGCGATGTCATTTGACATGAGCGAACGTCGCATCTCGGCTCATTGCCTACATTGTATTGTAAATTTTTGGTTTGTTTAACATTTCAAGAGAGCGATGGTGGAGACTTGAGTGACATAGAAGAAGAATTGCTCCAGGCTGCAAGAGCCGGAGATGTGTATCGCATTCAAAAAATTACCGAGCAGCATTCGTCCATAGATTTGAACTGCAAAGGTCGGTCGTTTAGGAGCAACTAAACTGTACTTATTTTCGTTACGCGTATATTTTTGATACTTGAACAGATGATTTTAATGTTATAACTACTGGTTTCTACGCCTTGGCCTTGCTTTTGCTTTTGAAATTGTTGATTTACAAGAACAAAATACTAAAAGCATTAAAATCGTATGGAGAAGTTGCTAAATGCTAAAAAAGACGTTTTGTAAAAAGTATAATGTTGTTTTTTATAACAGTTCGAAGCACATATAACATAACAAAAGTACATAAGTACAACATACAAAGAACATAGCAAAAATATATATGTAACTATACAGAAGAAAGGGATTAAACGGGCAATAAAGATACGATTTTTAAATTTGTATATTTTTTTAAACATAGTTTGGAGTCCGCAGCCATATTTTCACTTGTAAGATCACTGTATCTAGTAACGGGCAAGCGTGCTATTCAGATCTGTATATTCTAAGTAAAAGGTTGAAGATGAGTTGATCGTGCAGCTGCGATGCAGTGAAATAAGGTTGTTGACTTTTTTCAGTGTGTATATCGACCGATTTTTCTGTTCTTGTTATTATGCACAGGGCGACACAAATGGAATTACCAATGGACACCACTGCATCTTGCAGCCTATTTTGGCCACCTTGAAGCCACCAGGATCCTTCTACAAAAGGGGGCCACTCCGTCGGCTTCTAACGGTGAAGGGGATACGCCGTTACACAAGGTATATTTTACCATTTTAGGCTTTCGATCGTTGTATGCTTTAATTCATTGCTAATAATGAAGTAATTGTTGTTTCTGAATAACAGACCTATTTAAAAACAATCTAGTTTCTAGAGGTTTCTGCCTAGAAGAAATACACATAAGATAAATGTTCTAGATCTATTATTAGTAACACACAACGTTATATAGACATGGCTGGTAGAGTCACAATTGCCTATAAACTAAATTTGAATACAACGAACTTGCTTATTTGTAACTGAAGTTGAATTGAATGTAACACTAAACGAAACAGCCAATTACGTAATGAGGATCGCTGGTAGTTGAAGTCGTCACTATGCGTTTTCTTCGATAAAATGTTTCGTGTATATGACTATATTCTAGGCTGCTTTGACGGGGAGAGAGCCGTTAGTGATGTTGCTTTTGACTTACGGTGCTGATGTGTTCGTCGTGAATGCTGAGGGAAATTCGGCCTACGATGTAGCCTCTGAAGTAAGTGGACCTGTTGTTAAAAGATTATGCTCTTAGTACCCACTCGTCCAGTCTATTGTTTATTTCTGAGTAACAACTAATGGTATGACTTTGATTAAGCAACTGACAAACACGTACTACGTTCTTTTTACTTTGAGCTGTTAACTTTTGACAATTTTTGAACTTTCCCTATTTTGGACGTGGAAAGAGATTCGAGACTAGTCTCCAGTGTGTATATATATATGCATGAGGTTTATCGTTTAGCTAATATTGAATGTATCCTCTACGTCTAAAAATTGCTAATGCTCATCTATTAGTGCTTAGGTGTATCTTCCATAGATTGCAATTCTGAACAGTATTCGAAATCCGTATAGTAGAGTAAACAACACAGCAAATGAAGTGGACTCACTTTTTGTTAGAGATTAATTAATCTGTTTTTTTTTTTTTTTTTTTCTAGCTCTACATTAAAAACGTGCTAACGGCAGCGGAACTCGCGGATAGGAAACGTAGAGAAGAAATGTTTTTCCAGGCAGTAAAGGATGGAGATGTTGCTGGTATCCAAAAATTAGTATGTCTTAATAATTATCTCAAATGTTTATTATATGTATGACTTTTTACCTTGGTAGACTGATAAACACATAAAATACACAAGAAAAAGACAAAAAACTGAACTTAATTTGCTACTTCACAGTTGAACAGTGGTAGCAAGAGATCCGTGCTGCCATCTTCTGAAATGCTTGGCTACGATTTAAGTACGTCGAGCCCCAGAAGTCGTCGCGCACGGCTTTCGAAAACTAATGTACCTGATGTCAATTGCGTTGACGCCGTTGGCAATTCCGCACTGCATGTCTCTGCTCACAGGTAATACACATATTATAAGCTTAACGTATAATAGAACACGCTACAGCTGATTATGTGCAGAGATTTTTTTAATTTATGAAAATTCATCTACTATGTATGATGAGCTCTGGTGTCCGCGAGAATAGAATTTACTAATAATAGTAAGTGAATGCCCGTGTCAGTTCTAGCTGTTACCAACATATAATGTTATCCCGTTTTATTCCAGATTGGAAACACCGTAGATACACGGTGTGTTACAATGTATTTAAAACAACCATCATAGACTAGAAAAATGAGCTATTCAACATCGCCTTGATAAGTTACAACATGTCTTCTTCACTAATTAGGCTTTGTCTACTGTAGCTTATGCAATTTCACGATGTAGAATTTATATGATTATTACAGTGTGTTGCGTTGTGGCAATGTTTCTCTTTTGTTTACTCAGAGATCTTCAGGCTGTAGCAGTTCTACTTCTGCAGTGCGGAGCTAACCCCAATTTGCAAAATCGACGAGGGTTGATACCCGCGGATTTAGCTCGGTCTGAGCAGATGGCCAGAATACTCAAAGTGGCTCCTATCCGTGAAATTAAGAACTCAGTGTCTCGTTTTGAAGGACCCATCATTCGAGTGAGATATATTTGCGCAATCGTCATCTTGTTAAAAAAAAATCGATCGAAAATTGATACCTATAATTAAACACGTGTAGGTGTAAACGTGCAGTATACTCACGCATTTAAATCTAATGTTGTTATATTTCCAAATTTTTTAGGATATGTTTTTAATGTGATCTGCCAATTTGGTAAATCTGTAAAATCTCGATTTTATGCAAAACTTATATGATCCGATATATTGTTTAGTTCACTCTGCAACATGTTAACTGTCATTGCTTTTCTCGTTGATAAATCTAATTCTTTTAGAAGAAACGTTTTTTTGGGACACAGGCAGTTTGGGCAGTTGTCGATCGTGGAGTTCTTTCATTCTTCCGGAATCGTGCCGACGCATCAATTGGCTCGCGTCGAAAGAGATTTCATTATTTGGAAGGTGCTGTCGTTTTGGTTAGTCGATTACTTCGAAACGTTTTGGCAGACCACCCATTTCGATAAAGTGGCTATTTACTTGTTGTGAATTCTAGGTGCTAAAATGGTCTAGGGTATTTTTTGTAGCTTATTAGGTCCTACCGATTCTAGTTTATTTAGCAAATATTGATTCCCGGTATACTTTTTCTAATTTGGTTAATAGTAAATACATAAACATCAAGATCAGAATGAGCACATGCGTATATATATATATATATATATATATATATATATATATATATATACGAAATATCAGTGTAGCTCGTTGAAATCGAAAAATACAATAAAGGCTATATCGTCTATAGGATAATCTTATCTAGAAATTAAACATAAAGGTTGGGAAGAATTCGAAAGTTTCGAATGTCTGTTATCAGGCGGATTCTCGTGATGAACGTTGCTTGACTGTGGTGAGTGCGAATGGCTCCTCGGAAAACCTATCGGCAGCGACGGCGTTAGAGAGAGGTCGTTGGGTCCGCGCTCTCAAGGAGCACGCCACCTTCGGACCGATGCATGCTGTAAACGACCAAAATGGATTAACTTTTTTGGATAATAATGATCAAATTCCACTCCTAGGATTTGTACAGAACGCCCTTATGGTAATTATACGATTTAATAAATTAGCATAAATTCGAATAAGTGTGTTTTAATGATTAAGGTAGCCAATAGACGCTGACCACCGATATAAAAGAAGATACGCAGGCATTGATACTATTGGCACTAAATAGTTTGCAGTAGTTTGCAAACTTCATTGTGTGTCTATTTGCGCTCGCCATGTTATAATTCAGTGTAACAAATGTTGTTCTATTTTTATATTCACTGTTACTGTGATGATCCAGACGGCTCAGGCCCAGCAAAGCATCTTAGCCAGTGAAGTGGCGGAGGCCGCCCGATTACATACATCATTCCTGGCCACGTCCTCGAAAGAAGGAGAATTCAGTGTTCGTGCACAGAACGTCTCTCTCCTCCTTCGAGCCCAATTGGCTCGAGTATCTGAATCTGGCCACAATTTTCTGTCGTGCCTCGAAACCTGCCTATTACTTATGAAGCAGCATGAGGAGGTTTGCATTTTGTAAAAGATACAATTCGTTGATGCTCATATATTAGATAGAACCTGTAGCTTGAGTTAGGTCTGGGAGTTAATTTCTCACTATTTTTCTTTGATCTTGAATTATTTGTTTGATTAAAGCGTAATGCTTTGATTGTCGCAATTAAACATAAAACCCATTTTCTGATGTGTTCCGTTGCAGACAAAAACTATACTTTTTGCTCAAGAAATTGAAAAAAATCGTATATTACGAGAAACTCTAGCAGCGTTTGTTGACGACGCGTATGAGCCATCCTCTCTTAAGTCAGAAGAACAGCAGGACATTTCTGCTGATGGAACTTTAAACGAAGAAAAGGTACGACAAGTAATAAACTAAAATAATTAGTTTCACTTCTACAAAATATCTCTTTTATCTAACCCAATTTTAAGCTAATTTTAGCAATTAATTTACACACGCATCTTCGATTTGCTGCTTTCAGAAGCTTTATATTCAGAAATCGGAACAGCAATAGGCACCTGTGACCGATAGCGTAGGAGCATTATAGCACACTCGTAGTGCATGACAGCAGGTTCACAAAAAAAAGCAAAGGCCAAAAACAGGATTCACGAGAGCAGAACCGTTGGACCGTTAGTTCCGTATATAAGGTGCACAAGAAACTCTCTCATAAAATATATTTTTGTGAAATAACCATTTCTCGAATTTCATTTATTACTGGTTATATATGCAATTAAAATGGAGCAGAAGAGTTTTAAAAATATGATATGTACACTTATTTCCGCATCGAAATTATGTAGTTTCTGATTTAGTATACAGGTGGATACAGGTATTGTTCCGCGCCTAATATATAAACAAGTTGCTCATATTTAAAGTAACCTTTCTTTGAGTTGATCATTAGCCAACCTTGTACCCATAATTTTAGTGCTGGTTCCCTTAGTCGAAATATGAATAGAGGGGAATTGTACGTAAAGAGCAAAAAAAAAAACGTAAAAAATATGTTTTAACAATGTATGACAAAACCTTTTTTCGATTTCATAGTCACCGTTCTGCTAAGAGAATTTCGTAGTTTAGTAAATGTACCTAAGATTAATAAACGATTTCTAATCATTTGTGTGATTTTTCTCATTATTTTTTTTTCTGCATTAGAATCAAGTTGTAAATGTGAAAGCGATTTAGTATAGATTTGATTTTCTTGATAATACGCATATATAGGCATGCATTAGGCTCACTACATCGAAATAGCGGTCGAACGCCGTGTTGTCGTTGCAATGGATTGTATTCTTGAGACTCGAAAGGCTTCACCTCTTTTGACTTGGAAAATAGGAACGTTTTTGAGGTTTATGATACACTTTTCAGAAGCGTTAAGCAAGATCAGCCTGATGTATAGAGCAACTTGTCTTTCGATTAGTTGAGAAAAAATCTAAATAAAAGATAAAATCTATATATAGCGAACGATATAAGAACGCATAGAAATAAGTTCAATATAGCCTTTATCTGCGACATTACGACTTTAATCCTTGCATTGCATTTACCTTCAATGGTGAGGTTCTCTGTCTACAAAGTGGATAAAAGGTCTGCGCGTCGTCATTTTCGGTAACTTGTGAATCATATGAAGAAATACTAAGTTTATAATGTGGCAAAGAACGTGGACTATCCATCGTATAACTGGAGCTGTTTTAGCGCTGAAGCGTTCTTGTTAGGATAAAAAATGTGAACGCAGTTGCTTAGTGGGTCACACGAAATGCGCGCCGCAGAATGGTGAGTTCATAAGACCTTATAAAAAAATAAAGGTATATTGAAGTATATTGATCTCATTTATCAAACTATGAAATAATCTAAATTATACCTTGACAATATTGATAATTTTGGTAAGAATTAATCCAGATAATCTTTGAACTCCATTAGTGCCGCGGACGCCTGGTGTGCTAAAAACACGGATGTTAGCACTCTGATACTATGACCAAGCACTATGATTTCCCCCTCAAAAATACAAGTTAATCACAACGCGACCATAGCTACGATATATCACAAGCTGACGAAGCAGAAAATGATATTATAGATCTGAAAACTTATGATGACTGTTCCAGCGCACAAGTCATTAGGTTTATTTCATAGTACTATGATTATTAATAAATCTATACAGGAGAGATGCTATTGTTGCTATAGACAGTACCGTCATTTGGGCAAATAAAGGATTATCAGTCCTAACGAAGGTAACGCTCTTATCAAACGTAAATTAATAATTGATTTAGGAATATTTCTAGGGTGAATGACGTTTAGGTGGATGAAATCCGACATAACCAGTCATAAGTGCGGTAAAAACTGACATCTTTGTGCCGTTATTACGCTAGTGACGGCCGTGTCACAGTTGCTACCTGGCCAGTAGTGGATTTCTGCTTGCGTTGTTTGCCCACTAATTGAAGGGACACAATAAGGTCTACTGTTTACACACCTTCAATAAAACTCTAACATTACTATATTTGGTCGCCGCAAAAAAACTAACCGGTTTTATTAGTTGGATGTCCTTGGAGTCACCTAATTCAAACAATGTGACTCGTGTTGCGTTGGCGTTGGTATTGTTTGAAAATTGCTATTAGACAATGGGTGTGCTAATATTGTTGGATTATCTTTATTCAGATTTGATATAGAGAAGATGAGTGAAATTTCTGAAAAAAATCATTAGATTTTACAATTTTATTGCGATAAAGGCACAAATACTGCCTGGGCCTATAAAAAAAAATTGTACTTTTCATAATCATGGTACACTGTAGCCCAAAGATGGTTCTGTCGCTTTGGTCCTCGAAATTACTATGTAAAAAATGATCTCCGTAGTCGTCGACCAATTACATGAAAAGTTGATGGAATCGTTGCAAAAGTAGGGCAGGACCGACACGTGAGTAGCCATGACATTGTCAAAGAACTAAACATCTATTATATAGTCTTGAACAATCTGAAGAAAACTAGGTACAAAAAAAAACTCGATATTTGGGTGCCACGCGGATTAAAAAAAGCATCTTCCCGATTTTCAGCTGCGAAATTCTGCAGGGATATAACGAGATCACGCAATTTTTGTTGTAGTTGGTCACTCGTAATGAAATATAGATTCCATGCACCAATAATGTACAAACAGAAAAAAACATAGAAGAAATTCGCTTTATAAATTGTGGCAAAGTGACACCAAGGGGGTGATGCTATACATCTGGTGGAATTGGTGAAAAATCGTGCATTATACGTTCCTGCCTCTTGGCAGAACGATGAATTTATATCTCTACTGTCAACAACAAGCAAGATTACAACAAGCGATTAGGAAAATCGATCATAATAATTACATTTTTAGCTAGCCGACAAACACTGCGAGAACTCCTAATCCATTTGCCGTATAGTCTGCATCTTGCGCCGTTGAACTTTCGTCTGATCTGGTTTCCGCAGAACTCCTTTGAGGGCGTAAGGATACCTTCACTAGAGGGATGCAAACATAATTCTTCACAATTTTTCGCACAGATCTGCAGTGATGACATTATGGCTTTACCAGGGAAATGCGCGTTTAAAAAATAGCGCATTGCATTAGAATAAGCAAGGTGTGGTTATCAGACGTCAAACTGTTTCCGCATTGCTAGATGTTTCAGCGTGGGAGCAAATTAAAGTTAAGTCCAAATATGGCTCCCATTGTTGAAGTGCTTTGTGGGAGTTTTTGCCCCAAAATTAGCTTAAGCCTTAAGCTTATTGCCTTCGAACTAGAGTTATGTAATTCACTTTGGAATCTAGCGAGAATCAGTGTTCGAATCAATGGGACGACGGTATAGAAAGATATGACTGCGCAACACAGCGACGAAGAGCGAACGCAGATTGCAAAAATGCCCCAATTTTTCTAATCAATACGATTTCATATTTTATACCACTAGATTATTATTGTTTTTAGTTGCTTGGTCAAATGGTATTGCTTTCATTACCATTTGACCAAGACGGTACATATCTAGCAGGTATCGGCTCTAGAGGCCTAAGCAAATTCTCTTAGTTACTCAAATGATTTCGCTTACTTTTGTTCATTCACCTAACCGGCTTTTTTACGCGAATCGTAGTTACGGAATATCGTTCTGGGAGCTACTCTAAGCTTATTTAGTTGCTGTGGTCTACTGCAAAGACTACTTCATCGGTTGCCACTTCATCGGTAGAACAGCCTTTGCTATCCTATTGCTATCCTTTGCCCTGATGCACGCCTTCTTTAGGTCAGCCTACGTATATTTTCTTGCCAAAGGGCTGATAGACTGAAAGTACGTCGCGTTCTCGATGGCTGCTCACGGAATAAAAATTGGGAGCGGTTTTGAAAAAGGATTCTGTAGGGCCGGCGTCTTGCGTCATTTGCGTACAGGGGCAAAGGAAATAATACATTCTCTACTAAAATCTTTAAGATAACTTCTTTAGAAAGATATTTAAAAATAGTTACTTATAACTGCATTTGTTGATGTAGTGGTGCCAACTAGTTGCCTTTTTATTGTCATCCTGCTATTTGTAGGATTTCAAATTGAAAAAAAAAAAAAAATATATTAGGCTACCTAAATCTCCAGACGAGGAAGTAATGTAAACTAGTTTTTAAAACTTGAAAATTAGCTAGATTCGACCTTCCGGCAGAAAGAAAAAAATATATATCTTATATATAAATTTTACTCTTATGAACTTGAAAAACGTAGGGTTTGAGGTTTTCACAAATTCTCGTCTATCATTAAGGTAACAACTAAAAGAAGCCATTCATCAATCTCTGCGCTAGCCTACACGGGGAAACTTTGCAGGTATTTTAGCATACAATTGATCTTTCTCGAACTTTTTTAGTCCGTTAAGTCTACGCATAAAAAGCTGTAAAAATAACTAAAGGCATGGAAGTTCGAATAGTCGCAATATATACGGACAGTTTTTTTTCTAAAGCATACGACTCCCCACTATTCGTGTTAAATATATCCCTGAACGATAATCCAGGAGATAATGGATTAAAATTAGAGAAAAACGAAGCATTATAATTTTGGCAAACATATAACTAGCAACTATATTTATTTGAGATAGAGAATAAAATTAAAAAGTACTGTTTCTTAAGCCTGCCAAAGGTATTTTTCGCCCATTGTCATATTTGTTGATTCTAACGTTCACTTAACATTCAGTTACTGTATTCTTTGTGATATATACGTATATATCTCATACAAACGTATAGACCGGTGCTGGCTGTTATGATGTACAACTCAAGTTTTAGGGAAGGGGCTCATAAAAGTTTCGGGAAGTAAACATTGCGGCTCAATGTACGCAACGATTATTTTTCTCTTTTAGCCCAGTATTACCTCTCTTATCGGTTTGGGCGCTTGGCTTATTTGGTTTGGGCTATGTATTATACTAACCAAAAAGAAACAAATGCAAACGCAACAACAAATGTTAGTTTATATGCTTGAACGGTAGCTCTTGTAGAGCTACCGCCTATGTCAAGTCAATATTAGAATCGAGAGTTCAGCCTATAGGCGAGGATTCTTAGACTTTTTTTTTTTAGCACGTCACAAAAAGCGTTTCTGAATGATGTCATTGTGTCTTACTTTATTCTTACAGAACTCTAGTTCATAATGATTTTTATTTGAAATCATACGTACAAAGTGGATAAAAGTCTGGATATCTTGAAATTCAAGTATATGATAGGATACTGAGAACATGAATATCTAACCTAATTGAATCATGTGGTGGTCAACTATGTTAAGGATTGGTGTAGCTGCAGTGGCTTAAACAGATAGCCACATAAGTAACATGTCGATTAAGGCTACGCTTGTGCAGCGATAAAAAAATATCCTATTTGCCCAGCTTTGCATCAAACCGCACCGCAAGTATGTTGATTCTTTGAATACCTCGACCTGGAGCTGTAATAATACTGTTATCAATACCATTACCGAACAAGCTTGCAGGTGTAATCTCGCATCAAAATATTTCTACTTGAAATCCCTTCTGGGCTTTCTGGTAAAGGCGCAATGCTTTTCAAAAGCATCTTACAAATATAAGATACGTAACTAGTATTTAGACTTTTCAAATGATTCTAACTATATCAAAATTCATAATACTAGTGGCGTAATTTGCTACAAACGTTCTGCGCC